AAAACATTTCGTATGAAGTTCTATCGACTGCTAAAATTATGTGACAAAAACTGAAACACCGTGTATATTATTTATAATTACATTCTTTATTTCCAACAAAATTGAATATAATCCAATTTAACATTTGCTATAGAATACCTGTTTATGGACCGGGTGACCAACTAAGAAGGGCAAAAAACTAATGGCCACGTGCAAATGCGTTTATGCGATTATCTTTAAATTTCTACAAATTAAATTTATTTGCTCATATGACTTGTAATGTAAAAATGGCCAGATAAGAGTCTAACACGCTAATGAAAATCACATTACGTATTTTCAAAATTCCTAACATTATTAAATACTGATTTTTATTCCTTTAGCGAAATATACATAGATTTACTGTTCAAATGTCATGTCAACATTATATTTAAATTATCAATAATAATTAATACTTATTCCCATATGAACGAATATATTACAATACAATATATTACAATAATGCAAAACATTCTAGTTTTTAAAATTCAAATGGTATATCAAACAATCGGACGAGTACAAGTTCGAGAAAAATGTTTGCACGGTTAACGCTACCAAATGTTGACAAAAATCGACGGCTTTTATTTTCTAATAGACGAATAAAAAGTGTATCTAGCCTTTTACGGATTGGACTCAAACACGATGGCACGATTTTTAATATAAAAGGATAAAAGACAAAAGCAGGATACTGCATCTCATAACAGAAAAAGGTGCGCTTTCAATGTTCTGAAGATAAACACAAAACACATTCACACTTCTAAAGGTGAAAAAAGCATTTTTTTACAAATAAGGCCACAAAAATACACTATAAATGGCTGCAATCTTAATACGATTGACAGTTGAGCATCGTCATTATAATCTTTGTTTTCCAAAACATACTGGAAGAGGCAATATTCAATCATATTGAATCTATATTGCTATCAAAACGAAAATTAGGAAAAATATTCTATATTTTATTTCTTTTACTGATAGTAAAGGTTACGACAAATATATCGAAATTTGGTGAGTTATCAGCTATCTTTTGGAGCAATAAAATCGTTGTAATTAATATTTTCGAGAAAATATTTTTTTATAATGATGTCGCGAAGCGCCCTCTAGCGACAATCTAAAAAAGATCTCGGAATCCATTCGAGAGTGTTTCCATATATACAAAAAAATCCCTGGAGGGACGCATTGTTTTTCTATCGTGCTCCTGAGGACCATTATGGAACTTTCGAAAACCATAGACTGCCTAGAGGATAGTTTCTCACATTCTCGGGACACCCTGTATTATATATCCGCCAATCATGCGCATTTTTTACACTCATGCATCGAACAAATCAAGAAAAATAAAATAATCTTTTAACTTCGTCGCATGCGTAAATCCAAATATTTTTTTCACCTCAAGTCTTTACAATTTCTTTTCGAGATAATGTCCTTAATTGACCGCGCAGAAAATATGTTTACAACTTCGGCCTAACTTAATAATTTTCAATAAAATACGTGGACTATGTATTAAACCATATTATTTTTTGAATATTTAAATAATTAAAGACTATATGATACAAATGGAATGATAAATGTAACAATAAAAAAGGAGGCTATATTCCGAGTTATACTATTTATTAGTGGCTGGTCAACTGACCACTTCTTATTTGACCAGTCAAATTTGATCAAAATGTCGTTTCCGATATCCGAATACGATCCTGAGCGATTCGGGGAATCCCAATAAATAATCGAGTCCATTTAGTTCTCAGTACGACGGAACGGCGACGTAACGCACAATATAAATAAATAAATATTACTATTATTATTATTATTATTATTATTATTATTATTAACAAAAAACTCAAGAACTTACCTTCTCCTGCAGTAAAGTCGACTATCTGTATCAAAATAATATAACCCTCTTGGGATTCGTAATTGACAGGACTCTGTCATGGTCAGGCCAGATTCATGAGGTCTGTGCAACGTTGTCTCGGCGACTGTTCCTACTGAGACATCTCAGCCATTGTCTAACCCCGGCGGCCCTTAGGATAGCCTATTTTGGGCTTTTTCATAGTGTGCTGTCTTATGGCATTGTGCTTTGGGGTGGGGTTGGATATACGGAAAGAGCTTTTCGTTTGCAAAAGAAGGCTGTGCGGGTCCTCTGCGGTGCCAACCCGATTGCCCACTGCAAGCCCATTTTCTCTGACTTCCAGGTTATGACGCTGCCTTCTACTTATATATACCGATCCATCCTGTATATTCACGAAAACGCGGATGTCTATGGGACACTTGGCAATAGACATGAGTATAATACTAGGTATGTTGACATGATCACCCCACCTCACTCCAGACTGACGTCCTTACAAAACAATAAGATTAATGTTAAACTGTATAATGTTCTCCCAAATAATATAAAAAATCTACCATACAGACAATTTAAAAAGAGAATGAAAAGTTTTTTTACTGATAATCCTTTCTATGATATTAATGAATACTTGGAGTTGATCAAACATACTACACTTGAATAGACCACTGCGTTAGTGTGTTAGTTCTCAAAAATTGTACAACCTTTTATATTATATATATAAATTCTTTTGTATTGTTAACCTTTGACGTACCATTTGTTGTTTTTGTGACGTATCTGAATGGCCAATAAATTCTATTCTATTCTATTCTATTCTATTCTATTATTATTATTATTATTATTATTATTATTATTATTATTATTTATTATCATTATTATGTTTCTACATCAACAAATCTCTATCAGACATTAAGTAAGCCTGAAAAAAACAAAATTGTAAACTAATAAGGATCTATCAACATGTAATTTCAAATACACAGACACAAATTATAGTTTTACTTTTACTCATTTGTTAGAAAGGCACGGGTCTTTTACATATTTATGATAAGATAAATAAGACGTTTTGGCCCACCTTAGTCTGAAATTTTTAAAGCGGTAAAAAAGGTATTTCCATTGGAAAACTCCACGGTACGGCGAGCATTATACATCGGACAAGTGAATGGAAGGTGGTATTACATACGGAGCAGATTTGATGAATAAAGTAAGCGCAGCCTTTATAGGAAAATTTCAGAAAAAACTTACTATTCAATCTTAATTGTCCGATAATTCCTAATATGGCTATTGATAATTAGCAATTTAAATAGCGGGGTGGTGGATCAGAGGGTGCAAAGTTTGAGTAATTCGTGTAGTGTGCAATGCAAAGATCTGTTTCAAAAAGTTTTGTTTTAAAACATTCTAAGATGTCATTCATTTGGCGTCTTAGAGTTTAGTAAATTAAGTGTGTGGAACTTGTTTTAAAGGGAAGCATAGCACTTGAAGTTGATTTAGGAACTTGAAGTTGATTTATTAAGAAAGATGTATCTATAAATTTCATTATATTTTAAAAGTTATTGCGGTCAATTGACTGGTCAATTACGACAAAAAAAATTGAGTAGTCAATTCCACAACCCTGACTAAGCACAGAACTAAGTTGTTTTCTTGTTTAGTAGCCACTAATGGAACCAATTTCTTATTTTGCGATATGGTTTGTTTTTAAATTAAATAGGTAACATAGGTATGGAAGTATAGAATATGCTGATAATAGAGACATTTTTTAAAAGAATTTCGAAAAAATTTGTAAATGCACATGTGCGTGTTCTTTCAAGCCTCAACATGACTAACACCTTGCGACATTCATGACGTTGAGGGTGTCAGTTTGATCAGTGCGTTCGGCGTTTTTTTTTTCAAAATATCCCCAATTCTCATTAAATTTGCAGGAAAAAAAGTCAACTCCGTTGAAATCACTTTTTAATAACAACAGATTTTTTTAGGTATTTTTTTAAAGTAACTTTCTCACAGTTCAATCCACTCAGTTTTGAAGACTGACACACATATATTTTGGGTCCACTATTGGTAGATCAAAAATTAACTGAAGATCAGTATTTGCATATCCTATGTGAGGGCAGAAACTATTGTTTGAACAGCCAACATCCCAGACTTGACATTGATGGATTTCTTGGGGCCACAAAAAAATGCACATTACTCATTGTGATAATGCCGTGGAACTTCGGCAAATAAAATATGTTGAACAAAGAATTTAATTTATTTTTGTTTGTTGCAAATATGAAAATAATTCTTATTATCTTTCATTTGTCCCTAAATTGTTGCATAAAAATAAAAATCACCTATTTTGCCCTATATTTCGAAAACAAGTGGAATAAAAATTATAGTGTACTCTATAATTGTAATCAGAATGATGTAATGAATACCGATAAAATATTCAGGGTGTTTTGTTTTCATGTCATTTAGGAAAAAACTTGGCCGCTAACCCTAAAATTTACGATTTACAAGTCTTCTGCATTCCTAATGTGTCGGTTGGTGATAAATCGAATTCTATACCTACCTCTAGTAGCTATATGATTTTATCCACATAGCTGCTAGAGATATATAGAGGCCCTGCCTATGCCGATAATACAGGAACTTATGAAGCAACTACGAAAATTTTTTTGAGAAGGTCCATTCAACACAAGCATGTACGGGATTGAAAATCGCGTTTTTAACCAATGGCTTTGCCGCATTCAACAACCAACAAGGGCAGTGACAGATCGTCAATAAGCTTGGATACGGCATTATTTATACCAATAGGGGTGACCTAATTACTAATCAAGGTTGAAAGGTTGAGACATCATTGAATAATAAATGCACAACTAGGACACTTGCTGTTACATCTCTATTTAAAATTTAAAATTAAAGTCGCTGAACGATTGAATACATTCATCAATTCAGATCGCTTTTTTTGATGCACTCAATGAAAAAAACGAAAACTCGAAGGTGTGCGTTCATTGTTGTAAAAAGAAACGGGTCACTGAAATGGAATGCTGTTAGAAATTTGAGATAAAATATCTAAAAAAAGAAACTTCAACAAAATGTAATCTCCGAAAGATGTTGGCAACACGCGAGTGTCCCTAGTAAACATGCCCAAAGTTACGTAAAATGTATAGAAAAAGAAGAATTATAATTACCGCTGGAAATACCAATCACTCGTGTGCTGATGTTTGTTATGTTGTGATTCATTTGATTGATCTGTGTATGATTTTGGGGTGTTTTTATATTTGGCAATAATTTTTTTATACATAACAAATTTGCCTGCCAGTGGAACTTGTCACTCTCCCAATAGTGTTGGAATAACGTTTTCAAACGAAATATATGTAAAAAAGTTAATGAGAGGTTGACGTGACTGGCCTGCACAAGTTCTTTTGTTTTTACACTTTTACACAAAATGTCTTCACATCATCACAGGAGGGATTACAGAAGGCAGCCTTCAAGTAACTTCACTTACGTTAGCCCTTGTGTAAAATATTTAATTTTTATTCTTAATTTTATATTTTGGGTAAGTTAAACTGTAGGTGAAATATTATTGTACTGATTTTTTGCTATTTGTAGCTTTTTGGGGGTCTTCTGATAGGAATAGGCCTCTATGCATTTGTCGACAAATGGCAATTAACCGGCTGGGTAAAATTGGAAAATGTTTACGATGTTATACTCAATGTGTCGCTTGTAATGGTAATTATGGGAGGAGTTGTGTTTATAGTTAGTTTTGCAGGATGTGTAGGAGCTCTCAGAGAAAACACATGTTTGCTCAAGTTTGTAAGTTACTGTGGTTTGTGGTTTCATACTTAATCAGTTAAGTTTCTTTTTAGTACTCACTCTGTCTATTGATATTCTTTTTGTTAGAAATGGCAATAGCCATTGTAGGATTTGTATTTCCCCATTCCATGCAATCTATGCTGGAAGAGAATTTTACTGATAAAATCATCCACACTTACAGGGATGATCCTGATTTGCAAAATTTTATTGATTTCGCTCAACAAGAGGTGAAAAGCTCCTTTTAATATGTGCATAAAACTTTTAACTTATTATTTTTAGTTTCGTTGCTGTGGACTGAGTTCGGAAGGTTACATGGATTGGTCAAAAAACGAGTACTTCAATTGTAGTTCACCTAGCGTTGAACACTGTGGAGTGCCTTTCTCCTGTTGCATAAATGCCACAGATTTGAGCTCAAGATTGGTTAATATTATGTGTGGATATGGAGTCCAGACTTTGTCAGTAAGTCCAAAAAGCAATTAATTAAAAATTAATTCAATTTAAAAGTAGTATATAATTTGACTAAACTAATTACTAAAATTACTCTTATAAAAATACAGAAAATAAATAAAATTACAATAGTTGCACATTTAAGCTTTTAGATCTTGCATATTATATTTCCGAATTTAAATGAGATATAAGAGTTTTCGATAGATTTGAAACACCGATGTTATTTTGAAAAATTAAAAAACACCCGTTTGTCAGGGAGACAACTTTTTGAGTAAAAAACTGATTACCCCCTTTTATCCCCTGCTCGCAGGAGGACCGTTCAAATGAGTTAAACTGGATGGGATAAAAATATTAAATATCTAGCTCATTGAATCCGCTTTCCAAATAACAGTTGCAAGCAATTTAACATTTCTACAGAAGTAAGCTGTCACCTAAGTTTAACTTTAGTTTTATATGAAAGTATCGTATCTCGGGCTTATTAAAAAGCAAAATAGGGAGATGTAAGCCACTTTGATCTGAAGCAGATTTGGTTAAGCGGGAAAATTTAAAAAATATAGATTTTCAAATGCCAATATTTTGATAACATATTAAGCTCTTTTTATATAAGAATTTGCTGCTGGGGGCAAAGGGTAGAAGGAGGTGGAAAGTAGCCTCTCTAACAAACAAAATTTGTTTTTGAATTTTTTCAAAAAGTTCCTTCAATACTGCGACGCTCTTTCAATGGGCACCGTGTATAATTTTAAATTAAAATTTTATAAAGAATCCTGCAATGGAAAAATGTATAAGAAAATATCACTTAAGATAATACTGGCACCAATTTTATGCACAAAACAAACAAAAACTTATATTATTAAAGTTGTCGACATTTTATGAATTAGAAAGAATATATTTACTTGCTTTGAGTTGTTTGCTCGTTTTTTTTTCGTTTCGGTTTTCGTTTTTACTAAAAAAGAAATTATAACTATCATTGGACTTTTAAATTTCGGCTTGTAAGAGCAAAATTTGTTATGAAAATCCAATACTATTCTTAGAGGTTTTCGGTATATTCCGTATATTTTCCAATATTTTTACGTATTTATTTAAATAAAAAAAAAAGATAATGAAAAGTAAAATGAAAGAATTCAACGCTCAAAAAAAATTGATTTTGAGGAAGAAAATTTCTACTTTACGGGGTTTTATATACGTTTAATTATCCCAACTTTACTAAATAAAACGCTTGTGTACAATACAATATATTCGAGGGCAAATTACCCCGCAGCTGACATTTCTACGTTTTGCCACGGTTAACCGTTTTCGTCGATTAATAATTAGATTTAGTCAACTAAAAAACAAACCAAAACAAATATAAAAAAAATGGGATTATATCAGAAAACGACAGCTGGTGGCAAAGTAAGCAATCGCCCATAGCACTCCAAATTAATTAAAATGGGTTAAGCCATTTTGGAGATGTGGACATTTATTTAAGAAAATGTTTAAATACCCCCCACCACTTTCCTTGTAAAGTTAGACTAAACAGCATTAAACAAATTTGGATTTGTCTAAGCTATACAATTGTACACACTTTAACCATGGCTAATATTAGACATTTTTGTAGAAACGTAATTTTAAAATTCAAAATGACAATTGCGCTCCATGATGACCAATTTAACATGTTCTCTTCTCCAATTTTATCAAATATCTAGGAGCGTGCATTTCCTTATACCATACCATGCTGGGGCACTGAGTATATAACGTGTGAGTATAAAATTTACCACCTGAAGATCACTGGAGATACTTGGAATGTTGTGGCTGTATATAAGGACAATTCAATTTTTTATTAAAAAATCTCATTTAGTCAAGTTTTAACCGCCATAACTACAGTTAAATTTAGACGAAATGTATACATGGTTGGATGTTTATTTCTTCTAGGTGGCAGAGGCCAGCAAAAAGGTGTGGACATCGGGTTGCATAGAAATAGTTCGGTCTTGGGCCGAACGAAATTTGTATACTATAGCGGGGATAGCGTTGGGGGTGGCTCTCTCGCAACTGTTTGTAATATACCTGGCCAAAACTCTGGAAGGTCAGATAGATCTGCAAAAGTCTAGGTGGGGCAGTTGAAATATAGGGTATATATGTAAATATGACGCTCTCCCTTTTTAATATGTGTGCGTATATCGTTTTTTAACAAAAGCGAATTTTTTAATAATACACGTCTTTTAATTTAGCGGGAAGGGGGCAAAAATTGCATAATTGGAACTACACTCTAGACTGAGCCAAAAAAATTGACTATTTTGTTTTATGAAAAAAATACCGATAAAGTATATTTGCAGTGGTTTCTCTTCTAATTTCGGAAAATGGTCGTAAACTTTGCAATTTTTGAGTTCCTTGTCTCGTTTTAGCTGTAAATTGCCGTTTCACAGTCTTGAAAATTGAAATCGCACGAATTTTTTTACCTTTAGTGATATTGAACGATTTTAATAAGGACGTTGCGACTGCCAAATTTTTTTAAGGGGTATGACGTTAAAATGAGTGAAATATTTCTTAGTCGTTTGTAGTCTGCGTTCCGTTGTTGTTAATGTTGTCATTTTCTAATACTTATCGAGTTCTGGAGATTGAAAAAAGTTTATTTTTTGTGGTACATGCCACTCTTACACCTTTTTTTGTAACTTTCTGGAGTTAATGAGCTGCTGGGCCTACCAACCAACATCTCGCCAATTTCTGTCGCCTTGACCAATAGTATGTATAAGGACGACAGCCAACTAATTTTTTGAAACGGTAGTCCTTCAAATTGAAAAAAGTCGATTTTTCTGTGGTCCCTTGAACTACTCTTAGGATTTGGAATTTTTTTTGTGTTTTTGATATTAATGGGTGCTTGGAAGCCACCGTGTCGTTTTTTATGCCCAACAAACCGACATCTTGCCAATTTTTGTCGCTTTGACTAACAACAAAGACAACCGTCATATAACAATGACGCCCAACTAACAGTTTTTGTTTTATACTATTTTATAAAACTTGAGAATCTATCATTTGTTCTCAAAATTGTTGTACAGGTAAGCAGGTAAGCAAAATATTATAACTCAGAAGCTCTGAAAATTTTAATTGCCACCAAAAATATATGAAATAATTTTATATTTTACCCATTGTAAAATTGAAGCGCACTCGTTTTGAGCACTTTGAAACGCAATTTTTGAAAAAACCTGAACATGAAAATTACTTACTTACTTACTTGCTGGGGCACCCTGTATATCATATATTGCAATTGCAAAAAGCTTGATCCTTGTGGGATGCCGTTCTCTAATAGTGTAGATGTACAGCAAGTATCACCAACTCTGACCTTCTCTTAAAAAGAAGATTCTGAAATAACTCGAGATACTCAAATGCAGTTTACCAAACGTGTTCCACAATATAATATTCCAAACTGTTATAAAAGCTAAAGTTTCTTATAAACCTCTTACCTTACCTTAACTTGCCTTAAGCTGCCAAAATTGTTGGTTGGGTCAGGTATACTAAAATACAGCGCGATGTTTAAAATTAATTTTTCTTATCACATAATTGGTGACACATAAGTTGCACCATGGTAACTTCTATGCAAGATGTTGGTTAGTGTCTTTTGTTCTTTTGTTGTGCTACAATTAGGTATCAATGATGTACCAAATAAATCGTTCAATTTAAATTATCTTCTAAGCAAAATCTCGTTGCCAAGAATCTCATCAGGGCGATACAAACGTCGAATTTTCTATTTCAGCATAGCGACTTATAGTTATGTATCCTATAGTCCGTTTTCCGACCCGAGCCGTTATGACTGAACTATTTCGGGCAGTGTACAAAAATTGGAAATGTGTGATATTCCTTATTCGAGTTTTTTTTTTTTTATTATAACCGAATAACGATTGTACTACTTTAAGTCATTTATACAGGTTGTGTCTAAGAGGAAATTATAATCTAAAAAAATTATACACAAAATTGTTATATACATTACAATATATGTCTTCGATTCCATTGCTTTTTTTTTTGTAACTCCGGCGGATGCACATATACACTGTCATCACTGAAGTCTGCATCATACGGGAACATTTTTTTTAATGAGTTTTGCCAAATTTTGCTTTTACTTGTCAATACATAATAAATATCAAATATAGGTTTGGTTATCTAGAAAAATATCTAAAAACCTTATTGGAAAAGGTTGTTTCTTTTTCTGTTTTCTACAAATGTGCCAATTTTCAAAGAAAAAACGGAAATTGTTTTTTTCACGTTTTCTCAAAATAATTTTTTTGTTTGGTTAGCTTTGCTTAAAAATTACTCAATTTGTACTTGTACGCCTTCCCTCACCAATATGCAAGTTATCATTTGACTGTTAGTAATATTTCTAGGTCTTGTCTGTCCAAAACCGAGCTACAAAAATAAGGGTAGCAATGTTTGGTGGCTCCTAAATCGTGTCTCCCATTGTATTTTGAGCAAGGACTTACACAATACAGGTGTTGATGGTTTGTCCTCATGAGAACTAAAGAATATGCTCTTGTTAATGTTTCTTGTACTCAAGAGCAAACTGGATAAATATGTGGGCAGAGCTTTTGTTAGGGCAATCATGAGTGTTTATTGTGGGCCCTCGATTCCCTAAGATAAAAACTACCTCTCAGCCTTAATTTAATACCAGTGCGCTACTTGAGAAGGGCCCTTATATTTTAGGGATTTTCAATTAGAAGAGGAGGGAACTCAATTCATCTCCTAACCAACTGTCCAAATTTTAAAGGTTAAAGATTTTAAAGATTAAGAGTATTAGACTCTAAGAGAATTGAACGCTTCTAGGGAAAGAAGAGATTGCTAATGAAACTCCTGTAATTAAGGTGACGTAAGCGCGTGTCATTTGCACGTCCTGCGATGACTGTTGAGGTTCCCGCGCACGGCGAACTTTTTGCCGCATTCGTCGCACGTGTAGGGTCGTTCCCCCGTATGCTGACGTACGTGTTCCCTCAAATGGCTCCGGTTCGAGTACCTAGAACCATTTTTACACGCAATAAAGTCTACCCCAGAGAAAAATTATCCCATAGAGAAGCCACAAAGGACGCCGATTTTTTTATGCGTATGTGCGAGGTCAGCTGCTTGCCCATATCACTCACTTAAATAGAAACTGAAAGATTGAGATAACTCATATCACTATATACTCCTACTTATTACAAAATTTAGTCGCTCCGCTCTTGCCAAAACAAACTAGTGACTAAAGTAACATTATTCAAACATGATGCATAATATACTATTGTATCTAACAATATTTTTCTTCAACTCTGCAGTTTCCTAAATATGGTAAGTATATAGCGAGTCATATTGCCAGGACATTATACACTCATTTTTATTATTAATATGGTTGTGTGACAAAAACAAAAAATTGCATATCTACTAAAAATAATATAACTTAATTTTCTTTTTTTATATAGAACTTATTAAGCATAATTATTTGTGTCGGTAATGCGTCACACCTACTGTGTTTTTGTGTACATGATGTGCTAACTTTAATTTTATAAACTTATCAAAATGTTTTCTCAGTGTTTCGATTTGTCACATCAAATTATTTCTCTCAGTTGAATAATGTGGATACTGCCCCCCCCCCAAAATATAAAAGGTACCGACAATGGTTCTCACTTCTCTATGGGACAGTTTTTCTCTGGGCTCTGCGTCAGTGCGTCACACTAGAATCTTCGACACAGAACACTAAAATGTCATCAGTAGTTTGTGGCTTGGTGCAAATTCCACCAATAGAGAAAAATATTACTATGTATACATGTGCCTCAAATTGATTTGAATCACGATTGAATCCAATGACAACCCTTTTTTTCGGTATAGAGTTCAACCCACAGATTTAGAAAAAAATAGAATCGCGATTATGACGTGGCCATCGCCGCCGCCAACCTCAAAGAACATTTGATTTGTTCTTTAAATTTTATTCTGTTATACATGTCTAGTCAAGAAAATTAAAGGAAAATGATCTTTTTTAAAAAATTTAAACAGTATTTTATTGCAAAAAAAGTTTACGAATAAATGTTTAAAAACAAATCTGTGGAACAGATAAGAAAGCATTTATGTACCGTGTGTACCGTCACTTTTGAATTATACTGGTTGCCCCAATTTATTGGAAAAAACAAAATGTTAATGAATTTTCATTATTTTTGAGTCTACAATTATATCGAGTCTTTTTTTATTCGAGAAGAAATTAATTCCAACTGGTGCTGCACGAGACGCAATCCGAAAAATGAAGGCAAGGTATATACTACCTGAGGGATATATAAAAAAATATATAAAATGCTAATCTTGAAAATATTGTACACGGTATTTTGATTTGCATTTGATTTGCATATTCATTCTTTAAATATTTCTAGATATAAAATAATGTTTTCTTGAATTATTTATAATAAAAATATTTGTTTAACTTTGCAATATTGTTATTTTCTTTGCCTTAGATATAAATTTTTAATTTAGCTTACTTCAGGAATTCTATACCCAATGTGTTACGTCATTTTTTTTTAAAATGAGATGTGTATTTACACATATCGAAATCTCATACAGTAAAATAAAGCACCTGATATAATTCTAGACGAGAAAATCACAAAAATGCATTAAACCTGTCTTGTTTCTAGGTATCAAGTTTTCGTTTGTATTTAAGTACGGTTATCGAGCCAATTTATTGGTACTTTACAGTTTTTTTACCCAAAATCATTTTTTTTTCATCTTCTCTATTTGTTTTGATTTTTGCGATTCTATAGGCTGAACACAGATTCAAGTGAGTAAATGCTGTTTGCATTCGTTTTTTATGTAATTGTGTTTGTACATCATAAATGTGATCAATTTGCACCCACTATTAAACAAATTAAAGAATTAATAACATTATTAACAGGATACAAAATGCGGTTATAACAGATATGTATATGAAAACGCATCGGAATTTAAATCCAAAATCAACTTTGAAAACGATCCGAGTGACATGTATTAGGTATTAGTGAAAATTCGCTCAGCGCTAGTGAAACGAACTACATTACAATCGACGCGCACCTTTTGTCACACAACGTACAAGCATGTGGTTTGGCACCGGTATGGGAATTCAGATGCGTTTCGAGCGACGCCGCGTACGCAAAAGTGCGTTCGCAAAACTTGCACTTGTAGGACATTCGGTGGATCCGCCGGTGATCCCCTGAAATGGAATTTATAAAGTACTGGATGTCCAATTAAATAAAAAAATGTCGTAAAAGCTTGGAGAGAAAAAACTTATGCCTAACCGGCCTAGATAAAATACTGGGAATTATTTTTAAGTTTCTAGAATGGTCGTCAGGGGGCATCAATGTATTCTTGAATTTTCATTCTCGTTTATTCATAAATAATCATATATTACAGATAACTAAAATAAACAACGTTGTATAGCAGGAATTCTCCTACGTAGGAGGAATCAAGAAGGAATTAAAGGTTTCAGTCAAACTCTGAAAAAGCCAACAGGATGATTGGCGAAACGTCAGCAATTTCTACTCAGCAAAAATCGACGCAAGAGGAATCCAGAAGTTTTGTAAAAAGTATTACAGTAGCCTGTGGAAGTTTCTTTGAAAAATTAATCCTAATGAAGATTAGGGCGAGGGTGATCAAGAGTGACGTAGGCTTCAGATTCCTTAGCAATTTTAAACTTTTTGAGATGATGGATCATCCCTTCAAAAGATCATTACTCTCAAAGCGATCTTAGAAAAAGTAAACTTGAAACTGAAAAACCATCTGCAAGGTCAAGAAGGAATTGACCGAATTCATCTAGAAATATACTTCGAACAAATAACGAGAGCTACATTAAATGTTCCAAGGAAGCCTGAGTTGAAAAGACTTCAAAAGGCAAACAGAATAGACTCTTTACCCAGAATCAGAGATAATTTTACAATAGTCTATCTGCTAATCAAATATTAGGCGGTGAAGAACCAGATCCCGACGAATGCTTCAGAATACTGGAGCTCATTATGCTCGAGACTGATATGAAAGCTCCATGGCTTCAAAAAATGAAAGAGGCTTGCATTCATATTAAGGATATGAAGAGACCTTTCGTCACTAAAAAAATGGTATGGCTATTGTAATTGGAAGTGCAACAACTGGAAAGCTCCTGGACCTGACAAAAACCAAAATTTCACCAATTATTTTCTGGAGAATAACAATCCTCTGATAAATGTAATAATCAATGCTGACTCCCAAAGAAACTCACTCCACTTAATTTACATCAGGGTAACTTAAATCCTACAACTATTGAAGCTAGACTGGCAAGGAAGCCAATTTAGTTGGACATTGAGCAAAACGACAAACTGCAGTCGGTGGCCTTCCTCCATAAGGTTTATTTATACCCAGAATCTGTAGCATTCATAATCATTATCATATATAAATAAACAGGCTTATCCAAAACAGGATTAGTCCTGGATATTGAAGTTCTCTTTACATATTATCTAATACAAACGAAGTAGGAAAAATTTTCAAAATAGCAGAGTTGAATTTAAAAAAATGTGGAAATTGAACAGCATAAAAATGATATGTGGAGGGAGTTGCGACAAAAAGTTTCCAAAACTATATTAAAGATGCTTGTGTACCTAATGGCATGCAAACAGCGATTATGCTAAACTCCTGCAGCATAGTAAAAAAGTTCCTCTCTATGTAATAAGATGAATTTTTCTCTATAGATTAGTCCGACCTGTCAAATGATGATTGAGAATTTGTATAATAATAATTACAAAATATTTACCTAATATGCTCTTGTTTGCAAACATTTTCCCGCAGGCGTTGCACTGGAACTTTTTCTCGTCGCTATGAGTCAAAATGTGGTAATTCACGATAGTCCTGGACGCATATACTTTGCCACATATCTCGCATGGGAAAGAGCCGCCTCCCCTATTCGTTTTCGACTGGGTATTTGCTTTCTTGGGGCACCTGTAAACCTTCGGTTTTATGCCCTGATGCGTGTACCGCTTATGGAGCCTCAGGGCGCTGCTGGTAGGATAACGTTTGCCGCACAGGCTGCAGAGGTAGGGATGGACGCCACTATGGATGTTGTGGTGCTCTTTTAATAGATGGGATTCGCGGAAACCTACATAGTATTTTGATTATGTGACTTTGGCCACAATCCGCACTATGCAAGTTTTGCGAGGTTATACAATATTGGCAACACTTTTCATCTCTTATTTGATATTTGTGTTCTAAAGCAGAGTTATCAGGTGTTATAGCATAGAGCTCAGACACACTGTTTAAACACTGTTTATAACTATATATTTTTATGTTTCACTAGTACTTTCACTAGAAACGATTATTAATATACAGGGCATATATTTTCTTTTTAACTAGCCTCAGATAAGAAAATATACAAGGTGCAACAAAAAGCAATTAAAATACAAGTTCACGGACACAGGAGGAATCCAGAAGTTTTATAAAAAGTAGCCTAGATCTTGCTCATTGAAATACATTTTTCTATTCCTTACTGTTAAATACCTAATTATACACCGATCTAGCGTGCGGGAAAGTCATTCGTATGTTAACAATATGTATGCATGCATGATATATTATTTTTTACCCACTTCTAAAATACTAATTATACATGGATAGAAAAGATATAATATGCAACAGGTTTGGTAAATTCGTTTGGACTCTGCTGGTTATTATACTTGTTGCATAACATAATATTGTCCAGACAAGTCTTAATTATTAATAGAATTAACTAAATAAAATTGCAAATATTTACACAATTCAATAAAATAGAAGCCCTGTATGTTAATCCATTAGAAAAGAGGTCCTTTTTCGCTGATTTCAAAAATATAAAATGTTGCCGTGTCGTCACGTCAACCCACGCAGTTTGTTTAAATATGACAGTCATATTGAATAGTATTATTTATTATACCACCCAATTTTTTTTTCGGTACTACGGCGTGAGAGGGTGATTGTGCTGCGATACTGGAAAGAATTTCAGGGCGTTTGCCGAGCTAACTTATCCAAATTCAGTTTGGTGAGTCTTTTCCAAGCTAATTTTTTGATATGAGTTCGTTTTTTCACAAACTCCTAAGTCTTGACACCTAAATTATGGATGACGATTCGGGGGCGGGAGCCCTCCGTCGTCGTACTCTTTCCATCAGTTCTATAGAATCTCGCGTTGTTCTATTATCGAAATTATATATTTCGTCTAAAAACGCAGCGGAGATCATCTCACGATCTCAATATTTCGAAGTTCCCTCCAACAATGATCTCAGTCTTCTGTCCAATGAATTGCCAGCTATTAAAACTAATTTTAAGGGCGATCAGCAACTGGCACAGGAAGTGGCCAAACTTCTCGCAAATGTCAGACGTACTATTAATAGGAAGACATCTTATTTGATAACCGATCAGGCTCCTTTTATGATTGTGATGGAAGGTAATGGGGAGAAAGTTGGTTCAATACACCCTATGAACATGGGTAAATTGTTCAGTTTAATAGAATTCAGGGAATAGTTAAAATAACTAAAAAGGGGGCTAACAAAATTGGTATCGAATTTGACACTTCCGAACATGCTAATGAATTTCTGCATAATACTTCCTTCTCGAGAGTTACGGGTTATAACAAATACATTCTGCAGACATTATTCACGTGCCGCGGCTTAGTGAAGGATATTGGTGACCAGATTAACAAAGACGATTTGTACGAGGCAGCGGAGGCTCGTGTGATCCGAGGAGGTATTACCCAAAAAATTAAATTAATGAACGTCAGAAGAACACCCAGAAGAATTCGAGTCCAAGCCATAGATGGCTTCTTTCAATATAAAACGGTTCCAACTAACGATTACATCATTACCTTTGAAGGTAAAGTCCTCCCCGAGACGGTTAATATTTAGAAAAATCAATGTCCAGTTCAAAAATATATAAATCCAGTTATTATGTGTATTCATTTTGCCGCTTTGGCCACTGGACAAATCAGTGAAAAGGGAAGAGCAGGTGTAATTTCTGTTCCTCAGATCATCCCATCTGGATGTGTGAGAAAAAAGTGCAATATCAAAAAAAGGAACGATGCCCCTTGGATCGTCTGGATCAGGATCGTAACTGTATATTATCCGATTGCGAAGTTTCTCCCAAACCCACCTGCGTCAATTGCAAAGGGTGTCACCAAGCTTCCGATAAATTATGTCCTGAAATGGAACGTCAGATGAAAGTCAATCAGACTATGGCTTTTTACAACCTTTCCTTCTTCGCTGAAAAGCTGTTCCCGAGAAAATTAAGCAAGAATCTCTTCAGTCAGGAAGATTTCCCAAGCACACTGTGTCACAGCCGCCCTCTAGAATCGTCAATACCTCTTACTCCCAGGTAACTAAAAAGCATAAACCTAATTCAACCCAAGATAAAATATATGACAAGGATAGTCACAGAGCAGCCCTTCTTCCTTCAGCGAATAGTAATTATCAGTTTGAAGCTTTTAAAAATAATGTTTCTAAAATTATGTGCACCACAAACATGCCTATTAAATATCGGCCTTTGCTCAAAAATCTTCTTGAATCGGCATCTCCCTCGGGGTCTGTCGGTTCCTTTTAGTTATCAGTTTTTACTGAGGAGAGAATATAAAGTTTACTTTAGAGAATTCAAGATTTTACATTGGAACGCCTGTGGAATAAGACGGGATAAGGATAACTTAATTTGACTTATCAGAGATTTCGATTTGGATATTCTCTCCTTAAACGAAACCTTTTTGCTACCTAATGTTAACTTTACTATCTCGAGATACTCCTTTATCCGCGAAGATCGAAGGGATTGTTACGGCGGAATAGCAATTTTTATAAAAGCTCACATTCCATATAATGTGATCGATGTTTCCCATATTAATAGACAACCTAGATGTCAAATTCTGGCCATCGAGACTGAATCTTATATTATTGCAGCTATTTATAACCCCTCCGACCTTAGCTTGAACCGATCGTTGCTTGACCATGTTTTACATCTGGCAGGAGAGAAACCACTAATTGTTATCGGGGACGTTAACGCCCATAATCTTGCTGGGGAATCCAGTGTCACAAATCCAGTCGGCATTAATAGCGGTGGGGTTCTATGGAATTTCATAGTGGATAATGACCTGGTTATACTGAACGATGGGTCTGCCACCCGGTTTACTAATAGTACCATACATTCTGTTCCGAATGTTGCCTTCTGTTCCTCAACGATAGCCGTTGATGCAGATTTTAGTGTGCTATCCATCAGGGTTTTCAGTGATCATTTTTCCGATTGTCTTGAAGTTTGGAGGCGGCACTCAGGTAAGGGATCCTGATATTTCAGACGAGGGTAAGTTATTGTACGGCAGAGCGGATCTTCTGTTATATCGGATATGCTGTCTGTCAATCCTGATATCGCCTATAAAGAGCTCAAGAGGTCATCACAAAATTGGTCTTCCTTGGTGGGAGCCGGACTATACCCTATGGATAAAGCGCAAGAGGGAGGCCTTCAACATATATAAGAAAAACCCCACCTCCACCTTACGAAGCAACTATATTAACGCGCGAAAAGTCCGTGCTCAGTGCAGCAAGTTTCAAGAAGTTCTGTGACAGTTTGTCTCATAACACGCGTTGTTTGGTCTAGTGTACGAAGATATTCTAGAGCTATCAATCGAGTCAATCGGCATTTTCCCTTATATTATTCTATACCACAACAGCTATTAGATGCTCTATCCTCCCCCACAGTGCTAGAATCGGAGGTTGCAACAGTCGAATTTACCCAGGACTTTTCCCCAGCGTTTCTATTGGATCAATTCATTGTGGTCACCACTGACAGGAGAAATACCTGCCCCGGGATGGACTCCATCTATTTCTTATTCCTCCAAAAACTGCCCATAGAAGGAGCCGTATACCTGGTTAACTTCTTTAATAAAATTCTTCGAAACAGGGCTTTGATCCCGGATTCCTGGAGGTCCTACATGATTGTTCCTATTCTGAAACCCAATAGAGATCCCGGAGAATATTGGTTTTACCGGCCCATTAGTTTATCTTCGTGTGTGGCCAAGACCTTCAAGTCTATGATAAAAAACAGAATTGAATAGGTCCTGGAACGCCACAGAAAGTTGGCTCGTTCACAGGCTGGATTCAGACGAGTGAGGGGTACGCAGGATAATTTAGCTCTACTCGATTGTGAGGTTCTCCAAAACTTTATCGTTGGTAGAGTTTCAGTTTTGGTCACACTGGATATCGTCGGAGCTTTTGACAACGTCAACATTACGAAGCTGTTCCAGGAAATGCTGTTATTATACATCAGATTTTGTTTATTAGAAGTATTTGGGTTCGAGACGACTGCAATCATAGCACGAAATGACGAATAAGGGTGTTCCTCAGAGATCCCCTCTGGCGCCACTTATCTTCAATATTTACGTCAATTCCCTCGGCGAAGTGGTTCCTACTAATGTGCAACTTTTTCTATTCGCAGATGATATAGCCTGGGTTTGCAGCCAACCGAACATTATGCAAGTGATTGATATGCTTAATGCCTCTTTGAGTAGAATATCTCAGTGGTTCTCGAACTTTGATCTTACTGTGAACCCACGGAAATGTTCTGCAATCCTATTCTCCAAGAGAAAAATAATGGCCTCGCCTCAGGCGCTTAACATCCTTAATGAACCCATTCCTTGGAAGAATGAAGTAACTTATCTTGGATTCACCTTCGACTCCAAAGCGTCTTGGTCAACACAAATTAGCAAAATGGCTGGAAGAGCAGCAACAGGTATTAATATGATGAAGGCTCTGACTAGAACTTGGTGGGGCAATCACCCCAAAGTTATGTTGTCATCTCAATTATGGTTCCATGATTCAAGAAGGACATTAGTAAAGCTGCACAGAGTTCAATTTCAAGCTATTAGAGTAGCCCTAGGGATGATGACATCCTCTCCTACAAAAGCGCTACTTACAGAAGCTGGGGAAATCTACTTGGCAACCAGATTCCTAGCTAGATCTTCAGCTTTGAAGGGATTCGGCGGTGTAAGACAGAGTACAACGATTATATGGGTGTGTCCACGAGGTTCTCTTTGTTGACTTCTGTCGGAGGGAATGGTCCCATGATAGCACTGGTGTTTTCATGCCCAGTTTGAACGTGCATTCCGCTGTATCCATCTAAATAGCTATTTAAGTATATGCACAGCTGAAGTTGTGGCTATTAGCAATGCTCTTGACATTTTATTTGACCATAATATTGAAAGGGTAGTTATTGTATCTGACTTTAAGAGTCATTTCTTCATTCTACATCATTTCGAGTACTCAATTTTCTGCTCGGTCGGATCGTTTAGTCCTGGATGCTAGAGTAAAATTTCTTCTTCTTAGAGATATTCCGGGATACCAAGTCAACCTCTGCTGGGTTCCTAGTCATACGGGCATTGTGGGAAACGAGGCAGCGGATGCAAAATAGCTAAAGACGCGGTGAATTTATCACCACTGAACATTAAATTATCATATAAGAAATGCTATAAAGAATTCCCCTTTGTTAAGCAAACTACTTGGAAATTTTGGACATTAAAATGGAAAAAAATCGGACAGAGTAAGGGAAGGATATACAGACACTTTTTTGAGTCTCCGCCAGCGCAGCCATGGTTCAAAAAATTTAAACTTTCAAAATGTCGAAGTATCTACCTTGTGTAGATTAAGAAGCGGTCATTGCTGCAATCTGGTTCAATTATATGATAATAATAATAATAATAATAATAATAATAATAGCACTTTAGTTCCAACAAGTAACATGACCCAATTACAGGAAATATTAAATATAAATCATCCAATATATATACTAGGGGACGTAAAAACTAATCTTCAATCTACTAATCTAAACTAAACTAACTAAACTAAAAAAACGAAGAAGGATAGAATGAGAAAGAGAAAGAAAAGGATAAGACTTATCGGTACGCATAACCCGACGCCATTCGAAGTTGCTAAAGTATGGCCTGGAGACCATCATAATATAAATCGCAGTACGATGATAGTTTGTTGAAGGTAGCACAGATATTGTAAATAGGGTTTTGAAAATGGATATTGGACCTGGGTAACTGCGGCAGCCGCGGCACATGAAAACGTAATTGTTCCAGAAGAAATCGACAATCGACTCCGTAATGAACTAACTTATAGAGAAATGAAACAGATTGCAAGTCTCTGCGCAAGCTCAGGGGCAGTATAGCGAACCTTCTTAGTAGAAGATCGTGATCAACTCCCCTCTCAGGATAGGAACCGTCCTCCCTGAACATTAGATACTTTAGTAACCTTCTCTGCACACTCTCAATGGACTGAGTGTGGCAGTTATAAATTGGTGACCATATCAGCGAGCCATAGTCAAGCTTGGACCTAACGTAACAGTTAAATAACAATTTAACAGTAGCTGAGCTACAAAAATGCCTGCAATTTCTTATTACGAATCCTAAAATTTGCATTGCACTGGAAACCATTTTTGTAATGTGAGGTACAAAAGAGAACGACTGGTCAAATAAAATCCCCAGATCCTTCGCAGTAGCAAGTCTGGTCAGGACAGTACCATCCATATTGTAATTAAAGACTATAGGAGTTTTTGTGCGGTGGTAAGAAACCACATTACACTTGCTGATGTTAAGATGCAATTTATTTTTAGTACACCATTGACTGACAATATTGATGTTGTCCTGGAGAGTCATGCAGTCCATGCCAGTTTCAATGCTCTCGTATAGCTTTAGGTCATCCGCAAAGGCAAGCTTGTTGCAGATGATCGAAGATACGAGATCATCTATAAATATATTGAAAAGCAGAGGTCCAAGGTTAGAACCTTGAGGCACGCCAGAAGTTGGAACAAAAGGAACTGATCTAAACCCCTCAATCTCAACAAACTGTCGACGATTCACCAAATAGAACCTCAACACTGTAATCAGCGAATCAGAGAAACTAAATTTATGAGATGCTTTTTCAATCAGTAAGTGATGATCTATCTGGTCAAATGCTTTGTGGAAGTCAGTGTATATAACGTCAACTTGACCTTGCTTGTTCAGAGAGTCACAGACATACGAAGACAGGGAGTTGCGTAGATAGTTTATTTCTAATTTGAGCAAAAATAAATGTATTTAATATAATCTCGAATATTTTAGAAAAATTGCACAAGATCGAAATAGGCCGGTAGTTTTCAACAACAGAGGGATCACCTTTTTTGAGAATAGGATAAACTTTGACATATTTCCAAGGCTCTGGATAAACACCCGTCTCAAGTATCAGGTTAAAAACGTGACATAAAGGAGCACACAGTGCGTGGGAACAGTCTCTCACGATAAAACTTGGTATGCCATCAGGACCAGCGGTAATTTTGTTCTTGAGTTCTTTGCTTGCTGACAAGACATCCTGGATAGTAAGCTTAGATATGTTCACTAGTTCCGGATTAGAGGACACGCTTGAAGATGAACATGGATCTGGCTGGGATATGGTGTAAACGCTACCAAAGTACTTAGCAAAAGCTGCAACAACCATATTAGGCCCTTGGCATGGCTGACTAGAATAGGACATCGAGGCTGGGATTCGCGAATCTGCCTTCTTCCGCTGAATAAATGACCAGAAATTGGTAGGACCATCATGTATACTTAACTCAGCACGACGAAGAAAATCAGTATAGGCAATGCGTGACTGGAACTTGATTGACTTGCGTAGCGCGGTATATCGGCCAAAATAATAACAAGATTTGTGTTGCTTGAAATTGCGGAAAGCTTTCTCCTTCTCAAATATAGTTGCAGTCATTTCTTTAGTGAACCATGATGGAAATCGCCTTCGTCTCAGTGTTTTAGTGGGCGTGCAAAGGGCAAAAATATTGTTTAGCATGTCGTAAGAAAGTGTTAGAGCCCTGTCGACTTCCGAGCACTGCATAACACTATTCCAGTCTGCATGCTGCAGTAGAAACAGTGAAAAAAGGAATATTGAAGTCACCCAATAACAAGACAGATCCACCAAACAACAAGTCCAGCGACGACAAAGATTCAAAAAAGTTCTCAACTTCGAAGTTGGCAGCAGTGGGAGGAATGTATACTAAAAATACATAAAATACAAAGTAATCTAAAGAGATCTTACAGCCTAAAAAGTCTATGTTTGGGCACTGTTGCTGATGCCGGAGGTATCCAGAAGTGCAGACTCAATACTGTCACGAACATGAACACCCTGGAGACTCCGGTTAGATCTTGCCTTCTGTCTGAGCGGTAGACCAGATAAGAATCAGGAAAGAGTTCAGTGTCCCAAAAATCTGGTTGAAGCCAGGATTCAGTAACAGCAACGATATCATACCCTGAGGAAGTTACGCCACTGTAAAAGACATGGGTCCTAGTTCTGAGACCCCGAACGTTCCGGTACATACAGGTCAATTCTTTGGCTGGGGTGGCGGCGGAGCTGGATTTTTGTAGCGATAGTGGGAACACCACGGATGTATTTTAGAATCAGATTGTTTTCACCATTCGAGCGACGATGTTGCAGTTCTTCTTTAATATCCCGAATATGCTTACGTTGCGTCGGAGAAAGATCTGCCTCGACGTAAATTTGGTGATTCTCAGCGAGTGTTCTCCTACTCTTCAGCACAAGTGACACGTCGCTGGGTTTAGACAGCGTCACTTTAACTGGCTTGTAGCCATTACGGTTTGGTTTACTGACGGAAACAACGTTGGTGACTTCAATCTGCGTAGACCCACTGCTGGAAAGCAGTGAAGAGATTTGAAGTGATTCAGGAATGCTCTCGTCTCGGCGAAGATTAAAAATCATCAAATTGTTAATGCGTGCCTGTCTCTGCAGCACTTCTTGCAGAATGCCGTTATGACTTTGTTCGCCGGCTGTAGTGCTGTCACTGCGATTGTTATTAGCAATTTGCTTCCTTAACTCTGCAATCTCAGATCTAAGATCAGCATTAGTTTTGATTTGATCTTCGTATCTCGCCAGCAGGTTGACATACTGAGCCTCGATGACTATTAATTTCTCCATCGACTATATCGAATAAAAGTGAGACCTAACAATTTGTGTCAGTGTGTAGAGGTAGGAGAGTTACACCACATCCTGTTCGATTGCACCCATCATAGAAATTTGAGTTAACATATATATGAGAGCTTATTAAGAGTCGGAGTGCCTGGCCCCATTGATATTCATTCTCTTCTGTTTCATTCATCTAACCTCGATTCTATTGCACGTCTTGTAGGGTCATTTTTGCATGCTTGCCGCGCTTGCTTGTAGGTTAACTTAATGGGTAGTTTCCAGCGCTTAGTTCTTGAATGATCTAGTTGTTTCTTCTGGTTATGTTTGTTTTATCAAATGTTTTATTCGTTTCGTTTATTTAACACGCAGATTAATTTGACTATCACGCCGGAGAAGATCCGAAAATCCTCGGCGGATGCCGGAAAGTGGGTAAACGACCGCAGTCGTGCCCAGCTGTGAGCGAATAGTATTATCTCTCTCTTATACCATCCAATATGACAATGACAATCGAGATAATAAAACATCTTTTACAAAACGTCAGAACCAATGCATTAGCGGAAATTATATTGCAAGAGGATGGCGCCTGCCCAATTATGACTAGCCAATAGCCTTGATCTTACATTTCCAGATACATTTTCGCGGGGGTATTCAAAAATATATTTTGAGTATTATGGCAATATATATGACATTAAAAAACTAATTAAGAGTGAAATAAGTAATATTAATGATTTGCGTCCTGCCTGTATAATCAAATTTTCAACATTTAGCGCAATATTAATCAATACGTTAGTGTTGCTGTGACCTTCTGATACATAGCCAACTAAACAATTTTATTTTTGGGTAACTCAGACCTTAATGTAAAAAAACTATACAAGTTATATATTTTTGAAATCAGCATAGAAAGACCTTTCATTTTAGGAAATAAAATACAGGACTTAAAATTTTAAAATATAACTTAACTTTTCGTCACACCTTGTATAAAAACAAGTATGAAATATTAAATCTTCACACTAAACCCTACATCTTTTGCACTAAACTTTTTTTTCTGAAATAAAAAATAACAAAGATGAACTACTGCCTATTGGGTTCCAAATATTTTGATTGTATTTGAAGTCCATGCAAATTACCTCTGCCACAGAGTTCGCAAACGTGAGGCAAACCAGTGTGGGACAGTTTATGCCGGGCCAGGTTTCTCCGGGTTTGGTATTTTTTGCCGCAAATCTCGCACTGATAGGATTCTCCAGTCTTGCTATGTAGCTTCATGTGCCTTGCTATCCTATCTGTACTGACAGTTTTATTGCAAATGGTACAGCAAGCAGGCAATTCTTCTTTTTCAACTTTTTGCTCATTTGGACTGTTGATCGGTTTTGGATCTGCATTTTCAGAAAAGTCGCAATCTTTTTTTTGGGTTGGCCTAGTTTCAAACTCCTTATCACAAATATTTTTTAATATATTCTCTGAATTTAAAACAGTCGTCTTAAAAGAATTAAACAATTTGATATTGTCCACACAGTTCTGGCATATACTACTTGGCAAACCGTCGTTTTTCGATATCTAAAATATATAACTTCAATCTAATTTAAATGAAGTCTTTTAATTAGCAGAGAAAAAATATGTACATACCTCTACTGAATAAAGCGATGTGTAAATAGTGCTCAACATGTTGCCTTCGTATTCAAACTCAAACAAATGTGTCTCTGCATTTCCAAACAAACAAGATCTACAAATCTGAGTAAAGTTTTCTTTGGAAATTATAATTTCTTCCAATTTGTTTTTGATTTTCACACTATAAGCCATATCGAGTGTAATATATAAAATTTACAGGAGGTGAAAGAACCAGATAACAATTTTTGTTAAAAAGTTTTATTGATTATTTCCACTCTCTATGCCACCCTACAACTTTATTTACTGATCATGGTGCTGCTTTATTTACTTCGTTGGGGCATTTTACTAGAACAATTCGGCCAGCTTAAAAAAGATCGTAATTTGAATGTATATTTGTAATAATTTTTTTTCTCTTTTTTTTACATATACGGTGACGATGAGAGATTTTAAATGCAACGCTAGCGGTGACGTCACAGTTGCCTTAAAAAAAACTGTATATTAATTTTTTTTTGTGTATACTATGCTTTTAATACCACAGTATCCTAAACTCTACGTAGGTCAAATTTACATTTAAAGGATTGTTGCCAGCTGATAATTAATTTCTAAGGTACTTTTTGCAATAGTGTTTTTATATTTTTTAAAAATGATAAATGAAAAATGTCATGTTTTGTTTTGGATAATGAATGTGCATTTACACAAATAACCTTGCCTGTGGTTCTTTTATTATTTTTAAAATCGAAGGCGAGTAGTCTGTTTTACCATATGCCTGTATTTTTGGACTATATATTCAAATTTATTTATAAATAAATGTGACAGCCATCCTCTGGTACAGATGATGAAATCAAGTAATTATGTTGTGCAAATTGTAGTACATTTTCGTTATTACGCTATATTGCTAATGGTATATGTGGACATATTATGCAAACCTAGTTCCCCACTTTTCCTTTTGAATTACTAACGCTTACATTTATTTTTGCTACCAGATTCTCAGTCAGTTTTGCCAGATTATTCCAATTAGGTATGTTTTTAGTCACATCAGGAATGCGCAGGCAAAAAATCAAGTCCTCCAGTGCTGTCATCAAAGTTCGAATGTTAGGAGTTAAACTGATGGGATAATCCTGATTGGTAGAATCTACTCAAAAATGACGGAACAGCGGGAATCTCTGAGTTCGTTCGTCGATAAATCAAAGAAATGTACTGAATATGACAAAATATTGGGAAGAAATGTGCTCGTGGCCCCCTCTGAGGAACAGTATGAACTTTTGTTGAAAAGATTAAAGCAGCAACTTGGTGAAGGTCGCGGTGAAGTCATCCTAGAAGTAAGGAAAGTAAGTAAAACTGTTTTCTCTAAATCAACACTGAGCATAAATTCAGATTGGAGCTTCAGAAGATGGCAGTGAAAACGGGCTGTTGCAAGATGAAGTTGAGGCTGCTGTGGCAACATTGCAATCTCTAGCTAACACTTTGGAGTGCAGTTGTGTGAAGTTGAGGGAGCGTAAGGAGACGCGAGGAGTGGTTGTGCAATATTTAATAAGACGCGTTTTGGATCAAAGCGGTGAGGAAAAACCTTGGTTTGAATTTGAGTTAATTTCGGCAAGTTTCCAGACTTTTTGGAGATTCGAGTAGCGGTAGTTGGCAACGTGGACGCCGGGAAGTCTACCTTACTGGGTGTCTTGACCCATGGAGAGTTGGATAATGGCAGAGGGACGGCCAGACAGAAACTTTTTCGTCACAAGCATGAAATGGAATCGGGAAGGACTAGTTCGGTGGGAAATGATATTTTGGGGTTTGATGAAGAAGGTACGTTTTTTTCGTTGGTATCATTATTATTTCTATAACTAACCAGTTTAACGCTAAAAAGATTGATAATCCAAAATTATTTCTGGTCATAAACAATTACCTTTATTGCCAATTTTTGCATAATGCAAATTAGAGGGGTATATGTTCTAGGTAATGTTGTAAACAAGCCCGATCATGGGTCCTTGGATTGGGTGAAAATATGTGAGAGAAGTTCCAAGGTCATTACATTCATCGATTTGGCAGGTCATGAACGGTACTTGAAAACTACCGTGTTTGGAATGACCGGTCACGCGCCAGACTTTGGAATGCTCATGGTAATTCATAATTATATAGTAACTACAATTTTAGTTTTGGAGCAGTGGATCTCGTTAAATATATTTGAGGCATAAAATGTCATTTAACGGTTCTATCAACAAATTGTTTGGAGGTTATGTCTGATTGTTTTCGTCGTTTATTCCAATCCATACTTTTAAGAGATTCGTGGACGGATTTTTTATTTACCCTATATCAGTTAAACAAGTCCAGCTAATGTGTTTAATTAATATTATATTTGTTTATCATCCTGCCACGCTTTGAAATAATGTTTCCCAATATCCTGTAAAAATGTTGATACTAATACTCATTCTTATGGAACCTTGTATAATATATCTTCATACTATACTATAATATGCCAAGCTTTTACAAACATTTAACTAATTTCCTATATACCAGTGTCACGAATACTCTAAAAAATGGAAACTTTCAGCTTTTTGGCTATGACTGCAGTACATTTGTGACTTAACTAAAGTTTTGGGTCATTGCCACAAATCTCGCGCGTATTTTGGTTCGAGAATTTTTTCGAAAGGACATACATAAAAATCGAGTCTTTATAGTCTCCAAAAAAAAATTTCAAATTTCTTAAAATAATTCTTCGGGATTTCCGACCCCGCCCAGGTTCAATAGAAGGAAATTTTGAGACCCATACTTTCCATCGCTCGAATGTTACGCGACCTCAAAAACCTGCAAAAGGACGTTACCAGAACAGAGAACAGAAAAAAATGACAGTTCTATAATGTGAATAAATGTATGAATTTCGTAAATTTGTTTAATTTGTATTTGATCTTAAAGTAATATTTAACACTCTTCAAATTTGTTCGTGAACCAACTTTATGAATCAATTCATGAAAAAATTATCACTGAAAAACTAGTGTAAGCAATGACCCTGGCGTTCATTAGTTTTACGCAATAAATATGAGAATTGTCACTTTGGCAAGTGTTATAACATAAAAAGCTCTAACAGGAAGTATGTGAATAATTTTGGAGTTTATAAATCTTTTTTTTTTGGCAACTGTGAAAATGTGCGTATACTTGTGTGCTCTTCATACAAAATGTTTTTGAGTAGTTGAAACTGTAACGTTATTTTTGGACACTGGTTTTAAAAAATGAAATGAAGCAAAAAATTAAAGAGGCTTGGAAAAAGAGTCGACTACAAGAGGATATAAGAAAAAAAGTTAACAAAAGCGTTCGAAGATGCCGTTCTCTTAAAAATGTAAACTTGAAACTACTTATGCAGAATTATCTTCTCATATTTCTATACAATCTTTGGAAAAACTCCTCAAGAACTTAAAATTATTCAGCAACACAATAGAAAGATAATTTGGAGTTTTTTGTAACAAAGGAATTAATTTTTAATTGCAATGGTCAAGTTTCTTGTTTTTTTGATTTGACTTTTGTTTTTAATTGTAACCTGTGATAGATAATTAATCTCTAGGGCGTTAAACTTAATGATTGCACACAAATTAAAGAGTAAAAAGGGTTTTTTTGACGTAAATCGAGAACAAAATTCAAAACAACTGCTTGTGCCAGACACGCGGGGCAAGTGAAAACCCGGCCGCTGACAGGCTTCAGCGAGCGTTGTGCGTGGACTCTCACCGATTGTCGCTGGTCACTTGCCGAACTACGGCCCAGACTCGCGCTACCTATTATGCAAACAGCCAGGAGCGCGAGTGTTGACTGGTGATGCTAACAACCTGTAAATGTTTAATTATGCTAGGCCAAGTCATATAATATGATTTTGTTGGAAATGAAGGATATTATTATAATTAACCTTTGGGTTTAGCTATCTTAAACGTTATGGAAACATACACTTATTTTGCTCTTAGAATAACGAAAAACGCTATACTGTACTGGGGGTTCCCATTAAATAAGCATGTTCTATACTTTTAACTCTTTTGGGACAACTTGTATATTACGAAAGTAATTTTAAAAACTAACCATAACCACACCCCAGAATTAAAATTAAAAAAAAACCAGGTTTTTGGCCACATTTACATTTTAATACATATTTTAACATTATGTGTTATTTAAATGACATTTTAACATTGAATTTAAAAACCAGGTGGGAGCTAATGCTGGAATTATCGGGATGACCAAGGAACACCTGGGATTAGCGCTAGCCTTATCGGTGCCCGTTTTCGTGGTAGTGACGAAGATAGACATGTGTCCAGTGAACGTGTTGCAGGATAATTTGAAAATGCTGATCCGGATTTTGAAATCGCCCGGTTGCAGGAAGGTGCCGGTGATGGTGAAGACGCCCGACGACGTCGTACTCAGCGCTACCAATTTCGTGTCTGAGAGGTATAATTACGTCGTTATACTGTGCTTCTGTCGTGAAATTATGAAGTCTATTTCGGAAAAGTGTAGAGTGGTAAAACCTTATTAGGTATGCAAAAGGGAACTACAGAGTGACCCAACAATTACTTGTACCGCTTTCATTGTTGGGGATTGATTTCATTACTAAATAAATAGTATAGGTAGTACCACCCGCGTTTGAGCCAATGTATGTGATCCATTCCAATTCCAATTCTTAAAATACAGAATAAAACAAATATTTTGCCTTTGAAAACAATCCACCTAATAACTGCAGCAAGTCGATGGAGCTCTACTTAGTATTACCTACCCTTACTTTTGAATGATAAAAAATTGTAATAATCTTCGCGACCTCAGCGTCTGTCATTCCCTCTTACAGGACAGCAAAATCTGTTTATATTAGTATCGGATTTGCAATACGAATCAAAAATAAAACTATTGCAAAAAATTTACCCACACGCGGCTATGGCTAATCTCGAAATTGGGCGGAACTGGACGGAATTGCTTAGTTTATTACTCTACACTTTTCTGAAACATCCTATAATTATCCTTTGCTCTAAATTTATCAACTTTTTATGGCGCTGGCGGTTTCTGAGAGAGGTTTTTGCTTGTAGGTTATGCCCGATTTTCCAGGTGTCCAACGTGACCGGCGAAAATCTGACCCTCCTAAAAACGTTTCTCAATTTACTAACCACGAAGATGGAATACCACGAGAACGAGCCGGCCGAGTTTCAGATTGACGATACTTATTCGGTGCCAGTAAGTCATTCCGATTCGTTCTCTGGAAAAGTTTTTTTTTCCATGTCTGTGGACATATAAAATTTTCCCGTCCCTGTAGAATGATCTGTTTTAAACTTCGTTGAATGAAATTTACACTAACACGATCCTAACTTTGAAATTGAAGCTTTTGACACACAAAAATGAATTTCAAAGATCGCAATTTTTGGTTTTTCGGATTTATCTCGAAAACTCAGGTTTTATACAGATCATATCCCAGATATAAATTCAAGATAGCAAAAAAGATATCGCGGTTCTAAATATTTGTTTTACATTCTGCATTAATTGGGTGCATACTAATATGCAACCAATTGCGATGGTGGTGGTCATTTCAGTTTCCCGTTGTATTTTAAACCCTCTTGTATCGTAATAAGATGGTGGAAAAGGAATCTTATATAATTATTCTTACATAGAATGTATTCGCCTTATTCAGATCTTTTATAAAATATATAATTTACAATTTAATGTCATTAATTAATATATTATTATTATTATTATTATTATTATTATTATTTTCATACAAAAACACAATGGAATAGAAAAAAAAACTGATTTCCACCAGCTGCCAGACATTTTTTGCACATTTGCGGTCATAATAGCGCAGAATCAGGAATTCAGTCTCTTACTCACATAAGTTTTGAGTGCCAAGCCAAAGATATATATTTAAAAAAAATGTATAATCCTTACGAAATATTCTTAGAAAATGGTATAAATGGTATAAATATTTCCACTTGATGATGTGCTGCTCGAACAGTCAATATTATATTTAAAAAAGGTGTATTTCAGATTACGTTCTCCTAGTTTTTTAAGACGATTTATACAGTAACCAAGAAAAAATGTTTTCTATTTTTTTAATTAAATTGTGAAAAAAAACATTTTTAATAATTTTAACACTGTTAGAGTGAATTCATAAAAGAAATGCATATATACTATTTGAGTGTAACTAATTTTATGATGGCCTCTATGAAGTGATTTATCTCAGTTGGAGAAGGAGTTTGTTGTAAGCCTTGATGGCATTATACGTGAAACTTCGCTGGAACTGTGCTGTAGTATGTTTGGGAATGGTAAATGTTCCATAAGATTCCTTATTTAAAATACAGACGGGCATGTTTTCTGTTTCTCCCTGTATCTCAGAAACAAAGTAATTCAGAACTGTTTTGAAAAATAGACACAGTATATATATGCATTAATACAGAATGGATTAAGAAACGGTATAGTATAAAAACGCTTTTTTCCCAATTTTGACAGCTAATATCTAACAAACTAAACACGGAAAGTTAATATCAATTGGACCTTTTTATTTAAATAACTAGTATTATAACAAACCAAAACTTTCTTAAATTCAGATAAAGTTTACCTTACTATAGGGCGTGGGGACCGTAGTGTCTGGCACCACCTTGAAAGGCATCATCAGACTAAACGACACGCTGATGTTGGGACCAGACGCTCTGGGCCACTTCGTCCCCATAGCGGTCAAGAGTATTCACAGGAAAAGGATGGCGGTGAAGGAGGTCAGGGCTGGCCAGACCGCGAGCTTTGCCCTCAAAAAGGTGCCCCTCCGATTGTTAGAGAAAACAACGAAAATAATTATTTAACTATGTGTTTAGATCAAGAGGTCGCAAATACGAAAAGGGATGGTAATGGTGTCGCCTACGTTAAACCCCCAGGCTTGTTGGGAATTCGAGGGAGAAATCCTTGTTCTGCATCACCCCACCACCATCAGTTCACGCTACCAAGCTATGGGTGAGTGTTCCTTCTGATTTAATAGAATTATTGCGGATATCTTATTTATTTATTTATTTAATGATTCCTTTTTATTCTTTTACCTTTAAATATGTACAATGCTTGAATTGTTTTTGTGTTGAGGTTATTCAAAAATAGCTTTTTTTTTTAATTTTATTTTATTTTTCGTGTTGAATGTGGATCTTTATCAATAATTGAAAATACATACAAATAATACATAAATTAAATATTTTATATAAGAATATTTAGATACATATTTTAGTTATCAGTTAGTGCGAAATAAATAGTGAAAGAGGGCTTGTTAGTTTTATAAGTATGATCTGAACCACTACCATTGCTAGTGACATCAAAAACACTCAAAGGGAATGAATCAGAATTCGAACATTTAAATAAAGTTTGTTCAATTGTTGATAAGCGGATAAACTTATTTATTTACATTTCACAGTTATATAATTCACAATAAACTGGCATATTTCTAAAAATATTCCTAAAGCAAGCCCAAAAACTTTACATCTACAGACGCATTAGACTGGAATAAACGTGGCTGCAAACATCAGGCCAGTCTTTGACATGTTTAAATTAAGGCCATTTTGAGTATAAATAGTGAATAGTGAGGGAGATTAGTTATAAGAATGATTTTTTTATGAAGGTAGGTTGGGCTTTTAATAATTTTTAAAAAAATGTTTTTTACACAAGGCTAAATTATTATATTGCCAGATTATCTCTAATAATATTTTGTTAATTAATATTGATAAAACAAAAATATTAACTTTTCCATTATTTACGAGGTCTTTACCAGGTTTTCAGATTTTCAAAGTATTAAGGTATATAGACCACTATTAAAGTCGAAGGCTTTATAACAATTTACAACAATTATGGTACAGTTCTTTGAGGGAATACGGATTCCACGATATTGTTAAAATTCCAATTGAAATAAAGATTAAATGTCCAAGGAATTCGACCAAATTCTACAAGCAAAGTAATTTATTTAATATTAATCAATTTGTTCAGTTCATTGCGGCAGCATCCGGCAAACGGCCAGCATAATATCCATGTCGAAAGAATGTCTACGGACCGGAGACAAGGCGCTGATCCATTTCCGGTTCATCAAACATCCCGAGTACATGACACCTGGACAAAGGATGGTATTCCGCGAAGGACGGACCAAAGCGGTGGGCAACGTAGTCAGGATAATACTGCAGGCGTCGCCCACCCACCAAGGGAACAAAGCGAAGCAGAACAAGCAGCAGAGATATGGACAGGGTCACCAAAAGAATCAGCAGGATAAAACTAGGAGGGACGAAGTTACAGTTACGGTTTTGGAGAAAGAGAATTATTTGAAAGAGGTAAGGATAGTGTTTAATGTTAAAAGTCCTGGCCTATTTGGTGAGTCCCCGGAAATGATTAGGTGTATGGAGCCCGCAAAAACTGGGCACATTATTAAGATTAATTTCCAGCTCTCAACAGATATATTGTTAATTAGAATAATGTTATCTGCCGATAAAATATACAGAGCGGTCCTGTCAAAAATTTGTAAAATAGTCGGAAATCTTTGATAATTGTTAGTTTGGTTTTACATGCCATTGAGGAAAAAATCTTGGCTGAGGCAACATTTAATTTTTTTATTTAGCTTGATATCTCAAAAAACAAACAAAATTAATTGAAAGCATGATACATGTGTCCCACTGCATCTTTATATTCAATACACTGTACATAGTAAATATTGACGTTAAAAAAAAATAAGAAAATTTCTGTCATAGTTTTCAGAGATTGACGCCATGAATATGGAAAACGCCTTCCAAGGAAGTTCAGACAAGAGGGAAACTGACACACAAAAACCGGGCACCAAGAAGGGCAGGAGTCGCCGCGGGGGGAGGGGCAAAAGCTTGAATGCCTCGACGAAATCAGAGATCACCAACATAACTCCCGTGCATTTGTCAAATCGGACAACGGCCAGGGTGCAATAAAGTAACCTTATTACCATTTCATATTTCACTTAGTTCGGTCTGCGGCTCACAATTTAGTTGTCTACAAATTATCCGAGATATTTTTTATATTTTTGTTGATGGTTTTCTTTAAATAAAAGTCTCCAAAAATTTGAGTGAAGTTTTATACAATCACCACATCAAAGTATTTACAGATTTCATTTAAGACATAACAACTCCTTAATCCAATTTTTCAATGTAAGGAAGATACCAGGAGCATTGCAACCATGTTTTGTTTGATACATACTGTAACTTAAATTTCAAGGTTAAGATAGAAAATAATAGTTTGTCAGATTATAAGATTGATTGTTAATCATAAAAACAAATAGAAACCAATATAAAAGTAATTAATTTAAAAAAGAAAGGATAAAAATAGATCATAAAAAATGTATTGGCAGATTTGAACAAAAACTCATAAACACCCAAGTTAAAGAAGAACTCTAATTTGTCAAAAAGGTGGTGAAAATTATAGTTGGATAAATCAGGATTATGAATTTAAAAACTCAAAATAAAAACACTAAAAAATCGGCATTTCAAAAATCAGTGGATAAGTACAGGCAATATTGTCAAAAAACAGTGAGATTTTATTAATAACTTCAAATATAATTTAACTAAAAGGCAGTTTTCAAAGCAGCAAAAAGAATAAGATAATTACAGACTAATCTCAATACATTTTTTATAAATCATGGAAAAACTTATGGAACAATGCAAACACAGTTCAAGTGAACACATTCCATTATCGTTTCCTAAATATCAGTGGCACTGTGGATTTTGTCAATCATGTCTTAAGGGCACTGGGCATTAACAATCAGCAATCAAAGACATTCAGCAACTAACGAACGAAACGTATTAGTAGCATTATCAAAGATGATTATTTATAGCAAAAAAAAAACTAAGGACATGATCTACAATGCCTTTTTATATCTCGCTTTATATATGGGGAACTTGTGGCAAAAAGAAATTTCAAATGATGCAAGTGTTACAAAACAAAATAATAAAAACATTATATAACTATGATAGACTTACTAACATAGCTAGGCTATACAAAGAACTAAATATAGTTAATTTAAGTGCACTTACACAGTACTAAATATTGAACAAAAATCTAATGTATGAACAATCTTATCAGAGAAGAGAATTATAAGCAATATTCACCAAGAGATGTGTCTGCAAATAAATTGAGTTTCTTTGTTAAAAAACTTAAAAAGTATATTATTAGTAAACAGATAGTTTACTTATATATTTATACCCACAAATTACCTGTTCAAAGTGTTTTCTCAAGGCCACAGGTTTAAGCACTGCTTAGATATATTTTTTTAAAAGACAAACATTGAATATACATATATATTTTCTGAAATAAAGATATTTCAAAAAACAAAATTTAATCACTTTCAAATTCCTGATCGTCCAACTTGCAGGCCTCTAAAACCAGATCCATTCTGGCTAAATTTATTGTTTCGTCATCCAAATGTGGGACATTGGGAAGGGGTTTGGTTTCTTTGGCCAGCTGAGGCTCTTTACAACCGTTTTGTTTTTGCACGATACTCTTAAGTTGCATCCACTCTACATCCGTCTGAATGATTTCTGTGTCGATGTTTTCCAAAAGTCTGACTAGATTTTGTTCCAGATTTTTCAGCTTCATAAGCTTTTGAGTTTCAAAATCCATTTTGATTTTAACAGTGTACCCATAACCTCTATTTTCATTCTTCGTTTGGCCTTTGGGGTTAATTAAAGCTGATCAATTGCTACAACATTAACCACAAGTAGAACCAATGTGTTGTATTCGACTTGTTAAAAAAATAATCTTTTTCGAACATTGCAGTTTATCAAACAACTTTTTCTATCAAAAGTTTCCGAGCACACCAAATCAGGTTCAGGTAAAATGTCAGATATGGGCGAATGGGTAAAGCAACGTTGCCTATAACGGTAATTGTTCATTATGAACTGTGTTTATTTCCGACCGTTTTCATTTTCCATGCATGAGTGGAGAATTGATTTGGAAGTTAATTAAAAGAAACGCGTGGCCGCAAAAATATTCATGTTAAGTGTCGTAATGGGAATCTAGAGGATTTGCAGATCGTCCATCGCAAGTAAATTTTATAAATATTTCGATAATTAACGATTTGATGGCGCGGAATATGTTTCTAATGAAAGCTAGGCGTGGATTTTTTAACCTCTAATCTAAGCGTCTGGCTTCGATGGGAAACGTTTAGAAATGACTAGCTACCTTTATGACGACATATTTTGATGCGATAAAGACACGATCGATTTAGTCTGTAATAGCTTAACCGCTTAGATTTAGAAGTTTCATAAATATCCCAACTAGTTGTTTATACGCCAATGCCCACGTTGTGGTTTAAGTTTTGTTGTTTATTAATTATGTGATACAGGGATTGTGCGTGTTAGCGTTTGTTTTTTTTTTACGATAAAACCAGCGTGTAAAGATAGTGTGATACGAAGTAGGTCTTATCAACACGTCACCATGAAAGTAAAATGTTTGCAATGTTACCAAAGTGTGCTTGCAATTATGTTAATTTTGCAAAGGTATTGGTTATTTTATAGGAGCACATTTTATTTTTCAGGTTATCTTTCTGGTTTATATACCCAAAAACATTTAAAAAATTTATTATTAGAAGCATGTGACCTCAACAATTATTCAACTTTCAGTTGATTTGTGATAAAATAAGCTTAGAGGATGGAAAACTTTCAACTTTGTAAAGGTAACAACATAACCTTTGTTCCAACCCGCTTAACCTTAATTTTTTGTTTAATAAATTTTTGAGTGTCTAGATTCTATTATTTTATTTTTTAATAGATTTTGGTACACAACATTGTAATGTGGGTTGACTTGTATCATTAATAAATGTAAGGATAAAAATTAAAGTAAAAATTGACTTTCTGTAGAAATAAAAATTAAGTGATAACTTTAAAGAGTGTAAAATATATTAAAAAAAAGTGAGATGTTGAAAAACTCACCATTTTACGATATCTAAAAACCAGATTTTTAAAAAGAGCAAGAAAAAATACTTCAATGATTCCAGCGAAAAATTTAAATGAAACAAACAAATGAATAATCAATGTGCTGCTCAGATGAATACCTTCTCTTTTTTTCTCTCTCTCTCTCTTAATTGTTTATGTTGAATGGATAGGAACAGAATCAGAAGGGGTTTGGATGTGGGGTCGATATTTTTCTAAATAATTTAGCAATGATACAATGCAACATAGAATATAAAAAAACACTGCTGGAGTATATAGAGTGGAGTAAAAAGGAAAGGCATAACATTAATTTGATTTTAAAAGAAATTATTTTATGCGAACTGGCTAGGTTTCTTTCTTTCTGTTTAATTGGATTTGTCTATTAGCGGGGTGGTGTTTTTTCTATGACTTCGAGCAAAGCTGGAGTGGGTTTTGGGTAAGCTAAAATAATGTGTTGCTGATCTAAGAACAACCCTTTGTACTAGGAGGTCCGTTTAAACTGAATTGGTCAATAGATACGTGTTTGCTCGCATCGGGATAGCGTTTACGTACTTACTATAGATTGTATTAATAGCATTTAAAATCATTATGACAATCTGATTATACTACTTAAGCGAATAGCGAATAGCGATATTAATTTAATTTAATATTATCATCTTATGTTTTACAATTTAACTTTTATGGCTATGGTGTCCGTCCTATAAATATTAAAAATTAATTAACACTGATGGAAGTATACAGTTATTTTAAAGGTAATAAAAATAATAATATTGTTCTATTTCTTATGTAGGCAATAGGTTTACTTCTCAATTTCTTTTTTTGCAGCATTTCGTTGTTCTTCCTTTGATTTACATTTTCTGAAAAGATCTATATATTTGCTAAATGATTGTATATGGCGTATGACGTATATACTTTTACAACATTTTCTGGACACTGAAAAAGATGATACCTATGTAATTTACATTGTACATTTTTACAAAACAACTGGAATACATTCACTGATATTACCCTCAGAATCGAAAAATGTCAAAATTCAAACCCTGCGGTAACATCTCCGAAAACATCCGATTGTTCTCAAACTCGAGCAGTAACATCTCGGATATGTTCAAAGTGGCTCGGATCCGAGGTAAAGTAATGCTTATGTATAGTTGGGCATTTTGGAGAAAAGCTCATTTTTTCTACTACCTTCTTTAAAATATTTGATTCAGACAACTCAATTTTTCTATTTCCTGCTGTAAAATACCCAATTACATGTCGATCGAGTGTGCGAAAAGTGTAATTTTACATCAGATTCATTACTGACGACTGCGAGCCACTTCATACATTTCCGGGAGGTTGTTTCTCCTCTCGGTTTTGACTGTGCGGGAACTAAAGTGTATTAGAAAAACAGACACCCTTTTGACCAACTTATAAAAAAAATAGTGATATATGTTTTGTATCTGCAATACCTCTTACGTGTTACATATTTTTGAAAAGTTAATTACAAGCCTAACAAAATTATTAAAAGACACAGCGTGTTCCAGTGAAGAAAACGCCAGTTAGTTTAGTGTATATATCAAAATTTGTTAGTGTTTTTATCTGAGTTTTTCCTGGAATCAACCCATTCCTTGGATACTGTATTATGTGTATCGAACCAAATTTTATTTAGATGATGGAGATGATCTGTTTTTCAATTTACAATTTTTAATTTGCTAAATGAATAATATTGCCACTTGTTTTTTGTCTCTTTTGCGGCATTTCAATTTTATTTTTCCTTATCAGCGTGTCTGAATAATCTGTAATACTATTCAAAAGTTCTGTATTCCTCCTGTGTCGGTTGTGGTTCAGTCGAACTTGCTGGCGAAACGTGGGGGTGGGTGTCAAATTTTTTCTTGAATGAAAGAAGTTAACGCCTAAAAAAGTTGGATTGATCTCTTATTACCTCGAAATTTCTAAGTAAATCAATTAATTAATTAAATAATTAAAAATGATATTTAAATTCTAAATGAAAATGATTACTTTTTTACAATTCTTTTCAAGGGCACCTGGTAGCCTGACGTTTTATGTTTTGACTGTTTTCGCAAATTTAGTATTATCACTTATTTTTTTTTATTAAAAATTAATTGTTGGAGACTAACTAATTTCAATAACTTATGGCTTATTTAGTAAAGTATGGAAAACCATTAAACAACGAATGAAATGTATCTTTTGACAGAAGTAACTCATTTCTAATTACCACGATTCCTATGAGTTCATAACATTTTCGTTAATTTTTTGTGTTTAATTAATTTATGCGTTTATTTTGGCGCACTCGGTATATCTTCAACCGATCACACTTACTCCAGAACCCGAACATAATGAAAATATATTTTGTTTTTTTGACTGACTAAACCATATATCTATACGAGATACAAAAGCCCCTCCCTGCCTATTCTCAGGTCTAAGAAGTACCGTAATCGTAACTATATAAATTTTCAAAGATACCGAATTTTAACATTCAAAATAACAAGTACGCCCCCTGCCGGTCAAGTATTTACAGCATTTTGTCTTGTATTTTTTTAAAATTTCTAGAACTGCCCTTTTTCTAATATCGTATCTTGTTGCCTTTTATGGGACTCTATATATGAAAAATGAAACCTTAACTATTTAACTTTTTTTTTTCGTTCGTATTTTCTGAGTTGGGAGGGTAGGGAATCTTATTTCGAATGTTCTGTACTACAAATAGCTACTCTTCTTCCAGGTGACGCGGCTCGAAGAAAGGTCACTTCTTGACAAGACCTACAGGTGCCTTCGCAACTTGACGAGCTTAACGAGCGAACGAGAACCCGAACGCACACGTTGGGGTACGGATTTTAAGGGCGCCTCGCATATATCGAGTTAAAATGGTGGGATCGAGGATTTACGTGGGCGGCTTGCCGTACGGCACGACCGAGCGCGACATCGAGCGTTTTTTCCGCGGCTACGGACGAATGCGCGACGTCCTGCTCAAAAACGGCTACGGTTTTATCGAATTCGATGACTATCGCGACGCGGACGACGCGGTTTACGAGCTGAACGGTAAAAGGTTATTGGGCGAGCGGATCACGGTGGAGAAGGCGCGCGGCATCCCCAGGAACCGCGAACGGTGGAGTTCAAGTCGCGACCGTGGAGGACGCGAAAAATACGGCCCACCTACCCGCACCAATTATCGCGTCGTAGTGGAGAACCTATCGACCCGGGTCAGTTGGCAAGATCTTAAAGATTACATGAGACAGGCGGGCGAGGTGACGTACGCTGACGCCCACAAGAAACACAGGAACGAGGGCGTAGTCGAATTCGCTTCGTACTCTGACATGAAGAACGCTATCGATAAACTGGACGACACCGAACTGAACGGGCGCAGGATCCGCTTGGTCGAGGATAAAAGCTCGAAACGGAAGCGTTCAGGGTCGGGTAGTAGCAGGAGTCGGAGTCGTAGCCGTAGCCGTAGCAGGTCGCGTTCCGCGAGGAAATCGCGATCTGGTAGCAAGTCCAAATCCAGAAGCAAGTCGAAGTCGAGGAGTAAGTCGCCGAAACGATCAAAGTCGCGCAGTAATTCCAAATCAAAGTCGCGCTCGCCCGAAAACCGCAAGTCGCGTAGTCGCTCGCCCGGGTCGAACGAGAGGCCGCGTAGCCAGTCGGAGCGTCGTAGCAGGTCGCGCCCGTGCGACGCTACGAAGTCGCGGTCGAAGTCGCCGCCGCCCCGCGACCGGTCCCAGTCGCAGCATAGGTCGCGTAGCCGTTCGTAGCCTAAGCCCCGTCCCCGTTAGTTATGTATATGTAAAGGGGGGGCGACGCATCGGGGAGTGGGGATTAGCGGTTAAGTATTCAAACGTGGAGAAAAATGATAAAAAAAAGGGAGTCGGCTCTGGGACGAACTATTTTTTTTTTTGGAGGGAAATATGAACGAGGACGGTTGCCTTGGGATTTCGGAGAAAATTAGTGAAACCGTAAGGTTTTGTAATTAATATCGGATTATTTCGCAAAATAAAAAATATGAAATGCTCCAATATTATATTAAATATTCAATACCCATAACTAAAAATAATATAACGGCCCAGTTGAGCTGAAGTAGAACAACGAAGTTTTCTGTTTTTTCTCTTCGAATATACACTTTACGCATATTCTGGGTGTTTGTTTATATTTTGCACCATACCTAGACTAAATCTCGAAGAGTTAGAAAAAAACTTCAAATAAAAAGCTATAATATAGTGGTGGAAGCAAGCACGGAAACAAATTATGCTATATCTTATAGACCTTTTTACATATAATCCAGTAGAATCAGATTTTTTTTTAAAGATATATGTTTTTTTTATATGTATATCTGTTATTGTATATACTATATATATTATTATTTTAGAAAATATACTTGTCTTCTGTGTTAATTTTATTCTAATTTAATATTATTATTCTATTATAAAAGAGACTACTCGAACTGATTTATCTGAAACTTAGAATCCAGAAATCAGTGCCTTACTCAGTTTTTTTATGTAGCGTAATATGTGGAATATTTTCAAAAATATAAGTATAAATATTTACATTTGTTAATTTGCTTCATTAAAATTTTGACATATATTTAAACAAGAACTGAATTCCGGCTTACATTATTGTCTTAGTTCGTGCCGCATTGCTTTCTGATTTATTTTAATAGAATTTATACAGTTAGAATAAAATTAGGATAGACTGAGAGTTTATTTAGACTTTTAAACACTAATGCATATTTCAAATAGTAAAAAATATTATACCGGACTTTCCATTTGAAAAACTCAACTTTACAAATCAAATCTTATAAAATGACTACGTTATTGGGTTCTACGTAAAAAAGTCTATATAATTTTATTTACTATTACGGTATCGGGTGTGTAAAATACAATGGTCCAATTTTTATTCAGGAAAATCGTGCAAATCAATAACGAAATGGACACACTGTACATATATAATATTTACTTTCCACACATTGTGAAGTAAAAAAATTATTGGATTTGAATTATTTTGAAACGAAAGTCTAATTATAGAAGAGATCTTAAAAGAATAAAAACCCCTAATCTCACTTTCAATTCACCTTTGGTCACCATTTTTGGTCCAATACAATTTTGTCCAATATGACACAAACTGAACAGGTAGCTCGTTGAAACTTTCCGACTGTGCCAATTTTCATCGATAAATACCCAACGTTCTGTCTTCTTTCAACTATTCCACGTAATACAGAAATCGTAACTCAATTTTTTCAAGTTTGGGACGTAGTGAGTTGCGTTACAGGCACCGCACAATTAATAATAATCAATTCGTCACTCTCTTTTTATTAGTTTTCTCTGTGGATTTGAACGACGCCTTTTGGCTCCGTTATAATTTCTGAATGTCGGAACGTCGATTTGTGTCGATCGATTAAACACGCCCCCAAATACCAAATGTAATATAAACCTTTTTTTTATTTGAAAGGCTATCGGGTTTCTTTTTGTACACGTGCGTATGGTGTGTTTTTTTTCTAAAATTATGATTTCTTAAAGTTAGGTTTCGTTTGTTAGGTTAGTAAATGCGTAGGGCTGCGGTTACGTCGGATGCGTAGTTGCCGGTTAAATTGCTCAGGGTTAAATGTGGCTATATATCCGAGAGTGTTGAATAATTATATATACATAACTAATACTACTGCTATTTTGGTTTTACTATTTAGTTGAAAGTGTTATCAGGACTACGGGATACAAAAAAAGTTTAAATAGGTTTGTGTGAATTAACAGTTTTAATGCGATACCCCATAATTGTTGGTAAAAATATTTATACCCAAAGCATTAGAAATATCCCAATCATTAATTTGTTCTCATCAAACTCTGATATTTAAAACAGAAAAATCTCACATTTAAGACTTGTGAGTTCACTCTGTACTAAATCTTCTTAAGATTTTATTATGCGTTATTGTGCACGTTTAATATTAAATCGCATGGGTATTGGACCGATTGCGTATGCGCAGACGTTTTTGTTTCATTTACAAGGTATGCGTGTGGCTCGAATTGCTATTGAATCCTATGAAAACCCACTTTTCGTCATCGAGTTCGATTTCCATCGATAAAATCCAGGTTGAATCTAAAAAAGCTACGTTAGACGTTAATTTCGTTGCATGAAGGAAATCGGCATAACGTCAAACACCATTTTTATTTTTATTTACCAGGATAATCCATATAGCTATTAGATAACATAGTGGCCCTACTACGGTAAAAATGATGCGCAGGCGGCATTGATATTTTCTAAGAGAAGATAATGATTTTCCGCGTATGCCACTTCATTTCACCCACATTTTCTTTCTAAGCAGCGATTTCCACACACTTAGCTTGTTTTTCCAGAATATCTAATGAGATTTAGACATATTTTGACAAAATACTGCACACGTTGTCGATCTAGATTGTTGCAATTAATTTTTCATTTTTTTTCTCATAGTTACTTCATGAGTTTCCTGTATTATAGGCATAGGCCTATAATCCCTTTATATCTCTAGTAGCTATTGGAAAGAGGTTCGGTATTTTAAGCTGACATAATTCAAAAAATGTGAGATTTAACTTTCTATCGAAATTTCTTAAATACCCTTATTTAGTTATGCCTTTTTTTTTGAATTATTTAAGTACTTTACTATCTCTTTATTACCTAAATCAGTTTGTTTGCACATACCAGCTTTATAGTACATTTTTTGGATTCCATACAGAGTCCACTTTTCAGGGTCTGCAATGCTTTGTAGAATAGCCTCTAGTCTTTGAAGAGGGGGCCAAAACACTTCGGATTTACGTAGTGTGAACCAATTATTGTGTACAAACACAGTGAACTGTTTGACAACTTAAGCCACGTAAAACAAATATCGCAAACAAAATCGTTTTCGTGAAGGTCTGCAGCCTTTGTGTTTTGTTGCCAACAATTTTTTTTTCTCCAACACAGAAAGTTAAATAATTGTTAAATAATAGTGGTATTGATTGTTGTGTATTTAAAGCGACACAATAAATCCTAATATATCTTAAAACTATGTAGAAAAATATTTTCTGGATTTTTTTTTCATATTTAAGAAGGATTAATTTTAAATGGATTGAAGTTCTTTCAACTTGTAATATATTGATTTATCATTTTTTTAGCTTTTAAGCTGAATAGACATGGCGACCTAAATATGAATATGAATAATGTTAATATCATTTTCACGTCCCAAATTCAAAGTAATAGTGACGTCATAAGCGTCCAACCTGGACAAGGCGCACCTAGTTTTGCGCAATCTGGAAACTGAACAACCGTTAAACTAGTTTTAAAAACAATCCGACTCACACGTTTACGAGAGTATGCGATAGTTATCTGTAGTATCGAGCGTAACCGCAACCACAGTTACATAATGCATAGTTAAAGCGCATCAGTTACGCGTCTTGCGTTCAAGTATTGTCGTTTAACTGTTAACTTTTATTTCTAGTAGGACATAGTTAGCCGGTAATCTTTCAAAACCCTCGATGAGTTTTCTCGATTCGCTACTGGCGACGAGAGATAAGTTGAAGCCGACGGTTACGTCCGTGACGTACGCGGACGGTCGAAAGTACCTCGAAAGTAGCGCTGTCAGTAAAAAAATATGCGAAAACCTCCCGGGATATGTGGTCGATATGAAACCGGATCTCGTCCCGTGTAAAGTGCTCGACGGTCTGTACCTCGGTTCGCAGGACTGTTGCGACCGTGACGTTTTAAACGAATACGGCATCCATGTAGTTCTCAGCGTAGGTGTAGACGCGCCCGTCAAGTACGCAGGTTTCACATACAAGTTCGTAGAATGTTTAGACTTGCCCGAAACCGATTTAGAACGGTGTTTGGCGGACTGTTTACCTTTTCTAACGAACAGCGTCGAGGAAGGGAAAAGGGTTCTGGTGCATTGCAATGCGGGTGTAAGCCGTTCAGCGTCGATCGTTATAGGGTACCTGATGGCGAAGAGAAGTTTAGGGTTCGACGAAGCTTACAGCATGGTCAAGGGAACGCGAGGCTGCGCAAGACCTAACGCCGGGTTCGAGCGTTTTCTGCGCAACTTGAATACGAAAAAATGAACGCCATTTTTGTATAAAGTTTTCGATTTTATCGGATCGATCGTCGGACGCGCCGAGATGTAACGTCAGAGATATCTTAATAAAATTTTACTTTTCACATGAATGCATTTGTGTTTTTTTTATTAACCCTCGAATGCACACCGTTCCGTCAGCTAACTTAACTAACTCAGAGACACACGAACTCGGAAATTAAATAATCCCGTTTGTATACACTACAGAATACTAAAGTTAAAAAAAGTGTAAATTTGCGCCAGCGCCACCATACCGGAGCCTGGACAACTTTTTCTAGATGGGAGGTCAAGATGGGAGGTCAAGATATCCTTCAATAAAAGAAATTCTTGTAATATCGGTTAAGCATGCGCGGCTCCGTTTAAATACTTATATATTAAACTAAATAATTTCTATTTGGAAGTGTCCAAATTAGTAAATAATGGTTAATTAATAAATAAGGTAAATAAATTTTGAAACAATTTTCAAAAGATTTCATTGTCCAGTAACATGAGACGGACATCAAAAAATAATAAACTAGAGTTTAATAAAGGTGCTGATAATAATGTTTAAACAGAGCCAAATACTTAATACATCAGTCATTTCTGTTGCGTAGTGCAAGGTCTAAAAGACACCAACTAACCAAAACTAGCATCCAACACTGCCATGCAATCTGCTACCTACACAAAGTTAAGAATGGATGTGACACCAAGATTTTACTATAAGCAACAACTATAGCTATTTTTTGTTAAAACCCCAACAAAGTAAACCAAAGTTTGTATTGAAAACAAACAGAACGACAATAGAAACCGATAAATATTTAATTAAAATATAGTAAGTAATAAGTAAGGAATTTAATTATATTTGAAGTCACCGCCAACTATTAAAAAGTGTAATACAGATGTTTAAATTTTAAGAAACAAACTTTTCGATCAACCCCAAGCAATTAAATCTCGACACTGGGACTCCAACAAAACTCTGATTCTTATTTAGTTTACTTTTTATTTTAACCGGTCCAATTGGCTATTCCCTCTTTCACCATGGGTTTATCTTTAATGCGTCTGCCATCGTTTAACACTAAAAAAACAAATATTTATGTATACATGGTTTTCTATAAAAGTGCAGCGGAAAATATATTGCTAACGCAAGGTAGCCCCAAAATCTATGCCTGAAAGCGAGAAAAAATTCTAAAAATTGTTAATAGTCACAGTTAATGGAACAGAATTAGGCGGTATATAAAATTCTATAAAAATAATTTATAAACAGCGCCACCATGCCGTGCATGGATTGGTTCCAATTTTACTCTCGTGTTTACTACGGACGACCATGTGCAAGATCTGGCACGGATGCCTTGCGCCCGAAGGACCCGATCGATTTTTCCTGCAACGAGGAGCAAAACTCCAGCATCCCTTTATCGATGCTCACCCCGATTTTTAATCTTAGGTCTCGCCCGCTTTGCGCGCAGATTTCTTAATAACCGTTATGTAGACTTTTCGCGATTTTGATGGAAGTCAGTGAGGAATATTTAAAGGAAAGTTTCTAAAATGTCACGCCCAACGATTTTCCTGCTAACGAGTGTTTTCCTATTAACGTTCATCGGGAATTCGTCGTGCAATCCGGACGCGAAAAGGCTTTACGACGACCTACTGAGCAATTATAACCGACTCATCAGGCCAGTCAGGAATCATTCGGCCAATATTTTAGTTAAATTAGGATTACGCCTATCTCAATTGATAGAATTGGTAAGTAAACACAGTGTTCATAACGCAGGAATGTCCTAAATACAAAAGTTGTTTGTTTCAATTGTGCCGCATGCCATGAAAATAGTTGATATAGTACAGGATTTTCCATGAGCACTACATAGATAGCATCTATGCTCTGCTTCTCAATGATATTATAATAATTATTGAACTGAAAAACATTCAAGTAAGAACATTCGGACTTGGAAAAATAGTTGAAATGTGTTTGAATAGGACTGGAGTTGGACGATCGACGATATACCGACCACACAAGGATAAACGCGGCCAGATCATGGCAAACTGTAATAAATGAGGATGAAACGAATGTCGTCTTATTTAAAAATAGCCACCTTGGACAAAATAATAAAAAAAGAGAGAAAAGATAACACATGACACCACTTTTAAAATGAGGGGGACATTGAAACCCTCCTGCAAGAGGGAATAAAGACAGTAGATTGTGAAAAATTGAGTAGTAATGATTAATGCATGATGTGATTGAAATGGATGAAAGAATGTGAAACGCTGATAACATGCGAGAAAACACTGTAGAACCCCTTGTCAAGCTGAATCATATTATCCAAAAATGTATTTAAAAAATATATAAGCTTGGTTTATTTTTCGAAAATAATTGTAAATAGAAAAAATATGAGTATGCCACCGAATAAGCTTTAGAATAACAGTTTTGCGAAAACCGCATCTTTACTCATAAGTGAGATACTGCGTAAAACCATCGAAAAATGGACACCAAGTAGAGGAAGAAAAGAAGCTAATAAATGAAGATGAAGAGACTGCCATCAAGAGAGTAATCCACTCGTTTTATCATGTCTCAAAAAATGACTAAGGAGAAACTGTGGAAAACTTTAAGAAAATGAAATTTCATTACGGAAAAACTCAAAAAAAAGTTAATTTTAGAGAAAAAAACAATTTAAAAAAGTTTGTTGATATTAAAGTGAGTACGTGAAATTTAAGGTAAAAAAAATCAGAAAATTTTACTCCAAAAACCATTTGGTTCATTGAAGAGTTTTTTGATCGTTGAACAGAGATCATTCCAGTGAATCGTGTTTCTATGAGTTTTCGCTGTCTTTGTACTTTTCTAGTTTGATTATCCTATCCCTTTTCTCGTTAACCTTAGTGTCTTTAGATGTCTCACTAGTCTCGTTGTTTAAAAAAAATTAAATTAAAACAAAAAAAATTGAATCAAGCTATCTTATACCGAAAATGTGGAAGTTATATTGAAGATTATATCGTAAAGTTCAGATAAATTGTAATGATAGTTTTCCCTATTTCAAACACCCACACACCTCGAATCGTGCCTACATTAGGGTCGCACTAATTTGCATACAATAGAAAGACGAGTTTGGTTAATGAAAGCGATGTGACAGCGGTGTTACTACAGGTAGTTTGTTAGAAAGATCAATGTAGTAATAATTATACAGATTATAGTTATAAAATACAGAATAATTGAAATATTAATTATTTATTCTAAGATCGAGTAAATAAAAGCTTATATAAAAGTAAAAATAATATGAAAATAGATAAATTGTAATAAATATTATTTGTAAATTTTAGTCATCATCTTCTCAATAGTCAGATGAATTATAGTCGGTGGTGTCCAGAAAAATAATAAGGGGGGGGGGGGAATCATAAAGTATTATAAAAGTAAACAAACTTTGTTTTATTGCGCGTTATCCGATAAGGTAATCAAAAATATTTTGCATGCTTTTTTTCTATTTGAATTTAATTGTAATTTTTTTATCGACAGACAATTATTAATTATCTAAATGTGCTAAACATGCCATTGTCGATGAAAAAAAACTTAATTAATGTTAAAGAAAAAGAAAAAAAAGAAACATTTTTTAATTTAACACTTATAACGGCAATACTCTTTCCCACTTTTGAATAAAGGTTTTAAGTGTATTTTTTATATTATTTTTTTAAATACTTTTTGAATTACAACGGAATACTAAAATTTTACGCAGAACCTAAAACATATTTTTCAAAATTGGTAAAATCAGGAAATTCATTTAGAAATTTGTGAAAGCTTTGTAGAATCCGTGAAATTTGAAACCGGTGTAATAAATATATGAATTAATATGGTTGTGTTGTAATCATCTGCTGTAACAATTTTGGATGGTGGTATGCTTTTCGCTTTTAACCGTATAAGTAGAAATTTGTTTGAATCTTAAAAAATTGTTTTTATTCCTTTCAGAATTTAAAGGATCAAATATTGACGACAAACGTATGGTTGGAACACGTAAGTGTTGAACGATATTCGTTTTTATCGATATAACATACCATTTTATTTTTTATAGGAATGGCACGACTACAAATTCATGTGGGATCCGCAAGACTATGGAGGAGTGACTGAACTATATGTTCCGTCAGAACATATATGGTTGCCCGATATTCTATTGTATAATAAGTAAGAGCGGTACAAATTACTACATTCCATCTATCCGAAATTAATACTCTTTATATAATATTGGGGCACCTGGTATAGTATACCATTTCATTTCAAGCTGCTTTTTTTTGATAAAATGAGAGGTGAAACAAACATAAATTGCGCAGTTAACTTGGATTTTTAGATGCATGTAGTGCGGTTATTCGTTAACTTATCGAAAAAGTGAAAACTAATCTGAATAGGGTTTTTTTAAATTAGAACCCATGGCGTAGTCAATTTTCTTTTGCAACTCACAAGTTTTGATATACAAACTAAAATTGTTAATGCAACAGCGTGTTAACAACTTCACTATGCTTTTTATGAGCTTCTCAAAAATATGTAACAGGAGTTGTTTCAAATACAAGGCATATGGGGCATATAAAAAATCGTCAATTTTTGAAATAATTATATATATTAAAGTATCCACAAGATAAAATAAACAACATAAAAAATAGCAACCGTTCTTTGCTCTGAACAAGATAAACATAATGATAAAAATGATAAAATTTTAAAATCGTCTGGATTCTTCATGCGTCGGTTGTTGATAAATCGAACATTGTCTCGGATGACTGATTTCCATATTGGAGTTCCAGTTCCGATTGATTAGTTGTTTCTATAGATTCTCGGATTTTTCTTTAGCAGAAGAATTGATTGCGTTCGATAACTCCTGATGAGTCTATTTGTCATAGTCTCGAGCCTAGCTAAGCGAATGATGTTTTGAATGTAAGGAACGACCACACAGTGGCACAATACTTTCGGACTCATTGTTTTGGAGAGGTTGTGGTCAATGTATTTTCTGATGGAACAATCCCTAATGTGCAAATTATTATAGAGAAGAGCTGATGTTAAGTGTTTTAATTCTGGGTTTAGTCACTGGCGTTTCAAGGCAAAAAAGGGACTTGATAACCGATGACTTTCCAACCGGATAAGAATATCTAAGAATGGGGGATTATTATTAGTTTGTTTCTCATTCAATTGTTAAATGTAGGTTAGAAGGTATAGAGTTTTCGTGGTTAAGAAAGCCTCGGAGGGATTCTTGACCATGAGGCCAAATAACAAAAATATTAACGTAGTGTTCACTTATTTTTTTTTACATGGAAGATGTCGAAGGCTTTTTCTCAAAAGTTTTTATAAATATATTTCCGACTACTGATGATAACGCACAACCCATAGCTGTTCCTGATATTTGTAAATAAAATTGATCGTTACAGGAAATATACGTGTCAGGCAAGTAGTTTTACACGAGAAAGTTTGATTCCAGGAAATATACGTGTCAGGCAAGTAGTTTTAGACGAGAAAGTTTGATTCCAGATTCTCGTATTTTAATATATCTGAAACAATGTGGACAGTTTCAATAAGAGCTACTTTAGTGAAGAGGGTCTCTACGTCAAAACTAACCAGAAGCTAATGTAATAATTTTCAATGGTTGTTTAAGTGGACGATAGGATTCGTCTGTACGAATATGAGGTTTTTGCTGATGGTCAGTTGTGTTCATGACTGCCGTAGCATTTCCTTTATCTGCCTTTAGAATTACTATGTGGGGTTAGATTTTAGAGCTATTCGTCCAGGGTTTGAAATATTAAATTTTAGGTTTAGATTTTTTCGGTTTCAAGTCGAATTTCGTTAGCTTTTTGAGATCGGAGAGATTGCTCTTTTGCAAGAACTGATTTTTCAGAAAGTTGGCGCGACGTTACATTTACCAGAGCGTTCGGTAGTTATGAAGAATTTGACAGATTTACTTCTGTTGATATTATTTGTTCAAATTTTTTAATACGATTCGTGGTGGGAGATAAACGTAGATCTTCAGCTTTATCATTAATATTGGAACACGAAGACAAAATGGAAGCAATTTCAAAATGTAAAGAAAAATAAGCAAATTATAAATAATTTAAAAAATCCTAAGATATATTTTCTACAGATCTAAAAGTATTTTGCAGCTGTTCCATAGCTGGACTTAAGTAAATTTTGGTCCATTTGTACCGATCTGCGGCTGCGGTCTTTCTAAATATCTACGATACAAACCTGGCTGGTTAGAAACCATGTTATTGTAAGCAATTTGAGACATTGTGGTTTTCTAAAAAAACCGTTATAGTGAATACAGGGTCTCTTCTAACCTCTCTGACTTCTTCAGAGTTTTTTATTGGACTCTCGCTCCTTTTCCGGGTGCCCCAGTAAAAGCGACGAGATATGGTATTAGGGAAACGGACGGTGCTAGAGATTTGGAAAAACTGCTGGCAGCAGAAGACTTCTCTCATATACGCAACCCCAAAAGAGTACTTTGATCGCTAGGAAATAATTAAACTAAATGAATTTGATTAATTTTCGCCATCAGGGGGTCAAAATGCAATTTCAAAAATTTGAAAAAAAATCCCAGCACTTCTTTTTTTTCAAACTCTAGCACTATTCCTTTTGCCTAATATCGTACCTCCAATGATTCAAATATTTTCTTGTTGACACTTTGAGTAGTGCCGACGGGGAATACGTTATTACAACAATGACGAAGGCGGTATTGAAATTTACCGGCAAGATCCAGTGGACACCTCCGGCGATTTTTAAGTCCTCGTGCGAGATAGATGTGCGATATTTCCCGTTCGATCAACAAACTTGCTTCATGAAGTTCGGCTCTTGGACTTACGGCACTCAGGTACCTTTACTAGTATTAACTGTTTCAAGCATAGCAGTCTTACCAATAAACCATTTTATTTTTCGTTTTGTCTGAAAGTGGTTTTTAACGTTAACCAATACATCTACTAGTGTCATCTGTTGTCAAGTAACTATACTAAGAGCAATACCAACGTTCAAGAGGCAAAATGCAAACAAAGAAAAACGAACTCTGACATTTCTTACAAAGTATATCGCTATTGTTAAATAAGAAATAAGATTTGACCAAATATAAGCAAAAAATTTTGTTAACGTAAATTGGGTTAAATTTCTGGTTTTTACCTTATCGGTAAAAAAACCCGACGGTGCCCGGCACTGGTAAGATTTTCTCAACCCGCCAATATATTTGCCTTGAAAATAATACTATCTTCCTTGCTTTGAAACTTGCATGGATTAATTTCAGATTGACTTGCAACATATAAACCAAAAACCGGGGGAAGATATTGTCGAAGTCGGAATTGATCTCAGAGAATACTATCCAAGCGTTGAATGGGATATCTTGGCAGTTCCGGCTGAAAGGCATGAAAAGTACTATCCTTGTTGTCCCGAGCCATATCCAGGTAAAGCCAATTCCTGGAATTATTCGACGATCTATTGGTTGGGGTGAACTTTAATTATAAGATAACAAACATACAAAATTTGGTCACAGGTTTTTGACTCTCCTCTATTTATCTAAAATATTGGCAGTATCGCAGTGTTGGCGCTTGTATCCACTTTTTAAACAAAACAACGTGTACCGGATGACAAACTAAGAAGAGCACCTTATGACCCCATTGTTTTGAAATTCTTATAATTGCCCCCAGGGGGCGTAATCGCATTCGTATTTTAAATCCCACTTTTGGAAAAATAATCTTATATGTGGATGTCCTTTCGAATAGCTGTTTCCAAGTTTGACAAAATACATTCAGCAATTCTGAAATTATTTAAATTTTATTTCCAAAAATGTTCGAACGCCCACTCGCCCCATTTTCTATTAAGGTATGAAACAAAAAATAATCGAATTTATCCCGACTTTACAACATTTTGGCTCTGTGTAATACACGATTATTTATCAAAAAACGGGATTTAAAATTCAAGGATACAATTACGCCGCCTGGAGACCATTTTAGAAACTTAAAAATAATTTCCAGCGTTTTCTCTTGGCGGCTTTTGTTCCACAAGTCTTTGTAACAATTACTTTTCGAGATAGGGACGAGTGTCCTTAATTAGCTACCAGGTATATTGTGTCAAGAAGGAGTTACTATTTTAAATATTCTGAATTCGGTACGTATGTATGTATGTATGTATGTATGTATGTATGTATGCATGTATGTATGTATGTATATGAGGTACATAGGGTGTGATATTTAAAATAAGAAAGCTGACAATGACGCTGTTATATGCGAAAATATTTTTAAAACGTGTATTAGCTAGTCATATATATATATATATATATATATATATATATATATATATATATATATATATATATATATATATATATATATATATATATATATATATATATGATGAGACTATATTCCGGGATATCATCCGTTCGCTCGTTGAACTCCGACTGGAATCCTGCAGACGTTTCGCCAAAATCTCACTTGGCATCTTCAATGCTCGCGCTCCGAAAACACTTATATATATATATATATATATATATATATATATATATATATATATATATATATATATATATATATATATATATATATATATAGACTAGCTAATACACGTTTTAAAAATATTTTCGAATATAACAGCGTCATTGTCAGCTTTCTTATTTTAAATATCACACCCTATGTACCTCATGGGATATTTGATATTTTCTGTAAAAAATTTCAGACGCGTTGTTTTAACAACTTAAAAACGAGATTTATACAGGAATAACTTTGACGAGGGAGCAGTCTATAGCCATCCTTGAACATTTCCCGAAACTATACAGTTTTGTTTATATTTTGACAAGTTTGCTTGATTTTTTTTTTCAAATGGAACCTCCTGTAATTTTTTAATAATTTCGACATTTAATTCAGAGAACATTAACAGAATACCATTAGAAAAAATCATATACTTATGAAAAATTGAACACAATTGGTACAATTATTACAATAATTCTTCGATATCGCTGCCATTTAACCTAAGGCATTTTAAAATATTTTATTCAATAAGAAATGTTGTAATTTGATCTGGTTGTAAACCATTAAAAGCTGCCTGGGCAGAGGGGTTATTTGTACACTAAATTTTTAGTGTGACCCCATGGAAACAAATTCTAAAGGATCGGGGCCAGGTGATCTAGGTAGCCAATTCATCTATCTTCAAACCAACTGGATACCAAATTCGTACAGCTATATTTAACGGTAAATTATCTAAAACACTTCGACACCATAGTTTGCACAATTTCTATGTTGCCTTCATCCAAATTGGCTTCATAAATACCATGTTTTCAAGATAATTTTTGCTGATGACTTTTCAATAACAACATTGGGATTTATAATTGATAGTACTGATTGTATTATAAAATACGGTCTCTGCATAAGATGTAATGAAAGAATTCTTTGCATGCATGGAATAGCTTATTCCTAAATCCTTCTCTGCTTTTCGTATTGAACTTCGCGAAAAATATATAAAAAAGCTAATACAATGATTTCTGTATCTTCTTCAGTGACGGGTTTAACTGTATATTTCCATGTATTGCATAATTTTTTTTTATATATTATATCTAAAAAATGGCGAAAAATTGGCATAGGATAATGTTAATATTTTATATTCAGAATTGAATATTCAAAATTATGAAAACGAAAACTTACAGGATGTTCCATTAAAAAAAAATTCGTCAACCAAATTTGTGAATAAGTAACCACTTTGTTGGCGTAGATTTAGGAAATACTGCGTCTGTCATTTTTTACGGAAAATACCAAATATCTCAGAAACTGTTCGTCTTAGACATAAACGTTTTTCAGAATTTAATTTAGAATCGAAAAATGGTGACATTGACCACATGACAAGCTGTATATTTAAAATTATTTTTAAAAGGTGCTCTAGCTAGTTATATATATACTCGGACCAGATTCGGAATAAGTAAAACCGACCCTGTATCCCATTCTAAAATTTAAATTCGTATGTGTGACGAGATAACTTGACAGGCCGACGACCCCAGCGTTTAACCTGTATACTCCACCGCGCCGAGGAAATTGTAAAAAAATACTTATGTTCCCTTTTCTTTATCTTTCAGATATCTTTTTCAACATTACCTTGCGAAGAAAAACGCTATTCTACACGGTCAATTTAATAGTACCCTGCGTAGGCATATCGTACCTTTCGGTACTGGTATTCTACCTGCCAGCAGATTCCGGCGAAAAGATCGCTCTATGCATCAATATTCTGCTATCACAGACGATGTTTTTCCTGTTGATATCCGAAATTATCCCTTCGACTTCGCTCGCTCTGCCCCTGCTGGGCAAATACATACTGTTCACGATGGTGATGGTGGGATTTTCGGTGGTGATCACGATCATAATCCTGAACGTGCACTATCGCAAACCAAGCACCCACAAAATGGCCCCGTGGGTGCGGAGATTTTTTATAAAAAGCGTGCCCAAGTTACTGTTGATGCGGGTCCCGAAAGATCTGTTGACGGAACTGGCCGCCAGGAAAATTCCGCCTAATAGATTGCAACAGGGAAAGATGGGCAGGGAATTGCACGTGTCATCCAGTGCGTCGTCCACTTCTAGCTCGTCGGGATCGAGCGGGAACAGGGGGAGAGGCTGCAACGGTTTACACTCGACTTCGGCTACGAACAGGTCAGTTTGAGGTCCGCTTATACCGGGTTTCCATTTTTCGATAGTTTTACGTGGTATCTCGGTTATTAGTAAAGATAGCTGCTACTTTTTCGAGCAACTAAAAATGCGGCTATTGAAAGTTGTAATATTTGAAACTTGGTACACGCAAAACTTACAAAACATTTATCGACATTGGCAGACGAACCTGTTGAATTCGCAGATATAGTGCTTTTGCATATAAACGGTTGGATTGTGGTTGCTTACCTCGCCAGCAGGTGGAGTTTTCTGACATAATTGCAAAAAATGATATGTCATTACCTAATGACTTATATCGTTGCATTTGTTAATTACCTAGGTTGACTACCTAGTCAAATAAAAGACCAACAACCTAGCGAAAACCGTATCTTGATCCTAACCAAAAATATATGAACAAAAGAACTTAACGCTCACCAAAATAGTTGGATTTTGCGAAAAAATAAATCCACTTTACGCGTTTTTATTAATCTCTGATTACCTGGAAACTACTAAATAAAACTCTTAATTTATTATTTATGATCCCAAATGATTTTGAAAGTAAAAAAAAAAATATTTATATAATAAATGTGCTATATGAACAATATAAATAAAAGGAAGTAGATTTTGTTCCATGACAGAAACAATAAGAAATACAATGTTCCACGTTTTCCGCTATATTTGTTGTGTACGTGCTTAAACAAAAGTCATTAAAAAGTCCTAAAACAGTCACTTTATTAACTTGGAATTTACCAAATAAATTAACATGTCAAAGAAATTCACCTGACGACGAGATAAGCAACTACAATCGCGTCACTTATAGCACTACTGATACCCTAGGGAAACCCCTTTTTAACGGCTACAAACCTAGAAAGAAAGGAAATGTTCGGACAACCCCTCCCCCCGAGTTAAAGATAAGAATTACGCCTCCTGGTGGTCATTCAGAAGTAGGAAAAATAATGCCAACATTTTGTTTGGCCGATTTATTTTTTTTTAAATTTCTAGAACCATCTGCTTCTCTAATAACATACCCAAAGCTGTAATATAACTTTTTGAAGGGGCCGGTATGATTAACTCATGTACAGAGTTTGAATAAATTTTAATAAGCCGATCTTTAGTTATTGAATTAAATGTCAATGCAACAAACTCCAGCGAACATTTTTCATGACGCAATTTCCAAAGCTTGACAGCGCAATCTAAAGTAGACGGAGATATTATACAAATATTAAGATATATCTAATATTTTAATTTATATAAAACATAAAGTAGAACTCCAATTAAAAAGAAATCAACAAGCCAACTTTTAGAAAATCATATAATTGGAGACAAGTATGCTAAAAACTCATCAATTGCTTTAATTTTAAAGAAACTAAAATTTTAAAACAAGATAATAATTACCAAAAATTGACATTCACAGAACCATTAGGGAGATATGGCGGAAAATTAATATTTTTATTTTTTAACTTAAAAACGAAAATAAATAGAACAATAAAATGTTACGAAGTGAACTAAATTAACTAAATTAAAAAAAACTTATGTAATGACATTCAAAAAAATACATTTTGATAGACGGTTTTATTAGAATCTTTTTTGTCTATTGTAATTTTTCATAAAACTTACAGCTTTTTTGTTTAAGTAATTTTGATTTTAAAAAATTATTTCGAATAAATTCGTTACTTGAACGCTCAAACTAAACGTGTTTTAAAACTCGTACATAGCTACCGGAAAATTTCACAAAGTCTGGCTAGTCCTATAAACAGGCTACCAAGGAAACATCACCAATGTTTCAGACTAAGAGGATTTGCCGGCGCGCTTAGCGGTCGATTAGGGGGACTTCCGTCCATATTTTCGGGAATGGACGAAAGTGATTCTGGAACTAGAAGAAAGTACCCGTTCGAACTGGAAAAGGCCATTCACAATGTGATGTTCATTCAACATCACATTCAGAGGCAGGACCAATTTAATGCGGTACGTCAAATTTGAATTTTTTTTTACTGAAAACACTGTCCCAAGAGATAAACTAGACAAAATAAAAGTTAGGTTAGGTAACAGAGATAAAAGGATGGTACTCGCCATCTGACAACGTTTCGAAATATTAAATTGGTATATTTTGAAACATAAAAAATATTTTAAAAAACTTAAAGAAAAAAATTGTTTAGATTCACTTGTATTTTTTTAAATATATTGTTATACAGGGTATTCCTATATTAATGTATCAAGCCATAATATCATATTCTACGTCGAAAATAAGCCCTATATTAACATCAGTCCGGAAACGCATTCTTTCTGACATACAGGGTGTTACAATTCTAAGGGAAAAACTTTTTTTTCACAAATTAAGACATTTAAGTCTGTAGACGTCACTTTTGACATAAAATTCAAAATATGTTAGGTATAGGTTGTTATTATATTACGGAAGTATAAAAAATACACTGTATTTTTTATACTTCCTTATACTGAGTATAGGTATATGAAATATATATATATATATATATATATATATATATATATATATATATATATATATATATATATATATACTCACGTATTGATTCACGGATGGAAAAATGTGATATATATATATATATATATATATATATATATATATATATATATATATATATATATATATATATATATATATATATTCATGATTTATTCCATTATTATATTATTATTATTATATATTCCATTAAAAAAAAATTTCTACCTGTATTTTGTTCATAAAACTTAGTTTCCAAATAAGAAAGTAAAATGTAAGCCTTGCCTGTTGAAAAAAAAATAATTTAGTTGGGTGCTGTCAAACAGTACCAACATTTACCTCCTAAACTACGAATGAATAAAACCAAAACCTGTGCACATCTAAGGCAAAACAAAAATACAAAAGCTTTATAATAAGTGTTGAAACTTTCTGCTTTGTGATATAATATACATTTATGCTTCCAAGGAATTAACGTTTACGCGCCCATATATAAAATAATTCACCATTAGTGAATTAAAAGTCTTATTATTCAACAATTAAATGATTAGATAATAAATTTTTGATTAAATTTGGCGTATTTTGTATTTAAACTGAGCAGTGTCAAATAAAGAAATAACAGGCAATACCTTAGGAAACAGCCTACTAGAATGTTTTATCTAATAAACTTTGTTATCTCGTTATGCATTGCTGTAGATTTTATATTTTTATTTGGAAACGTTCATACAACAAAACTACTCTTTATTTTAAACAAGGAGTCACCCCCTTAAGTTTTCGCATTTCTTTTGAAAGACCCTGTATACGAAATCTACCTATCTATCTAGAATACTTCGAGGACTTCAAAGTTCGTTTCTTTTCAAAATAAATAAGAACTAAAAGTTCAGATTTTCACGAAATTATATATTATGACATGACAATTGTTTCGACAACACCGTGTCTTTATCATTTCTTTTACATTTTCTGTTTTCTTTTATTTACCTTTTTATAGGAGGATCAAGATTGGGGATTTGTCGCTATGGTACTGGACCGATTATTTTTATGGATTTTTATTATTACGTCCCTGGTAGGGACAGTCTCCATACTGTGCGAAGCGCCGTCGCTGTATGACGACACGAAGCCAATCGACATGGAATTGTCCTCTGTTGCTCAACAACAATTTTTGCCCGACTTGGACTTTTAGAATTTGTTTTAGCAAATATTAGTACAGAATGTCAGTGAATAAAAATAATGATTTCTTCAAAAATAAGACTTACTCATGTAAATGGTATTGTGTATCTCCATTCCATCATTAAGATCATCAAAGAATAATACACTAATAACGTTAAAAGATTTTATTATAAAGTAATAGGCGATTAATTAATAAATTTCATTTAAATAAGAGTGTTTTACTATTTTCCTTTTTGACTTAATTATTTAAAAAGATAACAGATATGTTGGAATGCTTTTCTGGTTTTACGCCAAGTTCTGAGTAATTTTTATTAACATTTCCTCATAGATATCTCTTTCTCTTACTACTTAAATTTTTGCAGAAAAACACCGCTTTATTAAATCAATATCTCTTTGATAAAAGGAGTTGGCTATTTCAAAATTTTCTAAGGGTTAGCTAAATCATTTGTTGATCGAAACGTGATTTTGATAGTAAGTCATAAGGGGTTTCCAAAAATTGATGCATATACACTACAACATGCAGGAACATTTATTTTGTTTTCTTAATTTTCAAAATTTTCTTCGTACATTTGAAAACAATACATTTCAAAATTTTTCCATGCATGAGTGACAAATGGGAAGACATTTCATTAAATCTTATACACAAAATCATTTAGAATGATAAAAAAAATATTACGAAAGTTTGAGCCTTTGATTTTATCACGTCTATCATTTGTATTTCGATTTTTTAGTTCTGATCTCATTATTGCGTCAAAACAGTCAAGCCATTAAGGTCAAAATATTTCTGTGTATATACTTTTCTGGGAAAATGAATTCTCTACAAAAAAAAGCTCTGATTGAACATTTGCATCAGATGAGTGGTTTCCAAGAAATCAAAGTTTAAACATTTTTGAATTAACTTCTTCATTTTGCTTTCGTTTTTTTTTAGTTTTTCACCCATTTTTTTCCACTCAATAGTTTTATTACATCATCAATACAATCATTTGCAATAAGAATTATGTTGTTACTATAGATTTTATTTGTTTCACTTTTCAACAAGTGAAAATACTCTATGCTCTATCCTATGCTAATGACAAAGTCCTTATGTTCCATCCCCACTCCAGTGATTTTTAAATTCTAATATCTGAATTATATAAATAATTGATATAATTTTTTTATTAAAAAAAAATGTTAAAAGATCTTTTTTGTAGAGCATTAAAGTTTCTTTACAAATTAGTATTGTACTTTTGTGTATACTGAGTTGCTTGTTAGTTATAAGATTACAAAATAGTTAAAACAACTTATTAATTTTTAACGCTTGATTTCTTGGAAACGGCTCGTCTGAAATATTTCTACTCCAATCGTTTAGACGCAATGAGACCCGGACAAAAAAATAAAAATATAAATGATAGACCTCTTCCAATTGGGTTGTCTGATGAAAATTTTCAATCAAAAATGTATTCAGATAAATATTTCTACCCCAATCGTTTGACTGTTTGGACACAATAATGAGACCAGGACAAAAAAACTAAAAATATCAATGACCTCTCCAATGTGTCCAACCTTTCATTTTTTTTTGTCACTCTGAATGATTGATAAATTTTTCATAAAACTATTTTTTTGGGCCAGTTTAAGGGACGGATATGGACGGAAATTTTGTAGATAAATTGTTGAACTCCTTAACTCTAATATCACAAATGTAGGATTGCGTTTAAAGTAAATTAGTTTGCTATTTTAATGTTTTGTGACACCCTGCATGTTTTACCATCAAACTCACGTATTGGTCAATGAAACAAATGTCTTAGCTAACCTCTGTAAAATTTTGAAATAGTTAGCTCACTTATTCAAAAGGATATTAAAATTTAATAAAGGGATGTTTTTCTGCTAAAAAATAACATTAATTTTTGCTGAAGTATGGGAAAGACATAGTTAAGGTATGGGGAAATCTTAACACAAGTTACTCAGAATTTTGCGCAAAACCAGAAAAAGTACTAATATATATGGCGTTCCATTTAAATTTCCAATCTTGTCGTCTGTTTCGAATTAAATTGGCAACGCCGCTGCTACTTGAATAATTCAATAATACACTATAATAAAAACCTATTTAGTTCTATTTTATATACCATATACTGGGTGTCTCAGTAAGGAAAATTAAGTACGGTATTAAGAAAACGCAAAAATTAAAAAAATATTAGTTAAATCGGCCAAGAGAAAATGCTTCAAAATATTTTCCAGTTTCTGAAAAAATGAAAAAATAGCAAATGCAACAATATGTTTTTTTACGTCATTGGATAGTCAAATAAGAGCTAAACAACCCTGTAAAATGCCCATCTCAACATAACTTAACCTAAAATATGAATAACAGAATTTAATGCAAAAAAAATGGATTGTGGGAAAAATTTTACGGGTTGTTATTAATGTCTTAGTTTCTCCAATTTAGCAACTTAAAGGCAAATTTCTTATTTGCAATGTCAAATGATATTTATGTGGCAATCAAAATCGCGTCACTTATACCCTATAGCATAGCCCTTTTTAAAGACTCCAAGTTCATTAAAATGCGTTCAGTCTTTTTGAAGATATAGGACATTCATTTCATGAAATGTTCATACAATTGCCGAGATAAACCAAACAACATTAAACAAAAAAGATTTGAATTTGTTTCAGCTTAAAAATAATATGCATTTCAACTATGGTCAAGGTTAGAAATTTTTGCAGAATTAGTGTTTCAAAATTCAAGATAGCAATTACGCCCCCTGATTGCAATTTTTGAAATTCAAAAATCATTTGAAGCATTTTCTTTTGGTCGATTTACTTAATTTTTTTTTTCAAATTTCTAGAACCCTTTGTTTCTCCAATATCGCACCTTATTGCCATTAACATTGAAGATGTTATATCTAGGTGTATTAAAACCGGTGCGATTATAAATTACAATTCTCCTATTGACGTTTCCTATCATTATTGTGTTTCCTTCTTTCATCTTTGATTTTTTTTTTTCGTTAGGGATTTTTATGATCATATAGTGATGACCGAATGGTTAGTAATGACTTCTATTGTGAATAACTAAAAAAATAAATAAAGCTTTTTCTATTGATGTTGTAACATAAAAACTGACCTGATGGGATCAACTGCAACTGGGGAGGGTCTGGGGAACGAGCATAGTACCCGGTAGTTTATAGATTAGTTGTGCGCAGTAAACTTTACACCGTTTAATTAATTCAAAAAATATGCGTGTCGATTTAATTCAATTTAACACAATAATACGTTCCGACAGTTATCTCAGAACACCTTCGAAGGCACTTACACTAACGCAAATTCTCTGTATCCTTTATTGAGAACGAAAATTAATTTTTAAGTATTAGTATAAAACTGTATAAACTCGTTAAAACGACGCAATTAAACAGAAAATTATTTGTACCCTAGGGAATTACATCTACAAAGAAAGGAAACTAGTTGGAACAAGTCTTTACATAATTAAAATCGAAAGTAATCTTATGTTTTCATTTTGTTGTTTTTTTTTCATGCATATGCGACACCTACGTTGCCGCACTGCTCGATATGTTAGTTTCCTGCGAATTACCTTCTGTTTCCGGTGTTCTGGTTTCGCCTATCGTGTCGGTTTTCGTACGTTTTGAGTCGGTTCGCTCCGGTTCGGAGGAGGAGGCTCGTTTTCTAAGTCCCGGATTAAATTTCACGATTATAGCCGTCATATTATCGCAGCCCGTACCATCGCCCATGGTGTTCGGAGCTAAGCAATGATCGAACATCTGAAAGATAAAAATTATACAATGGTGCAAAAAAGTACGGAAACTTTTAATAATGTACAGAATAGAACTTATTTCGCTACTTCAAATGGTCCAAATGCACTAAGTATCAGACAAAAATAAAAGCAACTATTATAATCTTTTGATACAGTGACAACAATTTTTTTTATTAATTTCTTTGTGCAAGCTAGGTCATTCTCATCAATGAAGGACTGCATCTTCTTTGCACATTCAGATGCGGAACCACTTAACTGATGAATGTCAGAACTTGTCCCAACACAGCATTATCATCTGCAAATAATGATAGCTTGCCTAATATATCCAATGGACAATTTTTTATTCATCAATAAAGAGTAGGAAAACTAGCGGCTCCGTGGTACACCCATTTCAACTTACACTCCACTCTAAGTGGAATTCTCAGTTGCTCACTTTCTGCATTTGTCTCTCCAAATATAAGGACAGCCAACTATAAGGCAGACTCCGTCACTCCACTTTTTTTTTTCTGCTTTACACTTTCAAGATTAACCATTTGAAATGCTTAGTGCATAGTCAAAACAACAAAGCTTTAAGCTTTGATCCAGTTTCTGAATAATGACGTGTGTAGACTTAACTTTTTGGAAGTCGAACTGACCCTCAAATAAGTTATTGAAGTTACTTAAAAACTCAATAAGTCTAGTATAATAAATTTTTTAATAAATTTTGGAAAAAAGTAGGGGCAACGTCACTTCCCTAAAGCATTTTTTTCAATTTAATATTTATTCAGTACTTTAAAAATAATGTAGGTTAAACATGCTCTGTTGCCATGTGCTATTGCCTACTCAATTAACTTCAAGCAATAGGTTATTGATGCCTATAAATCCAGTGTTTCACAAGATAACGTTACCAAAGGATTTTACTTAAAAGATGTTATTGTTTTTATAACTATAAACATTTTTCATCTTCGTGGAAGTGTAGTGAACTAAGAGGGGGTCGACACCGAAAAACTTCCGAAAAACACATAAAAAGAATGGTTAAAAATGACCCCAAATTTTCTGCAACACAAGTTTTGGTCAATAAATAAGTCAACCAGAGGGGGTAGAAGGGTCACCCAGGGCAATCTAAAGGCTTGAAGCTAGTTTAAAAGCACGAAGACCCCGGTAAAACGTCTTCTTGAAGTAAAAAACAGACGTTCGAAATTATTATTTGAATAAGAACATCGATAATGGACGGACACCAAAAGTTTAGAAAAAGGAAATTTGCAGATGGTAAAAGGCTTAATTCTAAATATGTTTGTCCAACGGTTAAGCATGGAGGAGGTAATAATACGGTATGGGATTGCTTCTCAGCCTTTGGAAGAAAATTTTCTAAAATCACGCTGAATTATTAAAAGAAATTAAAAACGTTTGGAACTCCAGTAGTGAAGAAACCATTGCCTAGACTTTGCCAAGCTGATTGCAAATAAAGGATCTTGACCCAAATATTAACTGTATGTATCTATTTCTTACGGAAAAACAGAAAGTTGCTTTAATTTTTGAGAAGATGTAAAAAGAAAAAAATTTAATTATTATCTATTACCATAAAGTTTTAGTGTAGATTAAAGAGGGATGTATACTATCTTGACTTAAAAAAAAAAAACAGGATAAGCTGTTTTAAAAAGTTTTATTTATATGTCAGTTTTGATACTTTGACTATTGTAAAAGGCAATGTCATTTTTCAAAGAAACTTCCACAGACTACTGTAAAAAATCTTCTGGATTCCTGGAGGAGGGACCATAATGTTCTGGGGATATTTTTCTTGATCTCTGTACAGGGTGAAATATACAAAGAAATATCGAAAAATACAATGCCAAAATCAAAATTTTTTTTAGAGTTCGGTTCTTTTATTAATAATACCTTAAGTTACAATAAAGATATTCAGATGCGGTTTTCACTGGTTTGTTAGGCCCTAATGGCATTAAAAAACTCATATCGTGCAGTTTATTCTTTTTGGGAAAATTATTTTGTTGTGTGCATAGCACTATTGATAGCATAGGAAAGGCACTTTTTATGGACTCCAAGTTTAATTAAAATGCGTTAATCTTTTTTGGAGATTTATTTAGGAAAATGATTGAACACCCCCACCACTTTCCTTGTAGAGATATTAATGATTGCAATTATGCCCCCTGATCGCCATTTCAGAGATTCTAAAATATAGTTTCCAGTATTTTGTTGCTCTTACGGCAACACATTTAAACAATTTTTTTCCAGTTTTACTATAAAACCATTTTTCGCAGACTGTTTTAATTTAAATGATAGTGATTAATGGTCGTGTCTTACCTCTTCACATATTCTGGATATTTTAGCTGGATTATCTTCGAGTTTTTTTTTAACAAAATCAACTACTTCCTGACTAGACATAAAGTTCCAGATTCCATCACAAGCGAGCACCATGAATTCGTCTTCTGATGGGGAAATTGTTAAATGTTTAACATCTGGTAGTGCTGAAACACAATTTATAATTTTCAAAAATCCATCAGTAAAATATTGTATAACTTTTTTTAGTTCTACCAAGCAACTGCTAGATTTAGTTTTAGTTTATAATATTGTAATCTCAAATCATGACTGTATTACACTGTGTACATTTTTCATTGTAACTTATATGCAAAGATTTAAATATATTTTGAGCAAGTTTAAAGCGCAAAAAGGAAATTTCACTGTTCGCGCATAATTTAAACATAGAATTCCGGGCGATCGGAAGTTAATCGGGGAAAATTAACAAAGAATTAAATAAAAAATTTACAAAACTTGTTTTTGATCATTTTATAAGTTATGATTTTTTCATTTAGTAAGAAGTTCGACATGTTTAGCTTACACAAGACACTCGGTAATGATCTTAATTTGTTATTCGCGTATACAAGTAAATAAGAAATATTACTAGTCATTTCAGTTTATTTGGTAAATGAGTTCAATACGCAGGTAAGCTGAACAATATTAAAGAGAAGAGGCGAGAGTACATTTAAACTTAATCAATTTATTGATCCAATTCTTATTAATATTCATAATATGGCAAATAATCTAAAATAGAAAGTTTAAATAAATGTTTTAATCCTTTGATTAAAAAAAACTTTTCAAAATTTTCGATTCAATTAAAAAGTCAATAAATCTTCCAATATCGCAGAGACTAAACACAAAGTTAATGAGTTTAAAGATGATGAAAGGAAAGATCCTACCTTTAAATGTGTTGCAATGCATAAAAAAAATTGACAGTGTGAATACGTTTTTATCGGAACTAGGGGAATCACCAATAAAATTAAAACGGGACAGGCTTATCAATCAAGCTCCCAACATCACACATAACGAGTAGGTTGAAAGTTCTTTAAAACAATTTAATTTTGCTGTTTTTACTTAAAAGGATCATGCCTTGCATAAACGGTGTTTTGAAAGTACTGTAATTCCTGCTGCGTTGGTTGTTGAAGAATCAAAGTTGCTGATGCTTCGTAGACTCTGGACGTGTTTCAGCCACAGAAAATTGTTGAGATGATAAATTTATCATAGTGTTTAGAAGTTGTGAAGAGTTGGTGCCATTTGTGTTGGGGTTAATTTTTCAAAGTTTTAAATCCTGGGTAGAAGATAAACATAGATTTTCAGCTTTGCCATGCATCACATGTGAAAGCATACCAAACTCAGATCGAAATAAGATAGATAGAATTTCAAGATGTAGAGACAGAAGACTCTTATTGATTTGGTCTATTTCTTTACAAGTGTTTTTGAATGTAATCAATTCTTGTAACAATGAAAAATACGAGAATATATAGAGATCTCTAAACAACCAAACAATCTTTAACCACTATGGGAATCAGTCATCTGAGGCAATGTCCCTCCTTTAGTGTATTATATATAAAATTTGTTGAATAATAAATATTTTTTCATTATTATTAAATTCATAGCGAGTAGTGACATTTTCTTTCTGCATCCTAAACTTCAAAGTATTACTAGTATATTCATTAACAAAACATAGACATTCAACAATAAAACCTGAAAATTTCATCAATTCATCTTTGATGGTTGATTTTTTATTTAAAATTGAAAGTAAAAAAATTGTTATTAAAGTAAAAATTTTGAAAATTTGTTTTGGGTATTAATTTCTGGTAGCGACTGCTTAATAAAAAAACAATATTTATTTTATGTGAAAAATGCTCTGATCTAAAATAAAAACAGACAAATATAAAGGTGTTTTGCTACCAAGATTTTCCAACCTGTAATCATTTGTTCCCTGTTGGAAAGCTCCTGATTCTGCTTGTAAGCGTGATCTCCAATGGCTCTAGACAAATTAAGGCCTCCATTAACTCTACCGTCGGCAGTGACTTTTCCGCCGGCCTTAACGATACGATCCCGTTCCGGTTCATCTTCAGGTTTGTGATCGAAACTCATCTCAACTGCTTTACCTAAAAAAATTATATTAAACCTAGTATTCAAAAGACATAAAGTACAGTAAAGCTTTTTCTAAATACCAAAAATTTTTAAAAATGTAAACCTATACTAATATCCTTCAATTAATTATCAATCAATATCAAAATATAAAATGTATGATGATTTAAAAATTATTGTACTTTGGTGAGGTGTTACAGATTTCTGTAACTTTACATTGCTGGCGGTATTTGTAAAATAAACAAATAAAAAATAGAATTGTTATTGATATCATTTTAAACTTATTTTAAAAATCTCCTGTACTCGGTAAATATTAAACCGAAAATTGTAACATTAATGATTGTCATATGATCATATGTCAATGAAACAAAAAGAAAAGGCTATTGCTTAAGATCCAATAGTAGAATAGAATAGAATGAAACAGTTATTTAATAACACGATATCGTAATTAATTAACCATGGTTAAAGTGATTACAATTTTAAATCTGAGAGAAATTCAAATGGTATTTTTAATGCTGTTGCTCTACCTCTGGAAGAAAATAGTGTGGGGTATTCAACATTATACAAATGACTCTTTCTCAAAAAAGGCTTAACACATTTGAATAAACTTGGAGTTGGCTTTCCTATATTATTAATCGTGTATGAATGATTGTTTATATTTTCAATTTTCAATTCTATCAATATATCTCTAACCTAACCTAACCTAAACCAACTATATCAGCACACATTTTACCAAGAAAAATAATTGAATAATTAATAAAATTGGTTAGTCTTCAACAATTTATTAGTTTTCATTAGTTCACCACACCTAATTATTTGAAAAAATTAGTGATAATAATAGTAAGTAATTTTATGTGAACCTAACCTATTGTAATTTTTTTTTCTTTCTTCACTTTGGAAAACTATAAATATTTATACTTCATACCATTTCTGCAAACAACACATCTAGAGTCACCAGCATTAGCCACATATAATTCACTGCCCCTTAGTAGGGCAATGACAGCTGTACATCCGCTATCTGATCCCGGCTCCTCTTTCATATTTTTGGCAAATTCGAGTTCATCCTCGTCTTCTGCTTCTTCCTCATCTTCTTCATCATCAATTTCTTCCTCAGCCACATCATCTGAACTTTCTTCATCTGAGTGTTCATCTTCTATTGAAGTATTGACCCCTTCAACATCGGAATCATCGGAATCATCTAAAAGTAACAAAATTAAAGTTTACAATGAATATATTCTACAGCTCAATAGAATAAAGGACAAGATTTAGTACAAAAACTTCTAAATAAAACTCTTTTCACTGGTTGTACTATAAATAACACAGAATTATGAGATTGATACTATTAATTACACAAGATTGGAATTATATTGTGCATACACCATGTATTTACTGTCTTTCAAATAAGCACTTTAAAGTCATATCAAAATTTGGTAAACAAATTTGCACTAGCAAGAGTGATCCCCATCTCGATTTCTTCAAATATCTTGCGCAGGGTGCGTCAGGGTCTTTTAGATTTTCGCCCATTACGGACACACCCTGAACATTTCCTGTCCCATGATTTTTTCCAATATGGTAAATGCTTTGTTACTTCAGATTTTCTGCATCCTCCCATTGAACAATTTTTTTGATGGCAACAGATTTGTGCTTGAACTCTTGCGAATGTGGTTTAATTTTTTTTTTTTTTAATTGCCAATAAAAGCTATTATTCATATTAAAAACTGAATCTGTAAAGGATCAAAAAAGAATTAGTAATTTAAGTCAATTATGTGGCAATTTAATGACCTAATCTAAATTAATACATATACATAACAAATACACTTCTAAGCCAAAATATTCATATAAATTATTTCATGTTTCTACTTACTTATAAATTACAATAAACATTAAAAAAAACACTAAACTCTATAAATATAAATATATTATATAAAATATTTAATTTAAGTAACATCTGTAGGTAATTTTTGATAAAGATGTTGAATAAAACATAAAAATTTAAAGAATTACAATATTTTTGAACAGCCTCAACCCAAGAATGACTCAAGTATTAAATAAATACATAAATTTGTCCAGAATTAAATATTTGTATTAGAAACTAGATAAATCTACACTCACCATTGGGCCCGACAAATGTTTTATCTTCATCATCTTCAGTCTCATCTTCACTATCACTTCCAAAATTCAATAGTTTTTTGTACAACTGATTAGCGTTTCTTTTTGGCCGGGTATTTAACATATCTTTCGGTTCCGCTTTCCTGGGTGACTTTCCTTTGATTTTATTTGGAGGTGCCTTCGTTGACTTGGAACTCATGACACCATTTTTATCCACAACTTCATTAATATCTCCATTTACATCTGATTTTTCTGAAGTCTCTAAATTTTTTTGTTTTAAGGGAACTTTAGGGGAATTAGAATTATCTGGCCTAGTTATTTTTATTTCTGGAATGCTCCCATTTGATTCCGATATACTACTAATTTCAGCTTCTAAAAACCATGAAAATAAAATTATTTTATCGGGTTGGTACCCAAACCAGTTCTTAAAAGTTTGTAATGAAATGTAACATTACTTGATTACAACAAAATATGTTTCTAAATTATAAAAAATAAATGAGTAAATTGTACCTATTTTATTCGGACCTTCTATTTCATCTGTCTTGTCTGTATTAACTAGTTGACAAACATTACTACTTCCAGCACTACCGTTAAAATCATCTCCAGTTTCATTAATCTCTGAACTCTCCCCTTTTTGAAAATTTACATTTGATACTCCGGGCATGTCAGTTATCATTTTAGATTTTGAATACAGGTCCACCTTTTTTATAGTTTTTAAAGAAGGCTTAACAGAGTTTGCATATTTTTCCATCACTTTTTCGATTGGCATCGAAGCTTCTTCATACAAATTTTGAAAATTTTCTTCTTCATCACTGCACTCTTCTTCCACCTCTCTATCTCCAGCAATTTCTTTTAATACCGAAATAACTTCAGCGTTGGTAATTGATTTATCAAAACCAAGGAATCCTTCAATAAGAGACTGTTCAATATTGCCACTTTTATACGCGTTCGTAGCTTTAATAAAATTGGGCAATTTTTGTGCACAATACTGAGCTACTTCATGACCTCCATGCCCATCATAGACCGCGAAAAGTGAGGTATTTTCATCGAAGTCTAAAATGCAATTGTGAGCATCCTACAAAAAACTCTTTCGTTAAGACAAAACGGAGAAGCAAGAAATTATATACCTCTTGGGTTATACGCCAACCTTGCATGGAGCTCGCTCCACACACAAGAATATTATTTGAATCATCACTAGAAACTTTTTCGGTGACCGGTTCCGACAAATAAGAACCCATTTCTATAAACCCAAGACGCTCTTATCAACAATTTATTTTACAGTTAGAAAGACCGCTCGAAAAATGTTCAACATACCTAGCAAACATCACAGAATACAGAAGGAAAACAGAACATGGACGACGGAGATCGGTTTTGGTTACTCAAAACACGCATACCCACATACAATAAAACGGCAACTTGTCGTGAGCTGGGAATGAAAGGAAAAGTTATTGCTCGCCTTAGAGAATAAAAAAAATCAGTTTATCCAGTAGTGAAACTAAAAGCAAACTATGCCTTATGCAGAATGCACTAAGTAAAGACAAAGATTAAATTTATAAAATAACGTTCCTAAAATACATGTTATACGTTAGAAGCATAGGACTAAAAAAAAATCATAGAACATGAATAGGAGCTAAATAAGGTTATGGGAATCGATCAATAAATAGTGGTGATGACAGCCGTGCTAGAAAATATAGTGTCTTGGCATCGAATGATCCTGCCAAATGCCCACGAGAAGGGAAGAAGAAGAAAACATGCGACAAACTTCAAAGTAGACAGAAAAAGGAGTAGCAATGTTTATTTTAAAAATATAAACAAAAATAAGCTTCAAAATGAACATGGGACTATCAATTTTTTTTTCAAAATAGTGCGCGAAAAATGTAATATTCTAATGAGTAATTTAAAAGTACCGGCTGGCTCTCAATCAGGCCATCGAATAATTTATCGCAAGGTAGGATAATTTTTTTTTTCCCGGTTCTTTGTCACATGCTTCCCACTGATGTACTTTTAGGGCCCCCCGATATTTTTCTTAATGATGCGTTTCAATATCAAAATAGCGTTGGTATTCATGGTTTCTATTTCGCTTATTACTATGATTGTGCTTTATTCGGTTTGCAATGAGACAAGTTTGAATTCCCAATCAGTGTCTAGCTTGAATGGAAAAGATTTTCGACTGCTAAACAGTGAGGATATAGATTGTGATATAAACGGGGAGTACGTGATAAACTGTAGGAAGGAAGCAGATGAAATATATGTCCCGTTTACCTTTTTGCATTCATATTTCGAAGTGTATGGCAAACTCGCCGTATACGAAGGTACAGAGAAATTCGAGTGGTCCCACAGTTATAGCAGAGTATACCATCCAAAATCCAAGTATGATTCTAGAGGCATTTTTATGTACTTTGAGAATTATAATGTGGAAGTTAGAGACAGGGTAAAATGCATAAGTGGCATTGAGGCTGTGCCCGTGTCCACTCAGTGGGAGAGCCAAGGGTATTACTACCCTACGCAAATTGCTCAATTCGGACTGTCTCACTACAGTAAAAATCTCACCGAACCAGATCCGAGGCGAAAAGTTATAGAAGATGGTAATTCTCATCTCGCAAATTGGATGGTCCCCCCATTTGCAAATTTAAAACGGACATGGGATAAAAGTGCAAACAAAAATGTACTGCAATTTAGGACCAGTGAAGATTACAGAGGAGGCATAGAGTTGCGAATGGACCATGTTTTGGATCTGGTTTTGAGCTTGAATGTCTTATTACAAGGAAACAGTAGTTTCACTGTTGTATTGCAAAATCGAGAAACTAAAGAAGAGTACCGTCTGCACTATATTGTGTCAGATATTTTGATAGCCACTCAAGTAAGTTGGTTCTTATATGGATGTTATAGTTTATTTGTAAAATATCATAAGCACTTTTACACTTCAAAAGAGAAAAATAGATATTTTTGAAAGCATTACTACAACTAATTAATTAATTAACTATTGCAAATACAAAAATTAAATTTTGAAGATGTTTTTTAATAAACTGTTAATATATACATGACAATAATACACAAAATTAAATTAAAACACATCATAGGTAAAATTTTGATTTGAAATACTGCTGATATGGGAAACAGGCATTCAATATGTTATAGTCTTTAACATTTTTCTTATATAGACTGAACTTAAGACCGTAACTGGAATTCCATTGTTACATATGAATACCCAAAAAATTGGATTCAATTTCTGGATTTCTCAGTTTGGCTGAAATCTAGCACTAAGTTATTGTTATTCCTTATTTGGTAGTTGTGAAAATCTTCATGAGTTTTGTAGAGGTCTGTATTTTGTTTAAAAGGCAATAGACATTGCATAATGTACTTAATCAATATTTTTAATTTGTTCATACAGCTTCTCTGGATATCCTAGGATAACATTAAATGCAAATAAATCATACTGATCACAGTTAGAGAGATGGTAGTCAAGTAAAGGCCTTTGTAAGGTGTATCAACATAATTATCCTTTATTAATTTAGTAATTTGATTATTTAAAATGCTTTCATATTCCAGCAAAGCCTGTACCCTTGAAGACAAATATATCCTTCCCAGTTTTAAAAATCTTGAGACATGAGTTAGTTGGTATTGATTCCATTGGAGTCCTTGTTACTATTGTTTTTTAGCTCTCATATAGCCTTGTCAACAGCACTAAAGCTTTCAGGTTTGAAGTTAAGAGTTGGAATATTATTTAGTGTCTTTTGTATGGATGGGAACTGGCAAGTTTCTTCATTATATTTCCTATCAAAATTTAAATTATATTGTTTGATAATTAGTCTCCACAATACTGAGGATTGTTGGATTTGTTTATAAGGTTTGATTCTTTAAATGGTTTTTATTCTACTTCTTGAAAGAAGGTGGCGGGGAGGTTTCCAAACATTTTCGGAAATAAGTGTCAATAATTTCAGAATTGATGAACGCATCTTCTCAAACTTGGAGTTGCTGAAAAGGTCATTAACACGGCCAGTAGAGAGTGTTTTGCGACATCACTGCAAATAAAATTTATTTTCTCAAAAGATTTAAATGGGACTATATCACTTTTATTATAATAAAAGATAGACAAATAAGGGTCTAACATGCTGGTAAAAGCGCATTTCTATATCTCGTTCATAGCCTGGCCTAGAAATAATGTCGCCATCTTTTTTATGATATTTTATACATTATATTTAAAATTTCAAAAATTATTAATAGTCAATCCCATATGATTGAAATGTGCAAATTTTTTATAGACGAATAGAGATAATTTTTCAAAGAAACTTCTACGGGCTACTGTAATACTTTTTATAAAACTTCTGGATTCCTCCTGCGTCGGTTTTTGCTGATTCGGATTAGCTAACGTTTCGCCAATCATCCTGTTGACTTCTTCAGAGCTTGACTGAAACTGGCTCGCATTTTACTCTGTATCTGCTTTTATATTGTTTGACGGGGGCGGAGCTAAATGAGCGCATAAACACCGTCTCGGATGACTGATTTCCATACTGACAGGTAGACACCTAAGTCGCAGTTAAGATTGTTAGGTTGCTTAGAGATTTCTATAGACTCTCGGATTTTTCATTGGTAGAAGAATTGATTACATGCGAGAATTTTAGTCTTATCGAATAAAATTTTGTGTCCGGTTTCGTTATTATGTTCGGCAACTGCTGATGAGTGTATTTGTCTTAGTCCTTAGGCTCTTCCATGTTCTTTGAGTCTAGTTGATATTTTTCGTCTGGTCTCTCCAATGTGTTCTTTGTCGCGTATGCGTGGAATGCTGTAAATTTATCAAGCAATGGTGGAAAAGGCATTTTTAACAACTAGGTTCACCAAAATACATTATATACGTCTCCAATATTAATTTGATTGACATTTAAGTATTTCCATTATATTTGGTTTTCTAAAGCACATTTGGATTTTTAAAATTTCGAGAATAAATTATTAAGTTGAATCTTTAAACTCGGTTTCTACAAAAAGTTTTTTTGTTAAGCATAGTTACGGTGTAAAGTTTAAAAAAATTATCTTTTTTGTTTAATGCTTTTTATTCTCTTCAAGGAAAGTGGTGGAAGGGGTTCATATTTTCAAAGAGGCTTAACGCATCTTAATAAGCTTGGAGTCTTTAAAAAGAGCTTTTCCTAGGGTATTAATCGTGCTGTGCGTGACGCGATTGTGGTTGTTTGCCATGATACCTGGCGGATTGTTCTTGACATATTCGCAAAACACATTCCTTGCCGAGATACAGAAAGCAGCATTAAACAAATAAGATTTGATTTTGTCTCAGCGTAAAAATAGTACGCACTTTTACTCTGGTTAACACTAGATAATAATTGCGCCCCTGGTGACCACCTCAGAAATTTCTAATACCACTCCTTTTCCTAATACCGTCGCCCTTACGGGGACATCAGGTATATTATGCCAAAATAACAAAAATTAGGATTTAATAATAGTAGGTATACCTATAATATTCTCAGAGTTTTTATTTCTTTTATTGAGATTATAGGTTATGAAAAAAATGTTGAAATCCGGCTTTTGCTAGCGTGTTAGACACTTATCCTTATTTTTATTTTACTATTTTATTTTTGTGGTGGGGCAGAACGCTCTCTAGCGGTGATATAAGTAATTTAAATCGATCAGCTGCAGGCAGCAATGATAACCTAAAAGGAACAACAACTCCCAAGTTTTATAAAATGAGTTTAGCGATTCAGTAATTATTGACATTTATTTCTGAAAATGTTTGAACACCTCCACCCCTTTCCTTTAAGAAGTAGAGCAAAAACTATTCTATGAAAAATAATCGAATTTATCCTAGCTTTACAAGGGTGTCTATTTTAGCTATCTGCAGTATCAGTTTATTTCTCAGAAAATGGGATTTAAAATTCAAGAATGCTATTACGCTCTCTTGCAGCCTTTTTATAAATTTAAAAATATTTCCCAGCATTTTCTCTTGGCCGTTTTATTTATAACTATTTCCACTTTACGGCAATAAGTTTTTGAGATAGGCTGAGTGTCCCTCTTAATTCGCCACCTGATACATTAAAATAATCAGACAAAGTAATATATTTTTAAATCTCTATCTTTTCCATTTTTTTTTTGACAAATGTTGCAAAATATATCTAAATTCCTATCTTGAGTGTATTATGCAGTGATATTAAGTTTTTACTCCTTGGGACTTCACCGACCTGCAAAATGCAGAAACCAACCTATAGTTCCTAATTATAACCGTATCTAGTCCTGCATAAGTTTCTTCAATTAAGCAACATTTTTAGGGTTTAAACATTTATCATGGAATAGGTAGTACACCAAAATGGAAGCGGCTCACTAGGGATCTCGTAGTGGATTTACAGAAGGGGCTGGGTTATGTGAGCAAAGATAAATCTAAACCAAAGTTCCCGAGATCCAAATTCAAAGTCGTTAATATAATCTTGAGGTTATTGATGCTATTTGATATTACAAAATACTTAAAAAATCGCTTTTAGGGGTTCAGGTGCGCTCAATAATTTAACCTTTTCATCTTCCGAGCATATACAACAGTTCTATGACTCAGCAGAATGGTTCGTCAACTATCAGGACCTGGATACAGGAGGGTGGCCCATACCGGTAAAAAGAAAGCTGGCTTCCGGATTTGAAGTGCTTCAACCAGGCATGTGCGAAGATAAGGAAGCGAGACAAAAATTATGGTCTCACATTTTGTAGGGTGGTACTCAGCAATGGGTCAAGGTCACGCGTTGTCTGTTCTTTCGAGAGCCTACTACCATTCGGGTGGGGACCAAAGGTACCTAAATGCAGCTATAAACGGTTTGAAACCATTCCGGGTTCCTAGTTCAGAGGGCGGCGTGTTGGCCACCTTTCTCAACAAGTTCCATTGGTATGAGGAATACCCCACCAAGCCGGCGTCTTTTGTGCTCAATGGGTTTATTTATTCTCTGCTTGGGCTTTATGACTTATTGAAGATTGCGCCCATTCTGGAAGCTCAGGTAAAGGTCATTTCTTGTAATCTGGGAGTGGTTCTTTGAGTTCAAAAAATATAAAGCTCCGAATTTTTCTATTCCATAAGACGTTGACAGCAATGTTGTATTTAAATTAGTAATTGTTAGGGTTAAAAAAAATTACCATTAGGCTTTCCCATTAAAAGTCCTTACCAGATAATTGTATTTTCACCACTTGAGTTAAAAAAGTAGATAGAAATACGCAAAAAAGATTTGGTTTTGGTTAGTTACATGTTTTTTTTTAGATGCCTTATATTTTAACAATGTTAAATACAAAGAATATAATTTATTTTATTTTCCACACTTTAATGTGGCCAAGATGAATCCAAGAATTCCTATTAAATATTTAGTATAGATATTATTATCAGTATAGATATTATTTTATGAAATTTATTTTGTAGGTTTGGAGGAGGTGTTACAGATTTCTGTAACTATTTGTAATTACTATTGATGATCTCAATTTAAACTTATTTTATAGATCCTATATCGCGAAAATTGTAACAATAATTGTTGGATGTTCAGGTTAAATTCATGGCAAATTCAATGTTAATATGATAATCTAAAAATTATTAGCATAAAAAAAACGAAAAGAATAGCTAAGACCTTTGGCTAGTGCTCAAGATCCATGTTTAACTAGCATTAGGTACTAAGTTGGCTATTGATATTAATATATCCACAGTCCTTTTTCTGAACGCGTTTAGACTTCTGAAACTCTGAAAGATAATCTTACAAATGGAGTTCTTCATAATCAAATGTTTTCTGCAGGGATGTTCTTACACAACTTATGTTGAAATTTATCCTTGCAAGAATTACGCATATGTATATTTGCTCTCTTTTCAAGAAAGTTCTCTTAATAAACTAATTGAGTAAATTAAAAATACAAAGTTTCCTATCCTAATATTCGTTAATAACGACATTTAAAATTGGTCAATGTGCAATGATTTAAAAAAGATGATAGTGTCACGATTTGTGAAAGATTTTTTAATTAAAAACGTTTTTATTTTTAATTTGTATGTCTTTAATTAAAGTGGTGTTTTGTTGAAGGGGGTGTACGTCTGAGGCCACTTCTATTTCTAATCTTTATTGATGACATTAAAGAAGGTCTGTTGAATATATCAGACAAGCTCTCATCAATTGCATGTGACGACTCTTGTAACAAATTATGATATTCAGTTGGGTGATTCCACATCTGATTGTTCAACGATGATGCAGTCTTTCAGTGATGAGAATGACCTACATTTATATTTGACTACAACAGAGTCGGGTTTTTTCTCTTATAGACAAAGGAAGAGGGGCCTTTTTTTATAACAGATTGGCGTTCTATTTGGCAGAGTAAAGCCGTAAAATTCTTGTTGCAGAAACTAGGAAATTCTGTAAATAGATTAGAGGTAAGAGGTTATGTTATCCTTTTATTAACCACATGTTAGCTCCACACTATCATATTGAGCGACAGTATGCGTATTAGGGATATAATGATTGCCTCAAAAAAACAATCATAAGAACAATAACATTTAAAAAAAGTATCTTTTCCTGTTCTTATTCAGCGAGCTAAATATACATACTGTGTGTATAATAATTTGCGAGTGCCACAGCATAGGTTGAGTCGAACCATGGGAAGCTGCTATGTAATACCTATTAAAATTTATAATCATTTGCCAGACTCTATTAGTTGTATTACCAATGAAAGCAAATTTAAAAACTCAATAAGAAATTATTATTGAGTAAAACAATATACTCCTTGAAGGATTTTTTTGAGATAAACCGTTAAAATGGGTGAATGATTACTGAGGGAGTTAAAGAAATTTTATATTTTGTTTATATGTCTTTTTTGACTAAACATATGTACATTTTTTGGGTGCCAATATTGCTGTGAATTTGATTTAATGAATAAAATAAATAAATTAGTTTAGTGGGGTGTACATGTTTCTTTAAAATTGTATAAAATTTATGAAATGGCAGCATGTACCTTTTTCTTGCTTCAGGAAGCGGAATTTCTTTATTCAGAAGGCATAGAGACATTGAAGCACATGATCAGCCTGTTCGATATGGGCAGCGTGACGTCATACGACTTGCGGCACTTCACGTTGAGCATCGCTCCTAACTTGGCCCGATGGGACTACCATGCCACCCACGTAAACCAATTGCTTCTGCTCGCCACTATCGAAACCGATCCGATTTTCAATCAAACCGCGGAGAGATGGTTGGGGTACATGAATGGGAAAAGGGCTGATCACAACTGAGGCCAGATTGTTCCAGAAGTAAAACAAGCGCTCTATCAAGGGAAGTGTATGGTAATGCAAGGTAAAAATGTTGATTGAGTCACTTTCTCACCAGCAATGATTTTATCATTGTAAAGTGCTAACCTGAAAATTTGTAGGTTAAGGGTCGGAGTGAGGAAGTTTCGATTGTCGCTGGTCTGCTATTTTCTACTTTTCTTTTCGCAGTTTTGCGCACGGAAGGTTTTTCTTTCTTTATAGATTGATCGGTTGATTTTATTTGGAAGAACCTCGCGTATAAATATTGTTTAAGTCACAATGTGGACCTGAATAGAATTAATTTTTAACTTTGGAACATAATGATGATGAACTGACATAATGTCAAATATTTAACATAATTTTTAAATGGCAAGGGGTGGGGGCATATAATACTCTTTTGAGAAGTAATTTAATTCGCTATATAGCATTGTTTTTATCAAACAATACCAATATATCGAAACCCAAAAAAAACTTAATATGCCCGTTTATTTTAATTTAAACATAAAATAAAATAAATTTGTTTGCCTTGGCCCTTTTGGCAATAATTAAAAATTAACCTGTAGGTTGGCTAGGTGGTATTTATCTAAAAGGTGGGAGATGTGATCCAATCGAGTGGCCAGCCCATTCACCAGACAGCACTCTTTTGTTTTTTTTAATGGGGCTAGCTAATAGCAAAAATGTATAAAACAAAATATTTGTTAGATACCTGTATTATGGCCCAGAGACAGACATTAATACAGATTATTTACTGAAAATAGATGAGATGATCTATCATACTTCTCGTTGAATACGTTTGAGGTTATGCAAAATTTTGACGTTTGGTTAGTTTAAAAACTCTGTCACTTAGCTCAGCTGATTTTTTGAACTCTTTTATATCTAGTGAATACTAAAAAAACGGTCTCCACACTTAATTAGTCAATAATTTCAGTGGTAACCTGGATAACTTGAAAATTCAGGGTATTTCAAAAAGGTCAAAGAAAGTCATGTACTTTTCACATAAAAAAATTTGTAGTTTTATATAAATTATTGTGACACTAATTGTTGGTATTGAGGAGTGTTTGGGCCAGTTACGGAAGGCTATAAGAAGATGGCATAACATGAAGGGCGCTTTCTAATTGAGCTTCTTAAAGCTGGCATTAGAAGTGCGCGTGTTCTGAGCAAGTCTTGCAACATATAATCATTTATGACTTGACAACTTGAACTACAATAAAAGTAAGATAAGAAATTTTGATGCAACTTTATCTCCTTCTTTTAGCACTCCGTACGTATGGTGACACAAGTAGAGGAAGCTGTAACCGCTTCAAATATACTCTTTTAAGTTTAGAATTTTTGAATTCGCTTTTCAAACTGTTATCAAAATTTTCAGAAATTGTTTCCTATTTAGTGTTGCAATGTCGAATTATTTTACTTTTTTTAATTACTGAAATTTTTTAAAAATCCATGCATATAGGATTTTTTCAACGGGTGATCGGAAATGATGAACAAAAAATTAATTGCCGACTCTACTCCACGAATTCATATATGTATTTTTTAATATAAGTCAAATATAAGGGAAAAAAACTTTTTTTGTGAATTTTCCTTAATAACTTTCAAAATAATTTTGAAATATGCCTTTTATAGGTCCACATAATACTGTGCTAAAACTTTTGCGCAATTCTATTCAGTGCTCGTACAAAAACCGTGGCAAATCTTGTGGGCCACCTTGTAGGTTATAGTGCAGTTATATTTGAAGAAATCCGTAACGGTTTCGTTCAAATTAATATTTAAATAAATGAAAAGTGATATTAACAAAACCCATTTAACAGCGGGTCATAATTAACATTCCATATCGTTAAGTTTAAATTTTTGTTAAGAGGTAAAGTAGTATTTTTTGTTGTTAAATTATCGTTTCGTTGAATCGGTGGGGTTGTTTTTTTTATAGATTTTGGTCGTTGGGGTCTTCGATGTAGCTTATTTCGGATCGGTAAAAGACTGAAAAACGACCCGACACTTTCGTTTTAATTCGTCTGAAAATAACTTAACGCACGGACCAAGTACTTTGTCTTCTGATACGATTAGTTTCAAAAATATTGCCAACCTAATCGCTCGAATTTCGACCGACGGATAAACGAAAACGCTCGACAAAGTCACTTTAGTCTTTTTAATATAGAAACTATTGAAAGTCAATATTACATTTTTAGGTAGATTTAATTTAATAGCGACAAAACCGACCATACTGACATTAACGGCCATTTAATACGGAATACGATAAATTAATTGAAAATTTTCCGATGCTTTTCTGTAGGGGGCAGTGCGGTCGGTTTTTATAAGGTTCGCCAAGTTGACAGGACGCACGAAATTGATTTTTTCCTCCCAAATGTTTTTTTTTTGGTTTGGTGTGGGTAGAAGCCGTCAGTCAGGGTCAGCCTCTTAAGGCGGTCTTTTCTAGTGCAGCTATTTTTGTAATGTCGCCTTCTCAGTTCTTTAATGTAAAATGGCGTAACAGTCAAGAATTATTATTTAAAAAAATAACGAATACTTTCAATAAAAAAATGCACATTTTTAAGTAAAATGACCTTCATAATAAATGTATAGTGAGATTCTTGTACAGTATTTCCATTTTTCGTTGTTATTGCACAGGCCAACAGACATTTTAGTGCCTGTGATTTTTTAATTGTCTTTTTTAGATAGGCTAATGGGACTAACCAAAAATAACGGAGCCACATGCCCTAAAAGGAATAGACCTAAAAAATCAGTTGTTGGATTTCCGGCACTAATTTCGTAATTTCGTAAAACATACATAACATATAAGAAATTTAAAACACACTACATCTTAATGAGATGATGAAAGCCGAATCTTATGGCGTACTCAGTTTTTTTTTTTTGTATAAGATATAATTTTTAAGATACTAGCTAAATTTGAATCTTTTTAAAACACCCCGTATATTTTTTAGTGTTGGATTACGTTTTTTATTCAATTAAAAAATCTTAATATATTTTTTTAAATAAACATATTTTGATATTTTAGGAAATGTATTTGTTTTCTCTATTAATTTTTACTCTTGTTAATATGTTATTATTATTAGTGTTATTATTGTTATTCTTATCATTTTATTACGAAAAATAGTAAACCTAAGAAAATACGAATTTTTCTTTGAATATTTTCAAGAATTCAGCGGCGTACTCAGATTTTTGTGTTTTGAAATACAATCCAAAGGTGAAACACCATGTAAATATTTTTGATTCAGCTTTTTAGACGCTCTGGTTAAAGATACCCACATTTTCAGAGCATACTCTAATTTATTTTTTTGAAACAATTTATATAGTAAACATCGATAAAAGTTTAGTATTTTTTGTATTCTATAGTTTGTGTTTTTTGCTGATAAGGATAATAATAATAATCAGAATAATATGTTAAATGAAATAAAATTAGGGTATAGCGTAAAATGTTAAAATTATATGTTTATTTAAAATAATATATTTATGCAGTTATAGATCGTACAAAATCGTATACAGGGTGATCCGTTTTTTAAAGCATAGCCTTGGTTCGTATCTGAAAAAATATCTTTTACAAAAAATGTAAGTTGGTCACTGCAAGCTGTTTCTTTCCATTATATTTTACAACTCCACTTTGAGAGACGAACTACTACTGGAATTTTGAATTGTTTTGATTATACATATATCTATATTTTCTAAATAGGACGCCGCAGTATTCAATGGAATAATTTTTCAGTAAAAGTGTTTTATTTTTATTATTTGGTATAATTTGGAAAGGTGATGGATGAGCACCGTGTCCTCGATACTTGACGGATCGGTCATAGTATTCTTAGAAATAAATATATTTTACTAGAATTTTCACCGAATATTATACATATGTACATATTTTAATAAAGATAGTGTGAATATGTTAGTATTACGATGTTATAGAAAGAGAACGGTGCACCATGTTTAATAGAAACTATAAAAATCTCACAAAATTCGATTCAAGGGTATATTATACATATACAGGATAGCTAACTATTTCGGAATTCTTGTGTATTATCATAATAATTTATTTAATCGAGAAGTTTATACTTCAAATTTTTTTTCCAATGTGCCGCATCGGTGAAAATAGTTGCCATTATACAGGGTATCTCAACTCACAGAATCCGACTTCCTTATTTAACTCAGCGATATCATTTTTATTGCAATAAAAGATAGCCAAATAAAGGTCTAACACGCTAGTTAAAACCGCATTTTGAGAACTCATATCTAATATAATTAAAAGAAATACAGACAAAATAATGGCGTCATCTTTAGGAATGTTTTCATTATACTTACCATCATTAAATAATTCGTTCTGTTAGCAATATGTATATAAATTTACTGTTAAGACAAGTAATATGCGTTCCGATATGATTGAATATTGCGATACTATATGTTACATTAAACAGAAACAATAACACAGATAAAACACTAAGATTTTTGCGTTTTAATGCAGGATACTTCGTCGCGTAGATAGTTAGTTTTGCAATATTTAAGTGAATGTTTTCGCTTATGTAACTTTTTTCAATATTTATAAATCTTACATTTTGTGTGTTTGATCCGAAAGGCGTCCTTGTTTTAATAAACTAACCAACAAATACCATCTATAATAATATATAATATATAATGTTTGTATGCTGATATTTGTAATGAAGGTGTTGTCCATTTTAACGTTGAATAAAAAAGTAATGAAGTAATAAATGTGATATAGCGTTGTTGAAGTACTTTTAAAAACTTGTCGACTTATTAATCTTTATATTTATATACGACATATACTAAACTTAAGTAACCTGACAAAATTAAGGGCATTAAGGAAAAATGCAACTGCAAATTGCAAAGAATAGGGCAGGAAAACTGGATAATATTTTTCTTTCCTTTTGCACCGGTGTATAATATCCTAAAAAGACGCCTTTTCAACAACTTCAAGTTCGACTAAAAATGTTCGGACACCTCCAACCACTGACCCTTAAGAGGTGGAGCAAAAACTAATCTACGAAAGAGAATTAAATTTCTTCTAGTTATCTGTAATAATAGGATTATTTCTCAAAAATCGGGATTTAACAGGAAACATTTTTAAATTAATCGAGATTCTCTCTCTTTCTGTCCAAAAATGAAATAATATATAATAGCAACTATTTTAATTACATGCAGCACATCCGTTCAAAATTTATAGATAAAATAAAGTGAAGATTGTATAAAAGAATCCTGCGGTAGCGAGTCACCCTGTATATATAAATATTGTTTATTAGAGCTAGCTAAATACGAGACTTCAAGTGTCGTAGCTAATAATCGTAAGATATTTCTCAGCTCGAACTGCGAGCAGTCGAGTAAGCGGTCGATGCAATTTTAATCATTATAAGAGCTTACTAGTATGCCTAAACGAAGGTACCTTGCCATAGCGTCTTAGTCGTTATCACAAAGCGTGGGTGTGATTTGATATGTTCCTTTCTTCCATCTTCCTAAATAACAACCAGCTTTAACTTTGTACTTAGCGGTTTTTTTTTCGGTTTTTATATAACTTACATTTTTGTCAATTTAAATTAAGTTGTAGAATAGGGACATTTTTATTTTATTTTTTAATTAGCACGTTTTCTTTTAATTTATTGTACAAACGAATGTTTTCCTACACACCTGTTTTTTCCCGTCCATTTAAAGAGAACTTTAATAAAACGTTGTAAATAATCTAGGAAATATAATATACAATTTCGATTATATAATTTTCTTAAAACTAACGTATTTTGATTTGTAGATAATTACTAGTCGAAATCTGTTGTGAAAACAACAAAATCGTCGGAAACTTGGATATAAACTTTTGTAATAGAGACTCTTAATTGCCAAATCTTTTTTAATTTACGAGTAATAGACAATACTGTTACTGCTCGATTTGATTATTTCTTGAAGAAATTTGAAGTTACACGCTATTGTTTGAATATATTAAGTGACTGACAATAATGTTAGAAAAAATAAATGTTTTAACGTATGATTTTTATTCAAAGGACCTCCCCCCGCCCCAGCGTTCAATTTTTCTTAACCTGCTCTACTATCGGCGATTTTATAATTCAGTGACACGTCTGGCAGGACAAACGTTAAGCTACTTCGGTGGTAAAATTTCTTAAATAAACTTTCTGATCTCCAAAGAGGCTTAATGCACTTTGATAAAGTTTGAGCCATTAAAAAAATTGTAGTTGCTTCCCATATCAGCAGGTGGATTTTTTCTGACATTTCTGACATAATCGCAAAAGAAATAATTTTCTGAAAAAGTAATAAATGAGTTTTCTATACCATTAGCTAGTCAAATAAGAGTTCTATAATGCAGTGAAAACAGCATCTCAATATCTTTTTTCTAATAAAAAAATGCGAATAAAAAATATTTACGCTCAAAAAAAAGTTGGGATTTAAGAAACGATCCCAGTTGTTATTAATATTGTATATAAATGATATTTAAAATCAAAAATAATAACATTTTTTTAATTTTAAATATCATTTGACTTCTTATAAATGATCGTTTTATTTGGCAAATTTGGGACAACAACCCATAAAGTGGAAAAATTTCCTAAAATACAACTTGTTTTGAACATTAAGCATTTATCTATATTTTAGGTAAAGATATTGCGATGCAGATTTCACTGGGTTGTTGGGTTGTTATTTGACTATCTAATAGCATAGAAAAGACTCGTGTCGTTGCATTTATTCTTTTTTCAGAAAATTAATTTATTTTGTCATTGATGTGAAAAATCCACCTGATGGCAAAATAAGTAACCACAATCGCGTCACTCATTGATAGCCGAGTAACCCACCACTTTCCTTGCAAAGATAGAGCAAACAGCATTAAACCAAAAAGATTTGAATTTGTTTTAGTGCGCAGTCTAACTATACTTAGCATTAGAAACTTTTGTAGAACCCTAGATTTAATATTCAAGATACCAATTACGCCTCCTGGTGGCCTTTTCACAAACTCTAAAATAATTTCCAGGATTTTCTTTTGGTTAATAATTCCTTTTTCAAATTTTTAAGACCATCTGTTTCCGTAATACCTTACCTCGTCGCCTTTATGGGACACCCGGTATATAGATCGCACGGCACTCAGCTGCTTTATCCAGTCCGCCGAAATGTTTCTTAGATTAGACAATCGCTCCCTACGCTATCATTGGTCTTACGACTGTGTCAATTTTGTGCCTAAACCCCAATTCTTTCCACACATTCTTCTGCACATTCCTTGTTGCCGTTTAGATTTACAATTTCCTTTATACTTTTATTTAAGCGTGACTGCTAAACGCTATGTAGTCACTGAAAAAACATTTACGTCACTGTCAGCCACAATGAAGTACAAACGCAAGGATAAATAAAACTAAATGCACAAATTCACGTTCGCGAGAAAATTGAGCGATTTTCTCAACACGAAATGCTCCAAACGCAACGTCAGTTCAGGCAAAGTCACCGACAAGCAGCTTAACGAAGAATTCGAGGCCTTCCTCAGGGAACTCGAATGCCTGACGGGAAAGAGAAGCTTGCTTCTGAGCTTTAAAAACGACAACTTCGACGGGGCAGCGTCGAGCAAAGACCTATCCAAACGCTCGGAGAGTCGCAGTTCGGAACTCGTAACAGGACGTAGCAAGCATTTAACGGAATCAGATCTGCTCGCTTATTTGACCCACATAATAATCAGACCAAACTGCAACAAGGCGTGCAAATCAGTTTTCAAGGAAATCTCGACTGCTCGGCAAGAAGATCAGTTTGAGGAAGACGGGTTTAATCCTTTCAGCGTTACCGTACAAAATTCGTTTACTCAGACGGATGATTACGTCTTACGCCACACTTGCGTCTACTGTTCGAAACAAGGTTTAAGAGCGCAACTGAATTCGACCAGAGAGTGTAAAGATGTCGCCACTAGCGACAGACTTCTGAAAACCGACGAGCAAACCTCGACGGTGAGAGATTCGAGAAGCGTCACAACCGGCTTGTCCAATAAAGGCTTCGCGGACGCGTCCACTAGCTACAAACTTCAACGACCATCCCGGACTTCCATTGCCGGTGGAGAGAAAACCTCCGCGAAGGTATTTTTGAAATAATTCGTTTCGCTTTAATTGAAAACAAAATGAATCGATCAAAAAATCAACCTGTATATTTCTAAATGATGCAATTGAGTTTGTTAAGTGCATCTCAAAAATATAAAAACTTTATGGCTGCTATTGAATCGATCTCGCTGACGTTTCGTCAATCAGAACTGAACTGAAACTGTTTCAGTTAAGCTGTGAAGAAGCCACCAGGATGATTGGCAAATTGTCAGCAAGTTCGATTCAACAACAATCGACGCAGGAAAAATATTTTGAAAAATTAACCAGCATCTATGTTTAATATTAACCCTAATATTTAATTTTCATTTTAAATTTATTTATGACAGGTTCTAAAAAAAGCCTCCATTTAATTTAACACACAATAATATTGGTTATTTTTATTTTACCTAACTATTACATCTCTATTTAACACTACTTCGTCAGGTAGTTCTTCCTTCCCTGTATTACTTGTATTACTCCTTCCTGGGTCTCCCTCTTTTATATTTCCCTTCCGAGGTTCACATTAATATTTGCTTTAGTTAGATCTCCTACAATTTTTCAGAGGTATTTTGTCATAGACTTTTTGAAGATCTATGTAAAGGAGTACCTCCATATTTCCGTTCTTAAAGATGGTCATGATATTAGAAGTTTTTCAGTCTTTTAGTGTTTTAGTTTCCTAAATAGTGTTCTTACATGACGATATAAATTCTCCTTTCCATGTTTTACTAATGCTCCTGGTATTTCTCCTGGCTCAACTGACTTTCGGTTTTTTAGATTTTTAAATAATCTTTTATCGTTATCAAGCTATTATTATTACTGGTTGTTTTTTCTAAAGGTAGTGTTTGAAATATGTTTTCCTTTGCTTTTGGTTTTGCCTTAGTCGTTGTATTACTCTCCAGATTTTTGTGCTTTTTATATCACCCAGATATGTATTTATTTTTTAACAGTTTCTGTCCCAGATTTTTTTTCAGTTATTTTTCTCCATTCCAGAGCTTATGGTTATTTATGTTTCCTTGGTTATAGTTATTTCGCTGTTTCTACTATTGCCCACTCCATATCTCCTAGTATAATAATTTCTCTAGTCCGTCCCACTTTTGTTATTTCGGAGTTCAAGTCTTCGAAAAAAAAATTCTATTGTCAAAACCCTATCGATTTTTACAAAATATGAAAAATAGTAGAATTTCCTATACGCATGTTGGGAAAGCATTGAGTGGCGTTTTACTTGGACATACGAATTTATAGAGTCAACGTAGGTCTCCTTAGTCGTTAAAAAAAAACCCAACCTAGCACTTCTTGCAAGATGTGTCTGCCCAACAACTGCGCAGCCCTCCAGCAAAAGGTAAAAGCGTCAGTCAATGCCAGTACTTCGATCAATGACCTGGAAGGTGACCAGATGACACTGAAGAACATTAAAGAAGAGGGAAAGACCGACGATAAAGAAGCGACCTCTTCCGACAGTTCCCGCAATAAGAGAAACCGCACAAGAAAGAAGGGTACCGACTCTTCCTCGGATAAGTATTTATCTAAAAGACCTCTGCCGATCGACATCTGTCCAAAGGTTGGGTGTATAGTGCTTTCACAGATAGATAAATGTTGCTTTTGAATTCAATGTGCCGGTCTGTGCCGGTCGATATGTGTAGAGATGAGCTTGGCAATCTAAATGGATTAAAAGATGTAGTCCAGTGAAAGAAAAGAATAATCCTGGCATAATAATTAAACAGCTTACTTTTGAAGTGGTTACGGACTTGTGAATTACATAAGCCTTATAATGACAGAAAGGCATAATTTACTTTTAATTTTCTTTTACGCAATTTGCGCTGTAATACATTTTAGGCATTTAGAATCACGGTCATGACTTTTATAGACTAGTCCGGTTGTATATACAAACATTTTAATTTTTAATTTAAAAGAAGTTTTAATTTTTAATTACACTTATCTTATTTAAAATGCTGAATATCAATGTAAAAAATGTTTGTATACCTACCCGTCGACAAAACTCTTGCAACTTTTACTTGTCGAATTACTATTAGAACTCACTTTTGTATAGTATAACTTCCAAGAAATAAATTTGTTACTATCACAAACCGTAAGTCAAATGAAATGAAAAAGTGCATAATATAGACAAAAGTAAACCACACTTTTTAGTGTGGTTTACTTATTACTTATTACGTCCTTATTATAATTAGGTCAAAACAGTTTCTCTGTGAAAGCACTATAACACAAAGTACAAGTATTTCTAGGGACCTGTTGCCACTAATTTGTTCGGATATACTTTTTTTTATTTCAAAAACGGTTCGTTTTCAAAAAAATCTATTGTAGTATCAAGGAGCCTTTAACCAACCCAATCCTTTAAAGTACTTTGAAGGATCATTTTCTATATCATTATTAATTAAAATATATATATATATATATATATATATATATATATATATATATATATATATATATATATATATATATATATATATATATATATATATATATATATATATATATATATATATATATATATATATATATATATATATATATATATATATATATATATATATTTTTTCTCTCTATAGTCCCACAATTGACCGAGATAAGACTCACGTTCATATAAACTCTTTTATTTAAAATAATGAGATCTGTCCCACATTTGTGAATAAAACCCGAATCACCCTATATAATATCACAACGAAGGTGTGTCAATCCGTTCATGATATATAATAACCTATACCTCGACGGTCCTAGAAATTTGAATAAAAAGTAAATCGGCCAAGAGAAAGTTCTGGAATTTATTTTCGAGTTTCTGCCCACCGGGTGGCGTAATTGTTATCTTGAATTTTCAAAGTGGGTTTCTACAAAATATCCCATAGTTAAATTCAAATCTTTTTTGCTTAATGTTGTTTTGCTCTATTTCTGCAAGGATAGTGGTGGGAGATGTTGGACTATTTTCTTAAATAAATATCCATATCTCCTAAAAGGCTTAACGTATTTTAACAAACTTGGAGTTATTAATAGAGGCTTTCCATAGGGCTACAAGTGACTCAATTGTGATTGCTTGTTTTACCACCAGGTGTATTTTTCTGACAATTGAAAAATAATTTTCTAAAAAAGAAACCCGCATCTCAATATCTTTATCCAAACCTCAAATATGAATAAAATAATTTAATTCTCAAAAAAAAAGTTGTATGTTCGAAATAAAAATCCACTTTCAATGTCTTATTATCTCGAATTTACCAAGTTACCCCGTGTCTTTCTTCCAATAGAAATACACCCCAATTTTATAATCTCATTAACTACAGGGTGACTTTATGGTTGCCTATTTAAAAAAGTTGTCGATTTAGAAACATTAATGGTGTAAAATAAGACGAATATACTCCTTCCATTTAAAAAAATCGATATGTCATGATTTGAAATTTATTAATTTCTCTCCCATACTTGAGAGGCCCTGTTATTCACTTAAGCTGAATACTCTTGCTGCTATGATCAACATCCGTAGGATTTTACTGTCAAGGTTATCGGGTCAATTTTGTTACAAACACATCAACGGATCTTTCAGAAACTACTCCAATCGTTCTAGGTTCGACGACGATGACGACGAACGTACCTCGAAGTGCTTTTCGCGAAGGAAGAAGCAACCCAAATATCTGCGCAAGGTTAAGATCGTTTATTCTTGCACACAATGGTCCATATAAAACTACCTACTATAGTATCCGGAAATCTTGCAGAGTAATTCAGTTATTTTATTTATTGAGTCGCAACTTGCTAAATTAAATAGATAACATTAAATAAATCCAATTTTTTAACGTTCTTTTTTTTAAATCAAAGAAATGAAACAGTTTGGCAACCTGTGCGACTATGCGTCAGATAGCGGTCACCATTAAAATTTCCACGTAAACTGCGGGACTACAAAGAATATAATAATATATCTTATATTTGCATTGTATGCATTGCATGTTTTGCGAGTAGGAAGTAGAACTCAAACTCCTAACTCAAGTTCTTGACCAATTTATATGGCTTGATTTTTCTCACAAAAGCTCATATACTTAATCTCCAACATTTCAAAAACTATGCAAAATTGGATCCTGGGTAAGTTAGGTTCATTTTTAACAAAGAATTTGTTAATTGCACAAAAATAGAGGGTTCTCATGTAAAAATCTAGAGTTAATGTCGCCATAGTAAGTTCGGGACAGCCTGTACACTTAAAACTGTTTTGATCATAATTTTTATCCAGATAGCATAGTGAGTGTTTCCATGTGGAACGCGCTCTACATACCTTTTTTCCGTTTATTGATAAATAGGGAAATTCTGTCCAACGTTCGATGCAAACGATACCGGTAGAAACGGAAAATAGAAGCGAACAATTTGACGGCCAGAAGGATCGACAAACCTCTACGGATTCCGACGTTCCCTACGTAGGCGAGAAACGGCCAACTTCAGGCTGGGTGTGTCGCAAGTGCGGGAAAGAAAAAAGGGACTGCACAGGCTGTCGTAATACCATAGTGATGCCGGCCAGAGACTCTGAATCGTTGATGTTCATTATCAAAGCAAGTCGAAATATTATATTAGTGGGACGTAGAACTGCCATTTTTCGAGAGTTAGTAAAGTTCGTCGTTTAGTTTATTCAGATTAAGTTTTAGCGTATTTAAGTATATTTTACTCTTTAACAAAGTCCGCGAACAGGTGCCGTTCTGGCACGGACTATAAAAATTGTAAATGTACTCGTAATATTTCAAATATTAGAAAGAAAGCTCTTCTGGCAGGAACTCATGAATGCGTAAAGTTATCGATATCAAATTTGATTTATTCTCTATTACTGCTGAAATAATTCTTACCATTCGATTGCAATTTTTGGAAAAACATTTAGGACAATGTAAATGTGAGCAGTGAAAACCAGTTTGTCACAGGTATGTTTTTTTCCTCTTTTGACCGAGACCTAAATTGCTTCAATCCGTTGAATTGAAGTAATGTTATACTTGTATAGTATAATTTTTTAATCAGTGAGACATCTCTATACCCCTCTGGGCTTATTTTATACTCTACAATTAAAAGCCATGAATCAAAAAGATGCAAAAAGATTACAGTTTATCAAGTTATAATAAAACATGATTTAGTGAAATGAATTTTTCTAAGCGACCATAGCCATGAGGCCTCCCGGCGTTGTATATTTGAACTTGATAAATCGAACTTTCTAACGTTTTACCAATCATCATGTTGGCTGCTTCAAAGCTTAGCTGAAACTGGTTTGCAGTCTACTCTGTACCTGCTTATATATTGCTTGAGGGAGTGGAGTTGAAGGAGGGACATGAATATTGTGTCAGATGACTGATTCGTTGCTTATAGATTTGTATAGATTATCGGATTTTTCTTTGGTAGAAAAATGGATTACATGCAAGAATTTTAGTTTTATCGAATAAATTTTGATGTCCGGATTCGTGATTCTGTTCGGCAAGTTGATATTCTTCGTTCGGTCTCACCAATGTATTATATGTATCGTCCGAGAATCTATAGAAATCTATAAGGAACAAAACAATCTTCACTGAGCCTCAGGTCTTTACCTTTCACAAATATAGGAATCAATCGTCATCCAAGACAATGTTCATGCCTCTCCTTTACCTAGCCCCCCCTCCAATAATATGTTAAGCAGGTACATATACTAGAAGTAGAATGCGATTCAGTTTCAGTTAAGCTCTAAAGAATCAACAAGATGATTATCGCAACGTCAACAAGTTCGATTCATCAAAAATTTTTGTAAATACTGTTACAGTAGCCTGTGGAAGTTTCTTAAAAAAACAGATCATAAGCTCTGTTAAATAGCGTCCAATAATTAAAAACACGCACGTTACAGATGCAATCGAAAAATAACGAACGACGTTTCGACAACATTATGAACCAGCTGAACCACCAGGGCAACGAAATTCGGCGCTTGAATGAAATGTACCGAGGTATGATCGAGAAGCATTACGCTGCTAGGTTATGCAGTTGCGCGAAGGATGGTAGGTTAGATTGTGACGAAAATCGAAGGGGTAAATATGGACCCCCGTCCCCTGCTGTCGCCATCCACATGTGCGATACTTGCAACGTCGATGTGGGCGGAACTCTGTTGGCTCGCTCTCTTTCGAGGGACAGTTGTGGCAGTGGAGAAAAGTAAGTGCTATAAACCAATTAAACTTTTAATGTTTCTATTATATATGAAAATTTCGAGATTTTGAAATAATCTGGACATTCGTTTCAAAATTTTTATTACTAAAAACCACTGCACAATATAATACAAAGGATTACAATCCAAAAATACAGAAATACAGAATTAGATGGTGTATTCAAATATTATTCTAAGTAGACAAACAATTTTTATTAGTTCTATGGTAATTTTCAAAACAATGCCACCTGGACAACGATATTCATGTTTCCATTTTTCGTATATCTTCCAGTCTCACACCCATGTTAACCTTAAACTTTGTATGTATAATCGCTTAACTATTTCTAGGTTGGGCTTTAATCTAAGACAAATTTTATTCGTCTACTCGAAGGATTACCAATAGTTTTTTTGCATTAAATTTTGCATTCGATACGCACACTTAAAACACATATTTTCACTTACTGCATTTCGCTGACTTATGTCGTCTTAAGACTTGAGGAAACAGATCCCTATGATGAACGATCTTGTTTTTGACTGGTCTTATTTTTTGTTTTAATAGATTTCTGTGATAATTTTTTAAATTGTGTAGCTTTGTCAAACTTTCTGTTTTTGAATCGTTCCGTAACATTTACTACATATATAGGGTGACTCATTGCTGCAGGATTCTTTTACACCTGATTAAGAGCTTGCTTTCTCAAAAAAATTTAAATACAAAAATTGTTTACATGCAATGAAAACAGTTACTATAACATATGATCTTTTTTTGTCGTTTCTTGGAGACAAGTTCATGGTGGGAAACACGTTCAGCTTTTTCTAAGCTTGAAATTTTGACATATGTAATATTATTTTGAACACTAATCGCATATATCACTCAGGGCGTATGAAATTTACCAAATTTTTTCAAATTCGACATCGTCACACACCATGATTCTTAAAAAAAGTTTAAATCGCTACTTTAGAGATTTAAACACTCAGATGCTTGGAAAAATACTTAACAACCAATAAAAACTAATTAAACACTAATTGATAACAATTATAAAAGTCAAATAAACTTAAGCACACTGTAATTTCAGGCTTCAGCTAATCAACAAACACAATTTAATCAAATTTATTTATTTACATAACACATCCATCTCTCCATCTCTCTATTATGACATGGTTGTATAAATTAATTTTACATTGGCGCCTATACCTTCAACTGTTTTCTTTTTTTTTCAAATTTGCTATCAAATCATTCAAACCCCAAAGTTTTTTTCTAGGTAGTCTCGATTTTGCCACAGTTTAACATATTTTTGGTTACTTCAAAAAGTTAAGATCACACGATCCCTCGCTCTAGCAGTTGTAGAGTCCATTAACTAATTTGTCATGTCAAACTTTGTCAAAAACAAAGCCAACTACAAAGAAGTTTGGGGTTAGTTTTGGTTAGCTATGGATTCCAAAGCAATCTCCATATTTTTGTAATTGTAAATGACGATGACTAAATACAGCAATAGGTCTTGGTACCGTTTTGTCATAACTCTTTCGTAGGTCAACAAAAATTTGACGCTAAATCGATTTTTCTTGAATAATATTCGGAAATCATTACAACGAAAATCGAACCATGACATTCACTCGATTAATTAATTATATATATGCATGCGGAAAACTAAAGGGCATCTAGCGACATAAAATTTTTCGTAATCGATATGTAGATACACTCGAAATTTTTTTTAGGAGATTTAAGGACATATTCAACCACTCGACAAAAAGCAAAGAACCTCTAAGTAGAGTTTCTGAACATGTTAACGGTTGCGGATCCGAGGCCAACACTTCCATTCTTACTGAAATAATTGCCAAAGATAGTCCTGAGGTGCACATGGGCAATCATAACATGGGCCATCAGACTCACTCGACTTATGGCGCCCGGATTTTGGGATGGCTCAAGACGTCTTGGGATAAAACGAGACGTAACCTCGAACAATGCAAGAGGCGGAGCCAAGAAGCAACCGAAACCGATGCTGGGTTAGTCAAGTTGAAGCGTTGGGTCACTGCCTTCGTTCGCAGTAAGTTTATTGTATAGAGTGCTACAGAAAACCAAGAAGAAAAATGGTTTTTATTATAAAAAAATACTAGAAGCTTGCAAAATATAGAACTTATGCACGTGGGGAAGACAGATGCATTGCTTTGTTTATGGTATACTTATATTTTCTTAATTCTAGTTTAGGCTTATTTCAGTTTTGTTTATTTAAATTCCTGGTTTTACTAAAATGAAGAAGTAAAAACTATCCATCATGGATTATATAAAAACGTCCTTCAAAATGGCTGCTGCTCGCTTTGTTGATGTTTGCTGACAATTATTTCCCAAGATCCTCATTCGTAGGTCTCTCATTGAGGCAGTCGCATATAAGATCAGCAAATTCCAACTTGGTTGATAAATACGTGAATTATATTATTTTCCAACTTTTTAGAATGCGAAGACAGATATTTTTAAAATTGTTATGATAGGGATAAATTTACCGAGAACTTTTATCATTTCGGGTTAACGGTCACACAGTTCTGTTACACCGTAGCTTCGCTTTTCGGACGTACTTTGCTTTTAGACCTGAACTTTGCTGTTCTACTTTTTGCTAAATAGATGTCCTTGTTACACTCCAGCCTTGTTTTTTTACTTCACAGCTTTGCTTTTTAGGATATTGAGTATGTTTTTTACATCTCAGCTTTGCATTTTGTAGCGTCCTCCTCCTATTTTTTATACAGCCACAATGCTTTTTACACCCTAGCTTTTCTATTTTGAAACGTCCTCCTTTTTCATCCAACCACAGCGTTACTCTTTTCAATGCTGTCTGGAGTCTGGTTTTTTTGGATCATTGTATTTTTTGCTTTTTGGAACTTTGTCCTTTTTTTACTCCGCAGCCTTGTTTCTTGGAAAGTAGATTTTTTTATAAACCCCCGTTTTGTTTTTGTTAATTTTCTGTTATTAACCAGCCTTACTTTTTACTTGCTCTCTTCTACTACTTTGATTGCTGGGAATGTTTTTATTTTTTACAGTGCAGCCTTTCAGAAGTCACCTGATATGATCCCCCTCGCCCCGCAGCAAAACTAAGTTTAGTTATTATTTTATTTAAACAATATTTACATTTACATTTAGATCTTATTTTATTACAGCCTTATTCAGTAAAATAATAAAAATTATTCTATCTTAGATTTCAAATCGTCTTTCACTTGTTCCAGTTCAATTTTCCTTAGATAATGGCAGTCGTCAATTGCGAAACTGAAAAAAAAATAAATAAAAAAATTTCCTTGACATTGGTTACCTTTTCAGCTGGAGGGAAGTCGAAATGATAGAGAACGCTACCTGTAAATCAGCACGACTAGGGGGGCAGTGGCCAAATGCCACAACGAGTGTGTGTCGAACAGGTAAAAGAACGGAGGGCGGTCCAAAACTTCGAGCAGAAGCACGAGTCCTGTAAGGGACACGTAGATGGCGCACTTCCACACGTATGGTTGTCTGTCTTTGTTGTACACCGACCACGAAAACCAACTAATAGCTGTGAACGTACCTAAGACAATTTGTTCGATAAAATAAAACAGCGAACGGTTCTTTGCCTTATACTAGCTTTATACTGACAGTGAATTAATAAGTTAATAATTAATAAATGTGTCATGATGTTCTTGAAGCCTAATGGCTTTACACTGAGAAGAAAGTGCGTCAATTGATTTAACAGAGCAACCAGAAGGTAACAATTTCTGTTGTTTTGGAACAGCGTTTATTCATAATAGATCTTATTTAATATTTCTTTCGAGGATGTAGGCGAAAACTTATTGAAAATATTCGTTTTGAACATCCACTGACTTAATTTTAAACTATACCTCAAAGTTTGAGTTGGCATGTATCTTCAAACGTTATCAAGAGAGAATATAATAAAATTGACTGCTGCTTAATGAATAAGATCTGATTAAAAAACGGGTACTCGAAACATCTCATTCAAAAGGTCTAGACAGCTATGGAGAGGAAAAAAAAACAATCAACTGAGCAAGAAGAGAGAAAAACAGTGTTTAGAACTTGCGATAATTCCTCACTCTCATCAAGGCAGGCAGTCTTGATACTGGGAACCAATGAGGCCTTCAGTATTCCATCAGTTGACACCAGGTAATGAGGACCACCAATAAAGACATCACACACAAAAATCAGAGGTCACACTCTATCAAACAGCAACAACCAATGTTCTTGATAACAGAGACAGATGAATTGAATTTCAAACAAATAGTTTTGGTCCTTATTTACTTAAAATGCTTAAGTCCCAGCCTGCCCTACAGAAAAAATAAAATTATACAAGGAATAGAAAAAGAAATAAATGCTAACATCCAAAAAAAGTGGTGGGGCAGGTCTGGCTAGCAATTAAAAATTAAATGAGCTCAAATTTGGATAATGAAGTTTCCAGAATCCAGAATATTTGAAATTGCAATCTGTTGTAGCATTGTAATCTGGAGACGTAGTAAGAGGTAAGAGCGTTAACTAACAAGATATTCTACTCTGCGTTAGGACTTCTAGATGAATGATAAAATTCATTTCTTTAGTGCACAAATTAAATAAACAATGAGAGATATAAAAATAGAAATGTATTTGGGTTAGTGTCGTATGGAGCACTATTATTTTACTTTACATCGTTTTTTGTGAACATTATTTTCAGGTGCCACTTTGGCATTAACCATGCAAACGTTTTTAACTCTTCGAACTTGCACCCATGCTATTACAATCGCCACAGGACCTGGATTCCTGATCTATATAAAATAAAGAACACTTTAAGTTATCAATGCTAATGTACTTTGAAATCAGTATTTAGGTTTCCACTAGTTTAAAAAAAATCCTTTTTGTTTTAGTTTACATTTTATTTGCATTTTTGAAAACTAGAAAACCTTAAGCTCATTACAATATTATATTCGTTTAAAGCTAGTGGCTAAATTTTCTACGAACATACCTTTTAGTTTTAACACCACGAACCTCAACAAAAAAAAACTTTCGGTGTTTTGTATGTAAGATGTCACCATAAACACATCCACTAAAGGTATATCATCGGATTGACCTTTTAAAAAATCGGCTGCTGTCATTTTCAAAACTTTCTTTTTGATACTAAGCACAAAATAACAAAAAGAAGCGACAGGATCAAGACTAAAATTAAAATTAAAACCACCAAGCGAACACGTCGTTCTGTCGAGCGAATTAACGTCAGAACCGGTCACAGCCAATAACAGTGCGTTTCAAACAGAATTTAAATTTTTTAAAACTGTAGTTGTTTTAAAAGTATAAATTTACTTTTATAGGCAATATTTTTCAAATTAAAATTTTGTTCAAGTGCCGTATTGAATCCTTGTCTCTTTTTTTACAACTTGCTCATTTTTTTTTCTGCTAAACAAATATTTATCTATCTAGTGACAATTAGTTAGTTCCATTTCGTGAATAAATTTTTGAAGAACGTCGTGAATTAATTTGGCGAGTATTTAATATCAAACCCGCCAAATTTGCTAGTGAATCGACTTCAGGAATTAATTCACTAAGAGATTGTCAGTGTAAAACTAAAGTTACCTATCAGCACGTTAAGTTCCATGTTGTAACCGTAATCGAAGTCGCCTGTGCCCAAATATACCGAATGATTGGCGAAGAATGCCAAAAAAAATACGGACAGCCCTGTCGCTACGAAGCGGGGAAGAATACCCCGCAGCGTCCTAAAAGGCGTCGAGTATGGGTGGGGACCGTTCAGTAATTTTCTTCCAATTTACCTGATCAGCATGACGTAACAATTGACGAGAATGATGGAGAACGCGCAAGCGTAGTCCATCAATTCGGTAAAAGGCGTGTCACGGGCGTGAAACGCGGACGACCAGAGCCAAGCGTGACAGCATATCTAATGGTAAAATGTTTTTTATACAGAGTTCTGCACGGTTCTAAACGGATATGGAAAAAGATAGGTCTAGGGGCTACAACCTCTATTTTTAAAATATTCGGGTCAATGCGGCATTGTCGCTCGAGCTAGTCGAGTAAGTCAGCAACTATATTTTTTCCGGTACTCCGTGACCAACACTTGGCGTAAAAAAACTTATGACTTAAGTGCACAAGAGAAAATGTTGGAAACTATTTTTAAGTTTCTAGAATGGCCACCAGAGGGCGTAATTGCATTCTTCAATTTTAAATCATTTTTTATTGTGAAATAATATTGTATTACAGATAGCTAAAATGGATACAATTGTAAAGCTGGGATTATTTTGTTAAACTTTCGAATTGTGGTTTCCAACGCTGCAGTGAGCAGATTGATTTAGATTGCTTGTATCACCGTTGAAGACGTTTTGTGCCATTTCTATAAATAAAATTTATTTTCCTAAAAAAACGATAACCAAATAAGAGTCTAGAACCCTCATTTTGGGTGGTAGGAATTGGACAGTTTTCGTGATGCCTCAAGAAAAAAAATAGAAAAAATGTATTATAAAGAAACAGCATAGGAAATCAACAGGCAAGTTTTGAGAGCTACATTTTTGTCTTAAACCTCACATTAACATAAGCTATAATTTAAAACTGTGTTCTGCGGTATTGTTAACCGATTGAAAAATTACTTGCTAGCACTTACTAGGTCACAAAGTCTAATTGAATTTTTTAAAATCTGAAAAATAGCAAAACTTCATATTACCAGACAAAAAACATGCCACAGCCAAAAGAGGGGGCTGTCAGGTCTTACAACTTTCCGGAATTTCTGGATCATTTTTATGTGGACGTAAAGGTTTAGCAGAGAAAAAACCACCGACGCGGGTTCTTGGATGCCAAAAATCCTCACAAATGGCCACTAAAATAATAAAAAAGTGTTAAATATATATGCTGACCATATGAATATGCTCCGACTTTATAGCTAACAAAATTTTTAAAAATTGCAAGAAGTGCACTCACTTTTCCATAAAACTGGGGGATCCTCCAATTCCGTGCTGTAAATTGGTCTACGGTTTTCCACATACACCCATACTTGCATTCATCTCTACAAGACCATAAACTTAATCGCAAATGTAGGGGTTGCGAGTAACCATCGATAAAATCATCGCCACCTAAAACCAAAGTCACAACTTCATATCCACTTCCATAAAGTCTACAAACGCTATTTAAACAAAATGCTATTTAAACAAAATAACCTGCGCCGCAGAAATCTTTTTCGCACGTTAGCAAACATCTTTCGTAGTAAGGCGATTTGTCACCAATGGAGCACCGACAAAAGTTAAAGAGTGCTAAAAGATATAGGAATTTTAAAAACATAACCAAACGTTTCGGCAATAGAAAATGCCCATCCCCTTATTCATAATCGAGCAACCAACATTACGCAAGTAGTTATCTCCCTAGAATTCACTTTGCAGAGAATTCCGTGTACTTTTATAGGGAACTACAATTTCATAAAATATTGAAAATTTTATTACAATTAAGTAAATGCATTGGGATTGTTGGTTGCCTATAATAATAATAATTATTATTATAGATTGGAAATGCTAAATAACCGTTTTTCCCGCATTTCGTCTATATCAATGTTTATTTTTACGTAACGTTTAAAAAAGTAAAATGTTGAAATCTCGATATTGGAATTTATATTTTGTGGAGTTCTATTGGAACCAAGATTCTAGTTAAGGTCCTTGACGGCAGATGGCATCCTTCTGCATAATCCGACCTTATGCTTTCAATGAACGTTTCAGTTCGCCATCTTCGCTTCACAGAATCGTCTACTCGCATAGAGACGTGTGGCAAGCGAGACAGGTATATTACGCAGTGTATATTTAGATAGTTAGCGGCGTGTGTCTTTTAAGTGCTGTCGTGCTAAAAGTGCCCGATATGAGGATTGAGTGAGACTTTTTGCGGGATGGATTTGTTTTTTTGACCGGACCAGCTGCAGCCTGACATTGTTTTGGTGAGTAAAATGCAATCGGTTAGAAAGTTGTTTCCTTGCTTGGTTATGTTGTACCTTACGTCGAGCGTCTACTTTGGGCATTTTTCGGCGTACCGTTCGGTATTTCAAGTTACGAAAACGCAATCGAAGATGACCGCCCTTAACAGGTTGTTTTTTGACAAGCCGGTCGTGGCGTTCAAAGCAAACGATTTTGGTTAGAGAGCGTTAATTTTGACGTATGTTGATAAAACAGCTCGCGTTTTATAGTCGGACTAATCTATACTAAATCTTCAAACCGCAGCTTAAATAACATCATCTTCGAGCAACTTCAAACGTAAATATTTTACCGATAAATTGGCGTTAAAAGTTTTTCGTGGTTTTGATAATGTCCGAATGATTTACAGGCTGTACTAAGTATGTAATTATTGCCGCTCCATGTCCAATCAACAAGTTATTTGTGTTGGGAATATCGATAATTTTTCACTTTGAACATTAATTAGAACGGATTGGGCATTTTAAAAAAATCATTTATTCAATACAACATCGGTACATTCACTGATATTAACAATAATTCTCTAATCAGTGCTTACAGACACTGGCCTCGAGAATAACAAAAGAAGAACTAATACACACTGCCGATAATTAATTCACATTTTAAAAATCTTTTAATTTATTTATAAAACTCTTATAGTTATGTGCATTTTTTATATAATATGGTAAATTATTAATTTTTTAATTGCATTTGTAATAGAATTTCTTAACGCATATTACTTATTCCTTATTGAAGTCTGATATTAATGTTACACTTTCGTAGATTATTGATTGTTTCTAAGATTTCTTTCGGACAATTTAGGATTAGCTTGAACTGGGAAGCCAATCCAAGTTAAATAATATATTTAGAATTTTATTTTACAATATTTGCGAGAGAATTATAAATCATGAACTGGAAAGTTTGGTGGTCCAATTCGTATTCCATGGGAGTATTGTTATTTAAAATTAGAATCATAGTTGTTTTCCGGCAGTTGTTGACAAAGTTCATTCTTGAAAACGGCATGTGTTTCTGAATTTGTTGCTGAGAAACGGATTTGTAAAACTGCGCTTTCTAAAAATGAGAAAGTTGTCATTCTCAATGTGTTCAAATCTGTTCGCCACTGAGCTTCAACATTCGAAGTTGCAAAAATGGTTGAAATGTGGAGAGGAAAACCACCTTTTAAAATTTGAATGAATATTTCCCCATAGAGTAATATTTCTAAGATATTTCCTTATATTTGCATGTCTGACCCGAATGTTTCCTCGTATATCCATATATTTCTCCATATTTGCTCGTATTAACCAAATATTTCCCGTATTTTCTTCTATTATATTTTATGCTATATTTTTAGTCTCGCTTTTTACTATGAAGAAACTGACCTATGACAAAATGTTTTTTTTTGCCTACTTATTGTTTCTCTCAATAATATCTAAATGACTCACAAAAAATTAATTCAAACATTAACTAAGTATTCCATTATATATATATATATATATATATATATATATATATATATATATATATATATATATATATATATATATATATATATATATATATATATATATATATATATATATATATATATATATATATATATATATATATATATATATATATATATATATATATCATCCGTTCGCTCGTTGAACTCCGACTGGAATCCTGCATCCGACTGGAATCCTGCAAATTCTGCATCCGACTGGAATCCTGCAGATGTTTCGCCAAAATCTCACTTGGCATCTTCAATGCTCGCGCTCCGAAAACACTTCGAACACTTTTCGGAGCGCGAGCATTGAAGATGCCAAGTGAGATTTTGGCGAAACGTCTGCAGGATTCCAGTCGGATGTAGAATTTGCAGGATTCCAGTCGGATGCAGAATTTGCAGGATTCCAGTCGGAGTTCAACGAGCGAACGGATGATATCCCGGAATATAGTGTCGTCACATTTTTCCATCCGTGAATCAATACGTGAGAATATATATATATATATATATATATATATATATATATATATATATATATATATATATATATATATATATATATATATATATATATATATAATTTATTAACAAAGTAAATTACCATTACAAAATTACAGAAAATTAATGAAATTACGATAATCCTCTGCTTAATAGGTAAATATTACCAGAGTTTCTTCTGGATGAAGGTTTCAAAGTTGTTTAGAATTTCGTCCCTCGGAAGTTATATTACATTTTGCTCGATACTGTTTACGAGCAAAATGCTGAAGAGCTTCGTGAGGTCACTTTACGGGTGGTCAAATTTTTATTTGGGTTATTGTTAGTTTAGTAACAAAATTTTCTAATTTTTTCTTGTGTCTCTACTAAACTAATTTGCTTATAACTTCAAATTTCTGTTATACAAGGCGATTCAGAGCGGATATGGTACGTTTATATGTACGTTTATAATAATAAAAGGTGATTTTCTCTGTGGCGTATCTAGGAGTTGAATTTATAGTCGATACTTGAGGCTTTTTCGGCTAAGGAAGATATTAGAATGTGACGTCATTAATATTTTGACAATGCCTGAGGAACGAACGATTATGAATACTGTGTTTACGAACTTCGATCGCGGATCAGGCAATTAATTTTTTAAAGATGAATTAAAAAATTTTTTTGGATTTGATTTGCATTAGAAACCCGCATTCTGTTTGCATTGTTTTTGTTATTGTACACAGTCGCTTCAAACGCCGTATCAGAGAGATACTTTTAAAACTTTTGACCTTGTTCTAGATCGTTCTACGTCGTCTTTCTCTCCTCGATCATTGTTTCTCTTATTATCAAAACGTTCACTTTATGAATCGACTTCGTCTGAAGTTTAATTAAATGTACACTGTGTCTAATATAAGCGGAACACAAGAGCAACGGCGTAAGTTAAATTACAAAAAATTGCATTTCTTAATATACCAGGTGAAACAAGAAAATCAATTTATGCATTTATCTGATTTGAGTGGCACACCCTACATTTTAGGAAGATAGGACTATTTTCTCCTACCTTTTATTTTTATTAATTGATTTTGCAACCTGTATCTAGCCGTAAGCATTTCGGCTCGTATGGTGATATAAAAATTAGTGAATATCTTATATACATTTTTTAAACTGATATAAAATGGTTGAAACGCCATCGAATCCCAAAATATACCGGGCACACTAAGTCTATATAGAATGAAGTTGACTGCTCTTACTTTCTTGTGTTACTTTTTCCAGTCAGATTTTCCAAAACTTCTTTTCCCGTATATGTCTCAAATTTTGTGAATTTTCTAAAATGGGTCATGGGTTATGAAATACAAATAATAGCATCTTTTTGCTGAGCATTTTCTAAGACTCGTGTGTTTTATTTATGCCATCTAAATCTTTGATGGTACTGGCGAATTTATTGTCCAATTATATTATTTGTTTCCTTTGGTTGACGCTAATCACGCTAACGCTAATATAATCGAGAGCTGTCATGATGTTTAAGGTAGTCATTATTTGACAGTATAGGACAGCCGCCAGTCACACATCCTCCACAAGTTTCTTCAAAATATGTCTTTCGTAGTTCCGCGTACTTTGTCCTGAATAGCAGACAGCAATGAATCCTTCAGTGGTATTAGTATTCATTTCATTTATAAGAGGATTATTATTCTCCGGAAAATACTGCCGCATCTTTTTTACTTGCGCTTCGCACGAGTAACTGATGTTCAGTAGTCCTCGACAACCATCTTATGGCATGGCGGAATTTAGGTGCAAGTATCTGAATTTTACCGTTATGCCTTTGGTTAATATGCCGAGCCGTTCCAAATCAGTGTTATTCCATTTGCCCATTCCAAACGAGCAACTTAAAGCAAGAACCGCTCAGGTGTTAATAGGTTTTTTAATTAAGTTTAGTGTTTAAGAGTTATACCAACCGTTTTCTATATCATTCTATCAGATTTTTAATTTTTACCTAGTGGTAGTTCTGAGATGCCGACAATACCCCCTTTTTATTTGTTAGTTTTCTCATTTTCATGTTTTTACTAAGTTTGTGTGTGTTTATTGGGGAAGTTTTATTTTGTTCCGATTATGCAATTAGCTGAAGGTCATCCATATAGAGAAGGTTTTACAATTACTGTTTATATTGATCCGGATAGCCAAGATTCCAATTTCATGCGGGGCTCAGTGAGTCTCTCTGGAATTTACCCTTTCTGATCGCAATTTTTTCTAAAAACTTGTTATTTAGTGTCTGTGTTCAGTTTATCAGGAAGGTATTACGTTTTGGAAACCATTGATTGTCCTGGGGTGAATTTTATAGAGTGGTTATTGAAAAGCCAGTTCTGGGGACAATGTCAAATGCTTTGGAAAAATCGATATAGCAGGCATGGAGATTGCGTTGCCGATAATTATGACATTTATTACTAATAGTTCCTGACCTCCTGTGGAAACTCGCAGAAATACTAAGAGATTGTCGAATTTGCATTGTCTTCATTTTTATTTATACAACGTTTCAACGTTTTAAACAAAAA